CCGGCTGGTGAGTCAGGGAAGGTGGACCAGGCTGGTGAGTCAGGGAGGGTGGACCAGGCTGGTGAGTCAGGGAGGGTGGACCAGGCTGGTGAGTCAGGGAGGGTGGGCCAGGCTGGTGAGTCAGGGAGGGTGGGCCAGGCTGGTGAGTCAGGGAGGGTGGACCAGGCTGGTGAGTCAGGGAGGGTGGGCCAGGCTGGTGAGTCAGGGAGGGTGGACCAGGCTGGTGAGTCAGGGAGGGTGGACCAGGCTGGTGAGTCAGGGAGGGAGGACCAGGCTGGTGAGTCAGGGAGGGAGGACCAGGCTGGTGAGTCAGGGAGGGTGGACCAGGGTGGTGAGACAGGGAGGGTGGACCAGGCTGGTGAGACAGGGAGGGTGGACCAGGCTGGTGAGTCAGGGAAGGTGGACCAGGCTGGTGAGTCAGGGAGGGTGGACCAGGCTGGTGAGTCAGGGAGGGTGGACCAGGCTGGTGAGTCAGGGAGGGTGGACCAGGCTGGTGAGTCAGGGAGGGTGGACCAGGCTGGTGAGTCAGGGAGAGTGGACCAGGCTGGTGAGTCAGGGAGGGTGGACCAGGCTGGTGAGTCAGGGAGGGTAGACCAGGCTGGTGAGTCAGGGAGGGTGGACCAGGCTGGTGAGTCAGGGAGGGTGGACCAGGCTGGTGAGTCAGGGAGAGTGGACCAGGCTGGTGAGTCAGGGAAGGTGGACCAGGCTGGTGAGTCAGGGAGAGTGGACCAGGCTGGTGAGTCAGGGAGGGTGGACCAGGCTGGTGAGTCAGGGAGGGTGGACCAGGCTGGTGAGTCAGGGAGGGTGGACCAGGGTGGTGAGTCAGGGAGGGTGGACCAGGGTGGTGAGTCAGGGAGGGTGGACCAGGGTGGTGAGTCAGGGAGAGTGGACCAGGGTGGACCAGGCTTCAGGTGTTGACGCTGGAGGGAGATAAAGCACCTTATCTGCCAATGGTACACTCACGCTGATGTTTATAAGTGGTGAGTGAGGGAGGCGACTTAAGTGACACCTCCGCTTCCCTCCCGTCGTTCCTTAGTAAAGCTAAACTGGCCAGAAGCGGCGGGAAAATATTTTCGATAATTTTATGTAATGTTGCCAGAGAAAGAACACATAATGTGAACCTTAAGAAGGAAGAGTGAAAATATTTGTCTCCCTGGATGACTGGGTAGACCTGGCGTGTGGGACGCCCTGCCGCCTCCCTCCCACACACCTCCCATACCTGCCTTGTGGTTACCTTGCGGTGGGTTCGGGGCTTAGCGTCCCCGCGGCCCGGTCCTCGACCAGGGCCCCCTCGTTGTTTTACTGGTCAACCAGGCTGTTGGACGTGGCTGCTCGCAGCCTGAGGTATGAATCACAGCTTGGTTGATCAGGTATCCTTTGGACGTGCTTATCCAGTTCTCTTTTGAACACTGTGAGGGGTCGGCCAGTTATGCACCTTATGTGTAGTGGAAGCGTGTTGAACAGTCTCGGGCCTCTGATGTTGATAGAGTTCTCTCTCAGAGTACCTGTTGCACCTCTGCTTTTCAACGGGGGTATTCTGCACATCCTGCCATGTCTTCTGGTCTCATGTGGTGTTATTTCTGTGTGCAGGTTTGGGACCAGCCCCTCTAATATTTTCCACGTGTAAATTATTATGTACCTCTCCCGCCTGCGCTCAAGGGAGTACAGATTTAGGCTCTTTAGTCGGTCCCAATAGTTTAGATGTTTTACTGAGTGGATTCTAGCAGTAAAGGATCTCTGCCTGCTCTCCAGATGAGCAATTTCTCCAACTTTGAAAGGGGCTGTCATTGTGCAACAATATTCCACTCTAGAGAGCACTAGCGTCTTGAAGAGCATCATCATTGGTATAGCATCTCTAGTTTCTAAAGTTTATGTTATCCAACCTATCCTTTTTCTTGCAGTTGTGGGGGCTTTCTTGTGTTCTTTAAAAGTAAAGTCTTCCGACCACACCAAACTTTGGCCGTATCTTTCCCCACCTGCCATACGCCTCCAAACTTTTGGTGAGGTATGGCAGCCTCCGCCACCTTCCTCCCCCACAAAGGGTCCGTCAGAAATTGGTATTCATGAGAAATTTGACTAAGTTCCCTCCAGCTAATGAAACATAAACAGTGTCCCCCTACTTGACCGCTCGCGGAGAACACCAGCCGAGGCTGCGATCACTCAGATAGGTGATGCTTTGTTGATGTTTGGGTACCCGTAGTGGGAGTGGGGGATGGAATGCAGGGACCTGCAACCCTCACCAGTTGCCCAACTCCCAGGCACCTGTTTACAGCTAGGTGAGGGCCCTCACCTAGCGAGGCACCGGCTAGGTGACCTGAGACATCAGGTGAAAGCAAACATTGCCCAAACACTTCTGCCCTGCCGCGGAAAGTGTAACCTTGGACCTTCTGGCTGGGGCCCGATTGACCACCGTGTCACAGGACTCTATGGCCCAGGAGCTGGAACCCTGCAGGAATACGTAGGACCAGCTCTCGCTACAAGGTGGACGGGACCGTCAACAACAGACAGGGGTGGACGGGACCGTCAACAACAGACAGGGGTGGACGGGACCGTCAACAACAGACAGGGGTGGACGGGACCGTCAACAACAGACAGGGGTGGACGGGACCGTCAACAACAGACAGGGGTGGACGGGACCGTCAACAACAGACAGGGTGGACGGGACCGTCAACAACAGACAGGGGTGGACGGGACCGTCAACAACAGACAGGGGTGGACGGGACCGTCAACAACAGACAGGGTGGACGGGACCGTCAACAACAGACAGGGTGGACGGGACCATCAACAACAGACAGGGGTGGACGGGACCATCAACAACAGACAGGGTGGACGGGACCATCAACAACAGACAGGGGTGGACGGGACCGTCAACAACAGACAGGGTGGACGGGACCATCAACAACAGACAGGGTGGACGGGACTGTCAACAACAGACAGGGGTGCACGGGACTGTCAACAACAGACAGGGTGGACGGGACCATCAACAACAGACAGGGTGGACGGGACCATCAACAACAGACAGGGGTGGACGGGACTGTCAACAACAGACAGGGTGGACGGGACCGTCAACAACAGACAGGGGTGGACGGGACCATCAACAACAGACAGGGGTGGACGGGACTGTCAACAACAGACAGGGGTGCACGGGACCGTCAACAACAGACAGGGGTGGACGGGACTGTCAACAACAGACAGGGGTGCACGGGACCGTCAACAACAGACAGGGGTGGACGGGACCATCAACAACAGACAGGGGTGGACGGGACCGTCAACAACAGACAGGGTGGACGGGACCGTCAACAACAGACAGGGGTGGACGGGACCGTCAACAACAGGCAGGGTGGACGGGACCATCAACAACAGACAGGGGTGGACGGGACCGTCAACAACAGACAGGGGTGGACGGGACCGTCAACAACAGACAGGGGTGGACGGGACCGTCAACAACAGACAGGGGTGGACGGGACCGTCAACAACAGACAGGGGTGGACGGGACCGTCAACAACAGACAGGGTGGACGGGCTGGTCTCCCCGGGCTGTTGTTCCAGGGCTGCTACAGTTATTGTCATGGTGCACCACACACTGACCCAAACCTTCCCCTTCTTGAGTGAGAGAACGAGTCTTCTCCTCCTCCTCCTCCTTTTCCTCTTGCTCCTCCTTCTCCTCCTCCTCTTCTTCTTCCTCCTACTCCTCCTCCTCCTCGTTGGTCTCCCCGCCTACACACACACACACACACACACACACACACACACACACACACACACACACACACACACACACACACACACACACACACACACACACACACGTATTAAATGTGAGCATAAGAGGCAGAGGAGAAAGACAATGCTATTATTGCTCCTCTACCTCCCTCCTTCCCTCCCAATCTCTATGTTCCCTCCCTCAGTCCTTCCCTTCCAAAGTCTTCACGTCTATAATAAAGCCGTTGAGGGCTCTATCTCGTCGTGAAGATACAAATGGTCATTCTTTTATGTCGACAGACGTAGTTTATGGCTGGAGCCGCCCGGGCAGAGTGCCTGCCTGGGCGGGACCCCAGGAGCGCTCCTGGCACCCTCAATTGATAATGCCAACGGCAGGTTTATTCGTGCCTACGAATAGCGTGGTTGAAATGCTCAAAGTTTTATTTTGGTGGACTTTCAAGAATCAAACCACTTTATATATGGCTAAATGATTCTTTATTAATTTAGGGAGGGAGAAAGAGACGTCATCGTGTTGAATGTCGACCGCGATGACGTCTGGCAGACAACTGACGACATTCACATTAAGAATGATGACTAGTAATTACTAATAATGTTGCGTAGTATTGCGTGAGGTGGCAGTGTGGTGAGGCCCTGCGGGGGTAATGCTCTTCGGGGCACGCCCAGGCCCTCCGCCTCCTGCACCAGCAGCTCCTCCAGCTCCTCCTCCTCCTCCTCCTCCTGCTGCTGCTCCTGCTCCTGCTGCTGCTGCTGCTGCTGCTCCTGCTGCTGCTGCTGCTGCTGCTGCTCCTGCTGCTGCTGCTGCTGCTGCTGCTGCTGCTGCTGCTGCTGCTGCTGTTGGCGTACACAGCATAGACCAGAAGCTAGGTATGAGCTTCTCTAGCATCCTCGCCTCACAGGATGGATACTAACACAAGGAAGCAGGAGAGATCGCGACATGCGAGTATGGTGTACGAGCCTGCACTACCCAACTCCAGGTTCAGCATAAGACAATCCTGATCTTGGTGAGTGTATCAAGTAGTTACAGAGGTCAAAGTACCTCATGCCATTTGACCTGAAGTCATTGATATCAGGCACTCATAAATTAATAACGTCATCATTATTATTGAGAAAATCAATAGTGAGCCTTGAGGAGATTGTATCCTCATTGATACATCACGTCAATGGGTTGTGTATACATACATACATACATACATATATATATATATATATATATATATATATATATATATATATATATATATATATATATATATATTATACATACATATTTATTAATCCTTGTTCATCAACGCGTCTCTTTTATATCTGAAGATTAGCTGAATTTTTTGTAAGAATGAACAATAATTTAAATCATAGTATTTATAAGGCAACATTACAGCATTGGGGGATCGGTCTCCTCAACCAGTGAGGGAATCAGTCATTACATAATGTTAAATTAAACACGTAAATACCCTGACCTCAAAGCTGGAGAAATAGTAGGTCAGCTGCCCTGACCTTCGTAGAGGTGGCAGGGCTGTCTCACTGTGGTAGAGGCTTGGGATTAAGAAAGCACCAAAAGCCGCCCCAGCAGCGCCTCCCCCAGGAAGGAGAGCAGCGCTAGCATGTACCCTCCGAGCATGATGAAGAAGATCCCCTGCAGGTGGTAGACGGTGAAGGGTTGCGGGCCCTTCACCTCCGGCTCCAGCAGCTTGGGCTTCTCCCGGTTCTCAGAGGCAGACAGCTGGATCAGGTCCTCCATCCACTTGTCGACCAGTCCCGACTCTATCAGCCGCTGGAACACCTGGTCGAAAGCGGGCAAGTACGGCGAGTGTTTGGGGAACGCCCACCCGAATCCACCGGGGAAGAATTCCTCGCGAGCAATGTATACCTGAGGGTATTAGAGAGTAAAGGCGAGGGATGCTATGGTTTCTATAGCAAGGTCAACGTCCGCCCAATGATTAGTTTCAAGGAACAATGAACAAAACAGCTGTATGAATACTTAGGTGTCTATGAGGAGTTCCAGGGGAGGACATATGCACAAATAAATAAATAATTACGATGAGTGAATCTAGTTAGATAAGAAAAATTTCAATCTTGCTGTTATAAGGAAGACTGACACGACCAGTTACAGCTTTCCTGGGGCCACAGTACCTTAGATGCCCCGTTGCGGTCGGAGTAGTCGCGGGCGATAAGGTTCCTGAAGTAGGTCTTCCAAGAGATGAAGGCGTAGTTACCTTCCATTACGCGCTCCATAGACGCCTTCACATCGTGGTACTGCATCTTCCGGAACAATGCTTGGTAGACCGGCACCTGGAACCCAGCAATTTGGTGTTAACCCACGAAGATTGGTTAAATAAATAAATAAATAAATATGTTTATTCAGGTAAGGTACATACATACAAGTGATGTTACATTAATGGATTGATATATAGATAGAGCTAGTACATACAATGCCTAAAGCCACTATTACGCAATGCGTTTCGGGCAATTCGGGTTAAAATAACATCACAACCGTAGAATAGAAGAAACAAGAGAGGACATGATCACAACATATAAAATAATAAAGGGGAAAAGATAAGTTTAACAGACTCCCTCTATTGAAAGACATTGACAAGAAAGACAGACATTGAAAGAAAGCAGTACAAGAGGATATAGATGGAAGCTAGAAACGCAAATTAGTCGAAGAAATATATGGAAATACTCGAACCCTGTGTGAGGGGTCAACAAGTGGAGGGAGGAAGGGAATTATCAGGGGAGAGCGCCAAACCATTACAACTATATAAAGCACTGGGAAGGTCTCAAGATACTACGGGCTCACCATAGCCCGTGCTACTTGGAACTTTGTTCCAGGCAGCGAATCTTAATAATATCACTTTCATGCCCACGGCACGTGGATGTACGGCGGGTTTATTTCTATCGCTTGTGTGGTCGCGTCGTACATTTACGGCCCGTGTTATAGTAGGTATATACTACTCAATCGACTTGGGGTTTGTATGAATATATTTGCCATTAAATTTCCGTTTTCTCTAATAGGCACAGTGCCTATTTGAGAAAATGGCATTGTATTGTAACTTAGAGGAGAGACTATTGAGTTGGTGACACAACGAGGGTAATCGCCCACTTCACACACTCTTGTGTTGGCCGCGATTATGATTCTACATTTATATGCATATGTCTGTGTAGAGAATTTTATTGCGAGTTCAGTGATATAAAATTTAACGCTGTAGGACTAATGTGGAGCTGACAACAAACAAAAGAGTATGAACATTTTGTTGCTGTTTGGGCGTACGGCGAGTGATTTACGTTTTTATTTATTTCGTGGTGGAATAGCTAATGCTTTGGTTACATTTTATACATATGATCTTGTAGAGAATTTTATTGCCAACACATTGATACCAAAAGGAAATACGTAGCTTGAGAATTGGTGTCAGGAGAGTAAAAAGATTACACACTGTTTGGTGTTTACGCTCAAGAGAAAAAAACGCCGCGCGCACAATGCACAGAGTTTTTTCACGGGTACCGCGCGCATTAAAGTGTTTAAAAAACAACAAGGATCAAGATATGGATTTGGGATGGGACGGGGGGAAGGAATGGTGCTCAACCACTTGAACGGTCGGGGATTGAATGCAGACATGCAGGAAGCGAGACCGTCGCTCTACCGTTCAGCCCAAGTTGTGTTATTTATGTTATTTATGCCCGAAACGCTTTGCGTAATAATGGCTTTAGGCATTGTATGTACTAGCTCTACCTATAAGTCAAACAATCCTTGTAAATATTTATTGTATGTATGTACCTTACCTAAATAAAATTGTATTGTATTGTATAAGTGATTATGCACTGAATGAAGTCGTGGAAACCGCCTCCATCTGCAACTATAAAGCTAGATTCGACAAAGAATTCGAACGTCAGGAAAAATGTAAATGCATCAGGTACAAGAAGGCCAGTAGGCGGGGCTTTGAGCCCTAGACCCGGCCTCTTCATAGGCCGGGTCTAGGGCCCATTTACAATACAATAAACCCATTTATTGTGTTGTCATAACAACACAACACAATAAATGGAGACACTCCTTGAGAGCGAGTACCTCGGAGGAGCGGAAGAGCTGGTAGCCGGAGTCATACGTGTTGAGCATGCCCCACTGCAGGAGGCTGGAGGCCAGCTGCTCGAGGGTGTCCAGGGCGGGGCTGAGGGCGGGCACCGTCAGGTGGGAGATGAGGATGCCCCGGTACAGTGTGGTGGTCAGGATGCAGAAGAACCACCACAAGCCGCACCACATCCGGCTGCTCAGTGACCTGTAGGTCACCACCGGGGACTAGTCTTACTGATGTGTGTGTGTGTGTGTGTGTGTGTGTGTGTGTGTGTGTGTGTGTGTGTGTGTGTGTGTGTGTGTGTGTGTGTGTGTGTGTGTGTGTGTGTGTGAGGGTGTGTGTGTGTGTGGGGGGGGGGTGTATTCACACAGATGTATTCCCCTAGTTGTGCTTGCGGGGGCTGAGCTCTGCTCTTTCGGCCCGCCTCTCAACTGTCAATCAATCAACTGTTACTAGTTATTACACCCAGAAATCACAATAACGTGATGCATCAAATGAACAAATCCACAAGGGCCGTGACGAGGATTCGAACCTGCGTCCGAGAGCATCCCTAGTTATTATTTTTTTCCACACACTGTGTGTGCTTACATTAATATTTTTTTTTAAATGGAACTTACAATAATTTAACCAGTCTATTAATTGTCAGTTAATTGCATGCAACAAAGCCTAAAATATAAATTGTGACCAATGTGACCAATAGGCTAAACCAATAAGTCTACCTTTTTTTTTTTTTTTTTAGATATATACAAGAGTTGTTACATTCTTGTAGAGCCACTAGTACGCGTAGCGTTTCGGGCAAGTCCTTAATCCTATGGTCCCTGGAATACGATCCCCTGCCGCGAAGAATCGTTTAGATTCTTCTGTATTATGTATACCTTGTATACATAACATGTATGGATCACGAGTATAGATACAAAAGTGTAAATATAAACAATTTTCTTTTTAGAGAGAGAGAGTGAAGATGATGATGTGGTCAATAGTGCGTGACTGGAGGCCTCGACCCGCAACACAAGGACATGACAGTGACCTACAGGATAGTGACCTACAGGATAGTGACCTACAGGATAGTGACCTACAGGATAGACGCCATCACCATCTGCTCGGATATATTGATCACCTCTTCAGATTTCCACATTTACGGGTCTCTAGGTTTATTGTATTGTGCCTTCATCACTACATGTTTTAGAATTGTTTTGTATACGTTTACAAGACAAGTCTCCAGACTGTGTTTATTTGAATATTTTTTGCTTTAAGCAGATGTTGTACAGTGGGTCGTGCGTCTAGTGGACATCCACTAATATTACTTTATGACTTTAACTACTACTAAAGTACGACTTTAGTACTTTATTACTAAAGTACAGCTGTACTTTAACTTTTAAAGTACAACTGGAAAAGATCATCAAGGCCAATGGGGGACCTTAGACAAGCCGCCGGCTTCCTGTCCTCGTCGAGGCCCCTAGTGTTAGTGGCTCTCAGGTAAATTACATGCACTGAGGGAGGGAGAGACTGACGTGGGGTAGAGAGGGGCGGAGGCGGAGAGGAAGGGCGCCAGCATGTAGAGGCAGAGCGCCCCGAGGCCCAGCCGCGAGGTGTTGACCCTCCTGAAGGTTGGTATCCCACCTCCTCCCTCTCCCTCATGACTTCTCTCGCGTGGGAGAGGAAGAGGGAGAGGGGAGGGAGAGAGGCGGAGGAGCAGCCAGAGGCCTGGTCCAGACAACACCACACTCGCCACCATCACTGCCCACACCAACCCTGTAACACCATAACTCACCATCACTGCCCACACCAACCCTGTAACACCATAACTCACCATCACTGCCCACACCAACCCTGTAACACCCTAACTCACCATCACTGCCCACACCAACCCTGTAACACCATAACTCACCATCACTGCCCACACCAACCCTGTAACACCATAACTCACCATCACTGCCCACACCAACCCTGTAACACCATAACTCACCATCACTGCCCACACCAACCCTGTAACACACCATGCAGGCTGTAACACACCCTGTAACCACACCCTGCAGGCAGGCTGGCTGTGGCCACACCTTGCAGGATAACTTTTCAACAGGCAGAAAAAAGGGATCACTTCTTGGCGAAATTATTAGGAATACAACTTTAGTATCATTAAATATTTAATTAAAATATTAAAACAATATAAACACATATATGTTTACGTGTACATGTTGAAGTGTTGTGTGCGGTGGTAAGGGTGGGCTGGCTGACTGGAACTCACAATGAAAAGGCTTGATAGGCGCCTGCCACTGAGGCAGCGAGCCGGGTTTCCTCATCACGAAGGTCATGGGCTCGATGCAGTAGGCCCGGGTGAAGCTGACAACGTAGGACCTCTCCCAGGTTATGGAGAGCATCATGGAGAAGTCCGCCTCCTGACGCTCCACCGTCCCTACAGTCCCCGTCCACGACCCGTTCTCTAAGAGGTACCTGGAGGGAGGAGCCGACACCCTTACTCCCCTTACCCATCACAAGCAACCTTATCTTGGCGGCTATCTCTGATATCCGTCTCAAAAAGTTGCCCCTTAACCTTCCGAATCTGATGTCATTAGTCGTGTGTGTGTTTTCCTCGCGTATTGCACCTCTGAATGATATCTTGGAGGCTAGTAATACTCAGACTCACCCGGCGCCACATACCCAGACTTGGCGCCTATCTTGAACAAGTCCCATTATGCTTTCTCGTATCAGAATCTGCTTACTCTTCCTTCCCCTCCGTCCCATCTCTAATCCTTATCCTGACCCCTTCCAACTGCTATATAGTCGTAATGACGCTTTCCCCCTGATAACTCTCTCCCTCTCTCCCTCCCCTCAGAGGCTATCTTACTCTCCCTTCATCAGAAGCCACCTTACCCCCACACGCCGTCAGCAGGTTCCCTTAACTGGAAGGAGAAGTTGAGAAGTGTGGCAGCCTCCTGCAGGATGCGTATGTCCATGGAGTCCTTGGGTCGCGTGACTCCCCCCGGAGCGACCTGGGTCCTTTCGTAGTCGATGAAGGGAGGGAAGTCCATGGTGACAGCATGGAAGACGTGTCCATGGAAGTCCCTGAAGGAGGCGCATACCGCCAGGGTCACCAGGTGTGTGGAACAGCAGGAATAACAGTATATGCTGTACGCTTACTACGTGGGACGTTTTGTTACGCGAGCGACTATAGCAGTGAGTGACGCTAGGTATAGCAGTGAGTGACGCTAGGTATAGCAGCGAGTGACGCCAGGTATAGCAGCGAGTGACGCCAGGTATAGCAGCGAGTGACGCCAGGTATAGCAGTGAGTGACGCCAGGTATAGCAGTGAGTGACGCCAGGTATAGCAGTGAGTGACGCCAGGTATAGCAGTGAGTGACGCTAGGTATAGCAGCGAGTGACGCCAGGTATAGCAGCGAGTGACGCCAGGTATAGCAGCGAGTGACGCCAGGTATAGCAGTGAGTGACGCCAGGTATAGCAGTGAGTGACGCCAGGTATAGCAGTGAGTGACGCCAGGTATAGCAGTGAGTGACGCCAGGTATAGCAGCGAGTGACGCCAGGTATAGCAGTGAGTGACGCCAGGTATAGCAGTGAGTGACGCCAGGTATAGCAGTGAGTGACGCCAGGTATAGCAGCGAGTGACGCCAGGTATAGCAGTGAGTGACGCCAGGTATAGCAGTGAGTGGCGCCAGGTATAGCAGTGAGTGACGCCAGGTATAGCAGTGAGTGACGCCAGGTATAGCAGTGAGTGACGCCAGGTATAGCAGTGAGTGACGCCAGGTATAGCAGTGAGTGACGCCAGGTATAGCAGTGAGTGACGCCAGGTATAGCAGTGAGTGACGCCAGGTATAGCAGTGAGTGACGCCAGGTATAGCAGAGAGTGACGCCAGGTACAGCAGTGAGTGACGCCAGGTATAGCAGTGAGTGACGCCAGGTATAGCAGTGAGTGACGCTAGGTATAGCAGTGAGTGACGCCAGGTATAGCAGTGAATGACACCAGGTATAGCAGTGAGTGACGCCAGGTATAGCAGTGAATGACACCAGGTATAGCAGTGAGTGACGCCAGGTATAGCAGTGAGTGACGCTAGGTATAGCAGTGAGTGACGCCAGGTATAGCAGTGAGTGACGCCAGGTATAGCAGTGAGTGACGCTAGGTATAGCAGTGAGTGACGCCAGGTATAGCAGTGAGTGACGCTAGGTATAGCAGTGAGTGACGCCTGGTATAGCAGTGAGTAACGCCAGGTATAGCAGTGAGTGACGCCAGGTATAGCAGTGAGTGAAACCAGGTATAGCAGTGAGTGACGCCAGGTATAGCAGTGAGTGACGCCAGGTATAGCAGTGAGTGAAACCAGGTATAGCAGTGAGTGACGCCAGGTATAGCAGTGAGTGACGCCAGGTATAGCAGTGAGTGACACCAGGTATAGCAGTGAGTGACGCCTGGTATAGCAGTGAGTGACGCCAGGTATAGCAGTGAGTGAAGCCAGGTATAGCAGTGAGTGACGCCAGGTATAGCAGTGAGTGACGCCAGGTATAGCAGTGAGTGACACCAGGTATAGCAGTGAGTGACGCCAGGTATAGCAGTGAGTGACGCCAGGTATAGCAGTGAGTGACACCAGGTATAGCAGTGAGTGACGCCAGGTATAGCAGTGAGTGACGCCAGGTATAGCAGTGAGTGACGCCAGGTATAGCAGTGAGTGACGCTAGGTATAGCAGTGAGTGACGCCTGGTATAGCAGTGAGTAACGCCAGGTATAGCAGTGAGTGACGCCAGGTATAGCAGTGAGTGACGCCAGGTATAGCAGTGAGTGAAACCAGGTATAGCAGTGAGTGACGCCAGGTATAGCAGTGAGTGACGCCAGGTATAGCAGTGAGTGACGCCAGGTATAGCAGTGAGTGACGCCAGGTATAGCAGTGAATGACGCCAGGTATAGCAGTGAGTGACACCAGGTATAGCAGTGAGTGACGCCAGGTATAGCAGTGAGTGACGCCAGGTATAGCAGTGAGTGACGCCAGGTATAGCAGTGAGTGACGCCAGGTATAGCAGTGAGTGACACCAGGTATAGCAGTGAGTGACGCCAGGTATAGCAGTGAGTGACGCCAGGTATAGCAGTGAGTGACGCCAGGTATAGCAGTGAGTGACACCAGGTATAGCAGTGAGTGACGCCAGGTATAGCAGTGAGTGACGCCAGGTATAGCAGTGAGTGACACCAGGTATAGCAGTGAGTGACGCCAGGTATAGCAGTAAGTGACGCCAGGTATAGCAGTGAGTGACACCAGGTATAGCAGTGAGTGACGCCAGGTATAGCAGTGAGTGACGCCAGGTATGAGACGAGAGGAAAGAAGGAAGCATTGTGCGACACTGGAGCTCATGGATCGTCACACCATCGCTTATGACGGTCACTACAACAACTTCTCCTCTTACAAAGAACGTCGCATTTCGATCGTACGCGTTACTTAAGGCCAAAAATTGTCGTACTAGAAAATGGAAGCGGCTCGCGAAAGTGACTTACTGCCCCGTTTTCTGTTTTGGATCCTCTGGTAGGTTAGGAGAGGACACTTTAAATTGACCGTTTTCTTGACGTTAGGAAACCTGAGGAGAACGGGCTGCACTAACGACGAAAATCCTAAGGTTTTATAATCAAGGACAACACCAACAGACAAGTTGATCTAAACGAGAGTATTTGCTTCTGGCAGCCTCGTAGTGACGGGAACTAAATAAGTTCGCGTCATTTACAGGACGATAATATTTAAATAAATAATAATTAATTATCAAAAGGTTTAAAGGGATATATTTATCTAGCATGTTATACATTACGTACATACAACATCAATTTTACCACTAACAAATGAACGGCATTCGCTTCGTGGGATTGAATTCGTTTGTCTTTAATTTGAGACTATATTCGTTACCGACAGGACTAAGATAGATGCTTAACTCACCTTAGATGGTCGTCGAAAAGATGCTGGAGCCGTGAGGTGCCACCTGGCACCCACCTGGTCGTCAGCACCACGCCCACACCCCCGCCCACACAGTACTGACACCGCTGGTACACGCCCACCTCCACCCGCACACCTGATGCACGAGCGTAATGGGTTAGAGTACAAGGAACTAAACAGACACTTGTAATTGTCAAGTGTGTAGAACCTCCGTCACCTGTGTGGAGGGACTCTGGCAGCAGGAGGGTAGAGCTCTCACCTGTGTGGAGGGACTGTGGCAGCAGGAGGGTAAAGTTCTCACCTGTGTGGAGGGACTGCAGCAGGAGGGTAGAGCTCTCACCTGTGTGGAGGGACTGGCAGCAGGAGGGTAGAGCACTCACCTGTGTGGAGGGACTCTGGCAGCAGGAGGGTAGAGCTCTCACCTGTGTGGAGGGACTGGCAGCAGGAGGGTAGAGCTCTCACCTGTGTGGAGGGACTCTGGCAGCAGGAGGGTAGAGCTCTCACCTGTGTGGAGGGACTGTGGCAGCAGGAGGGTAGAGCTCTCACCTGTGTGGAGGGACTGGCAGCAGGAGGGTAGAGCTCTCACCTGTGTGGAGGGACTCTGGCAGCAGGAGGGTAGAGCTCTCACCTGTGTGGAGGGACTCTGGCAGCAGGAGGGTAGAGCACTCACCTGTGTGGAGGGACTGTGGCAGCAGGAGGGTAGAGTTCTCACCTGTGTGGAGGGACTGGCAGCAGGAGGGTAGAGCTCTCACCTGTGTGGAGGGACTGGCAGCAGGAGGGTACTCACCTAGTTGTACTCACCTAGTTGTGTTTGCGGGGGTTGAGCTCTGGCTCTTTGGTCCCGCCTCTCAACCGTCAATCAACAGGTGTACAGATTCCTGAGCCTATCGGGCTCTGTCATATCTACACTTGAAACTGTGTATGGAGTCAGCCTCCACCACATCACCCCCTAATGCATTCCATTTGTCAACCACTCTGACACTAAAAAAGTTCTTTCTAATATCTCTGTGTCTCATTTGGGCACTCAGTTTCCACCTGTGTCCCCTTGTGCGTGTTCCCCTTGTGTTAAATAGACTGTCTTTATCTACCCTATCAATCCCCTTCAGAATCTTGAATGTGGTGATCATGTCCCCCCTAACTCTTCTGTCTTCCAGCGAAGTGAGGTTTAATTCCCGTAGTCTCTCCTCGTAGCTCATACCTCTCAGCTCGGGTACTAGTCTGGTGGCAAACCTTTGAACCTTTTCCAGTTTAGTCTTATCCTTGACTAGATATGGACTCCATGCTGGGGCTGCATACTCCAGGATTGGCCTGACATATGTGGAATACAAAGTTCTGAATGATTCTTTACACAAGTTTCTGAATGCCGTTCGTATGTTGGCCAGCCTGGCATATGCCGCTGATGTTATCCGCTTGATATGTGCTGCAGGAGACAGGTCTGGCGTGATATCAACCCCCAAGTCTTTTTCCTTCTCTGACTCCTGAAGAATTTCCTCTCCCAGATGATACCTTGTATCTGGCCTCCTGCTCCCTACACCTATCTTCATTACATTACATTTGGTTGGGTTAAACTCTAACAACCATTTGTTCGACCATTCCTTCAGCTTGTCTAGGTCTTCTTGAAGCCTCAAACAGTCCTCTTCTGTTTTAATCCTTCTCATAATTTTAGCATCGTCCGCAAACATTGAGAGAAATGAATCGATACCCTCCGGGAGATCATTTACATATATCAGAAACAAGATAGGACCGAGTACAGAGCCCTGTGGGACTCCACTGGTGACTTCACGCCAATCGGAGGTCTCACCCCTCACCGTAACTCTCTGCTTCCTATTGCTTAGATACTCCCTTATCCACTGGAGCACCTTACCAGCTACACCTGCCTGTCTCTCCAGCTTATGTACCAGCCTCTTATGCGGTACTGTGTCAAAGGCTTTCCGACAATCCAAGAAAATGCAGTCCGCCCAGCCCTCTCTTTCTTGCTTAATCTGTGTCACCTGATCGTAGAATTCTATCAAGCCTGTAAGGCAAGATTTACCCTCCCTGAATCCATGTTGGCGATTTGTCACGAAGTCCCTTCTCTCCAGATGTGTTACCAGGTTTTTTCTCACGATCTTCTCCATCACCTTGCATGGTATACAAGTCAAGGACACTGGCCTGTAGTTCAGTGCCTCTTGTCTGTCGCCCTTTTTGTATATTGGGACCACATTCGCCGTCTTCCATATTTCTGGTAGGTCTCCCGTCTCTAGTGATTTACTATACACTATGGAGAGTGGCAAGCAAAGTGCCTCTGCACACTCTTTCAGTTCCCATGGTGAGATCCCATCTGGACCAACCGCCTTTCTAACATCCAGATCCAGCAGGTGTCTCTTGACCTCCTCTCTCGTAATTTCGAACTCCTCCAAGGCCGCCTGGTTTACCTCCCTTTCTCCTAGCACAGTGACCTCACCCTGTTCTATTGTGAAGACCTCCTGGAACCTCTTGTTGAGTTCCTCACACACCTCTCTGTCATTCTCTGTATACCTGTCCTCGCCTGTTCTAAGTTTCAATACCTGTTCTTTCACTGTTGTTTTCCTTCTGATGTGACTGTGGAGTAGCTTTGGTTCGGTCTTGGGTAGGGTAGAGCACTCACCTGTGTGGAGGGACTCTGGCAGCAGGAGGGTAGAGCTCTCACCTGTGTGGAGGGACTCTGGCAGCAGGAGGGTAGAGCTCTCACCTGTGTTGAGGGACTCTGGCAGCAGGAGGGTAGAGCTCTCGCCTGTGTGGAGGGACTCTGGCAGCAGGAGGGTAGAGCTCTCACCTGTGTGGAGGGACTCTGGCAGCAGGAGGGTAGAGCTCTCACCTGTGTTGAGGGACTCTGGCAGCAGGAGGGTAGAGCACTCACCTGTGTGGAGGGACTCTGGCAGCAGGAGGGTAGAGCACTCACCTGTGTGGAGGGACTCTGGCAGCAGGAGGGTAGAGCTCTCACCTGTGTGGAGGGACTCTGGCAGCAGGAGGGTAGAGCTCTCACCTGTGTGGAGGGACTCTGGCAGCAGGAGGGTAGAGCTCTCACCTGTGTTGAGGGACTCTGGCAGCAGGAGGGTAGAGCTCTCACCTGTGTGGAGGGACTCTGGCAGCAGGAGGGTAGAGTTCTCACCTGTGTTGAGGGACTCTGGCAGCAGGAGGGTAGAGCTCTCACCTGTGTGGAGGGACTCTGGCAGCAGGAGGGTAGAGCTCTCACCTGTGTGGAGGGACTCTGGCAGCAGGAGGGTAGAGCACTCACCTGTGTGGAGGGACTCTGGCAGCAGGAGGGTAGAGCTCTCACCTGTGTGGAGGGACTCTGGCAGCAGGAGGGTAGAGCTCTCACCTGTGTGGAGGGACTCTGGCAGCAGGAGGGTAGAGCTCTCACCTGTGTTGAGGGACTCTGGCAGCAGGAGGGTAGAGCTCTCACCTGTGTGGAGGGACTCTGGCAGCAGGAGGGTAGAGCTCTCACCTGTGTGGAGGGACTCTGGCAGCAGGAGGGTAGAGCTCTCACCTGTGTGGAGGGACTCTGGCAGCAGGAGGGTAGAGCTCTCACCTGTGTTGAGGGACTCTGGCAGCAGGAGGGTAGAGCTCTCACCTGTGTTGAGGGACTCTGGCAGCAGGAGGGTAGAGCACTCACCTGTGTGGAGGGACTCTGGCAGCAGGAGGGTAGAGCTCTCACCTGTGTTGAGGGACTCTGGCAGCAGGAGGGTAGAGCTCTCACCTGTGTGGAGGGACTCTGGCAGCAGGAGGGTAGAGCTCTCACCTGTGTTGAGGGACTCTGGCAGCAGGAGGGTAGAGCTCTCACCTGTGTGGAGGGACTCTGGCAGCAGGAGGGTAGAGCTCTCACCTGTGTGGAGGGACTCTGGCAGCAGGAGGGTAGAGCTCTCACCTGTGTGGAGGGACTCTGGCAGCAGGAGGGTAGAGCTCTCACCTGTGTTGAGGGACTCTGGCAGCAGGAGGGTAGAGCTCTCACCTGTGTTGAGGGACTCTGGCAGCAGGAGGGTAGAGCACTCACCTGTGTTGAGGGACTCTGGCAGCAGGAGGGTAGAGCTCTCACCTGTGTGGAGGGACTGTGGCAGCAGGAGGAATACTTGGACGCCTCGGGGCAGGGGCAGCTCCAGCAGGAGACACTTGGTGTCTGCGGCTGAAACAGAAGCAGATAATGAAACAGTCGAGCAGGAGGTGTCGACGCCAGCGCTCTCCAGCGGTGGTCACGGGAAATAAACAATGGTTAATGATGAAACAATTACGAAATAAAAGCTCGTGCCCAAAAGCTTCTGATGAAGCACACGCTTGAAGCTGCAGGGAATCATTAGGCGCCATTTCATCATATAAATCACACGGATCTCTTGAATGATAATAATTTTCATAAAATAATTAACAATTAAAATATGACAAAGACACCAGAGAATCAGGTGTACCGCAGTGACCATGACTGGGCCACTCCTGTGGAACATTTATTTCAGTGACATCCTAAAGTAATTCGCAGATGCTTGTACATGAATATACATGATTATACATTCTTTACGAATCGGACTGAGAAAAACCTGGGGGTCGATACCACACTGAACCCATCACCTGAAGCACACATCAAACGGCTCTCATCAGCTACATTATGATTGCCCAACTTAACTGCCTCTAGAAATCTGAATAATGAGACATTCAGAGCCATATATATTAAACTTATGTATTACATTAGTTAGAGACATCAGTGTTTTACAGATGACATGAAAGAAAACGTAAATCTCGTTAATGAAACCCTAAGCTAAATAATAATAGTTTTATTTACTAGACGGTACAATGAGTATGTGAGATTACATAAGATTGGCATTTTTATACTATTGCAAATCAACTAACACGCATAGCGTTTCGGGTAGATCCATAATCTAACATATCAGGTAAGTTTTTGATTTAGATTCAGCTACTCGGAACAAAAAGTTCCAAGTAGCACGGGCTATGGTGAGCCCGTACTCTATCAGGTAAGGTGAAAAGGTACATTGTAGTAACATTTTTATATCAAAATATAACTACAATATAAGTTGATAAAGGTGAGTAATAATAGAGTATAGAGGTAACGTTGTCAAGATTCTGTTGCTCAAGAGAACACTTAAATTTATAGCACCCTTCCTTGGAGGCAGAACAGACACTGCCTCTCACCCTCCCTTGGAGACATATATACACATTCTCCAGCAGGAGAAAGCGACAGAGTTACAGCCCCGCTCCTGTGCCAGGTAAGCCCACTACGGGCTCACCATAGCCCGTGTTACTTGGAACCTTTTGTTCCGAGTAGCTGAATTTAAAACAACAAGGAGGAGGCACTGACCGTTGGTGGCGTACGGAGCGAGGATTAACACGTAGCGGCGTGGGCCGCTGAGGTGGGTCTGACGCAGGACCTGGAGCACCTCCTGGACGCCATCACCAACCCCATCAGGCCTCATAGAACCTCTAGACCTTCCAATCTCGGGTTCCAGCAGCAGCAGCACGTGGACCGCACAGGCGCTCACCACGCCCGGAGCACTGTTGTCCTCGCCTGGTGCACAGGAGAAACCTCTCCCTCATTATTATTGCATTTGACTATATTCGTTAGCTTGGCTTTGTGTTGCAAAAGGCCTGAATACTGTGCTGATGCCCAGGCTATTCCACTTTTTCCTCGCGATATATGACAACAATGCAGCCTTCGTAAGAATGTTGTGTGATCCCAGATCACCATAGCTCACTGGCAAGGAAGACGGTCAGTTACTTCTGTAGAACAGACTGTCTAACACTGGCCAGTGCTACCCTGATATGATGGCGGAGTTGTGGCGGGAATGTAATATCGGGTCATGTTTTGTGAATTATGAAACACGAGTCATGTTATGAACCCAACTGGCGTAAAATTACCGATTTTGAAGTTTTAAAGAAGGCATCAGTTCCAAGCTTAGTAGAGTACGAATCAAACCAGTCTGGAGCTATACGTCTGCGTGCGGGTGTGCTTGTTCGTTTACGAGTCTGTGAATGTGTACTACTACTACTGCTGTGAGTCTCAGTCATGGTGTTGAGCCCCTGGAGACTCGCCCACCTGGTGTGTCCTGAGCACCTGTGAACCCACTCACCCGTGGTGTTGATCAGAGCAGCTGACGGCACTAAGACAAGACCGGGCACCAGTGCCTGCCTCATTCTAGTGAGCAGTGTCTCCACGGCCGGGTCAGCAGCGGCGCTTATCTCCAGCACACAGTGGGCCAGGTACCTGGTCACCACCTCCACAGTGGCGTCGATGGTCGCGTCCAGTGCCCCTGGCTGCGAGGGTGTCCGGACGGACCTCTTGAACAAGAAGGTTTGAGCCTGCTGTAGGAGCCTGGCTCGACCCCCAAGCAGAGGGTCTGGAGATGGTCCTCGCAATGAATGATTATTGCCTCTCGAGAACTTGCTAAGAAACAAATCATATACTACACGAGTTGTGTTGCTTGTGTCCACAACCGGAATGAGGTCATGTGCAGCATTCTTGGTGGTTATGATGCCAGACACCTCATCCCTGACACACTGGCCTTGACCTGCTGAGAGGGAGAGGAGCAACACTGCTCCCCAGATACCGCCTACCACCACCTGCATGCCGAGGATGGCGCCGGCGCCCCGTGGCCGCCACTTAAGAGCTCTTCCCTCAGCCCCTGCACCTGCGCAGTCTCCACAACACTGAGATGGCAACGGTTGGCTTAGTTAGGTCATGTGTTGAGCACCCCAGAGCCGTCGTGCAGCGGTAATTGTAAAGGTTACACAGGCACATAATGGGCTCAGGAACTAAACCCATAAATTCATTTAGCTAAGCAGGTTACAACATTGATAAATTTGTTACATAGTATGGCATATACAGTCCCATAGCACTAACCAACTGTGGCAGTAAAATCTTTAATATAATGGTAACACAGAGGCCTAGTCGGTACCCGAAATCCAAAATTGTTAATAGCCAGGTCATAACTGCTTCCAAAAACACCACGCCACACAACAGCTAATCCTGCCACTCTCAACAACTAATATGCCTACTGTACCCAAGACTCTCTACCCTGGCCCGCTGACACCCCGGCACCCAGGTACCCCGGTGCCCCGGCACTCTAGCACCTATAGGCACCCAGGCACCCTGGCCTGCTGGCCCGCTGGCACCCTGGCGCCCCGGCACCCTGGCACCCTTGGTGTTATTGAGCCAATCCTGAACATGGGTCTCCGGGGGTGGAGGGGGGTGCATAATACCTTTTCTTGATATCGTATTAAAGGCAGGTGCTTTGTCACTCATCACATGTGAATGGCCGCTACACCTGTCCATCCTGTCACCTCACATGTGTCCAACGCCACACCTGGCCCAACACACCTGGCCACGCACACCAACCACTCACCAAGTCATGTCTTCACCAATCATGGATGACTGGGTTAACCTGGAAAAGTCCTGACCACACTTCTCACGCGTCTTGAGTGATCACACCCGACGCATCATGACATGATTATTATTATTACAGGTTTTGTATATAATATTATTACATTATTATTATTTTCGGAGTTTTTATTTTTGTTTTAGGTTATATATATTATATATATATATATATATATATATATATATATATATATATATATATATATATATATATATATATATATATATATATATATATATATATATATATATATATATATGTGTGTGTGTGTGTGTGTGTGTGTGTGTATATTTATTATACATTTGAGAGAGGGGGAGAGAGAGAATTCAATAATTTACCAGTTCCATTAACTTTGATTTTATCCATCAAGGAGGCAAGTGACCGTGTTCCACATAATCAAAGATCTTCTTAACTATGTACAGAGTCCATTATAATGCAGAAGAGAGAGAGAGCGCGAGTTAAGTGGATCAGGTGCCAGTTCTCACCTAAGGGTCCAGTCTCTGCCACTCACCCTGGGGTCCAGTCTCTGCCACTCACCCTGGGGTCCAGTCTCTGCTACTCACCCTGAGGTTCAGTCTCTGCCACTCACCCTGGGGTCCAGTCTCTGCCACTCACCCTGAGGTTCAGTCTCTGCCACTCACCCTGGGGTCCAGTCTCTGCCACTCACCCTGGGGTCCAGTCTCTGCCACTCACCCTGGGGTCCAGTCTCTGCCACTCACCCTGGGGTCCAGTCTCTGCCACTCACCCTGGGGTCCAGTCTCTGCCACTCACCCTGAGGTTCAGTCTCTGCCACTCACCCTGGGGTCCAGTCTCTGCCACTCACCCTGGGGTCCAGTCTCTGCCACTCACCCTGGGGTCCAGTCTCTGCCACTCACCCTGGGGTCCAGTCTCTGCCACTCACCCTGGGGTTCAGTCTCTGCCACTCACCCTGGGGTCCAGTCTCTGCCACTCACCCTGGGGTCCAGTCTCCAGTCTCTGCCACTCACCCTGGGGTTCAGTCTCTGCCACTCACCCTGGGGTCCAGTCTCTGCCACTCACCCTGGGGTCCAGTCTCTGCCACTCACCCTGGGGTCCAGTCTCTGCCACTCACCCTGAGGTTCAGTCTCTGCCACTCACCCTGGGGTCCAGTCTCTGCCACTCACCCTGGGGTTCAGTCTCTGCCACTCACCCTGGGGTCCCGTCTCCAGTCTCTGCCACTCACCCTGGGGTCCAGTCTCTGTCACTCACCCTGGGGTCCAGTCTCTGCCACTCACCCTGGGGTCCAGTCTCTGCCACTCACCCTGGGGTCCAGTCTCTGCCACTCACCCTGGGGTCCAGTCTCTGCCACTCACCCTGGGGTCCAGTCTCTGCCACTCACCCTGGGGTCCAGTCTCCAGTCTCTGCCACTCACCCTGGGGTTCAGTCTCTGCCACTCACCCTGGGGTCCAGTCTCTGCCACTCACCCTGGGGTCCAGTCTCTGCCACTCACCCTGGGGTCCAGTCTCTGCCACTCACCCTGAGGTTCAGTCTCTGCCACTCACCCTGGGGTCCAGTCTCTGCCACTCACCCTGGGGTTCAGTCTCTGCCACTCACCCTGGGGTCCCGTCTCCAGTCTCTGCCACTCACCCTGGGGTCCAGTCTCTGCCACTCACCCTGGGGTCCAGTCTCTGCCACTCACCCTGGGGTCCAGTCTCCAGTCTCTGTCACTCCTGTTAGCTGCAGGTGGTGATAATTGCGTGTGTTGACATCAGGAACGAGACTCCATCTTGGAATGGAGTTATCTATAGTTTCAGCATTTTATTATTTTTTAATAGGCATATATATATATATATATATATATATATATATATATATATATATATATATATATATATATATATATATATATATATATATATATATATCACACACTCCCTCACCCCACAGGTAGAAGACATGAGTGGAAGCTGGACGCTCAGGAGAATTATAAGGACATGAGAAAATATCAACTTTGCCTGAATATGAGCCATGTTGGTCGCCAGTCACTGTACAAGGCGAACGACGGCTGGAAAGCGTGGTCCACGAGCTGGAGGTCAACCCTGCAGGTACAAGAGCCCAGTAGGCTCAGAACTCTGTACATCAGTTGATTGACAGTTGAGAGGCGGGACCAAAGAGCCAGACCTCAACCCCCGCAAGCACAACTAGGTGAGTACTACTGACCAAATCCTCACACAATTGGTCTAGATCAATTAATAACCGTAAACCATTGAGTTTAGGTTTTAATTGTAAACCATCCTCGAAGGTGTACGTGGTTTACATCGATACATAATTTAAAAACTGTAATTCATAAACTGGTTTCGCATTGTTAATTGATTTAGTTTACAAACATTTCAGAAACTTTGTTCATTAATACACGAACAATTGATATTGATGACCTAAACACTGGTCATTATAGCCATATATTATGCATATTATGTGCTGAAATAACTGGAATAGTCTACAATAAACTATTGTGCGGTCCAAGGTTCGAGTCTCCTAGAGCCCAGGTGAATGAATGGAATAGCTTACAATACTTTGGTATGAGTGAATACAATTAAGAGGTGTACCAGGCAATGGAACTGACTTACCAACTATCAAGAGTAGTTTACCAGCTGTCTAAGAAGACTATTGACTAACAAAAGCAACTTACCTATGCAAGGCGAAGCACACCAACACTTTTTATGATCATTTATAATGTGTAATGTCGTGTTGTGTCGTGTTGTGTCGTGTTGTGTCGTGTTGTGTCGTATTGTCGTGTTGTGTTGTGTCGTGTCGTGTGGTGTGGTGTTGTCGTGTTGTGTCGTGTTGTGTCGTGTTGTGTCGTATTGTGTCGTGTTGTGTCGTGTTGTGTCGTGTGGTGTGGTGTTGTCGTGTTGTGTCGTGTTGTGTCGTGTTGTGTCGTATTGTGTCGTGTTGTGTCGTGTTGTGTCGTGTGGTGTCGTGTTGTCGTATTGTGTCGTGTTGTGTCGTATTGTGTCGTATTGTGTCGTGTTGTGTCGTGTTGTGTCGTGTTGTGTCGTATTGTGTCGTATTGTGTCGTGTTGTGTCGTGTTGTGTCGTGTTGTGTGGACATCTCTGGCTGCCGCTCCAGGGCGAGGGTCGTCCTCCCTCAGCGACTGCTGGAAGCGCTCAGTTAACATACCTATACAACACACGGAGCCGGTCGGCCGAGCGGACAGCACGCTGGACTTGTGATCCTGTGGTCCTGGGTTCGATCCCAGGCGCCGGCGAGAAACAATGGGCAGAGTTTCTTTCACCCTATGCCCCTGTTACCTAACAGTAAAATAGGTACCTGGGTGTTAGTCAGCTGTCACGGGCTGCTTCCTGGGGGTGGAGGCCTGGTCTAGGACCGGGCCGCGGGGACACTAAAAAGCCCCGAAATCATCTCAAGATAACCTCAAGATAACACGAGATATCGAAAAATCTATACATAAAAAAGGTTCAGATTTGTATTTCGATTAGAGCGTCCCTCGTAGCCTCGTAGCCACCAGGGGGCCTCGTAGCCACCAGGGGGCCTCGTAGCCACCAGGGGGCCTCGTAGCCACCAGGGGGCCTCGTAGCCACCAGGGGGCCTCGTAGCCACCAGGGGGCCTCGTAGCCACCAGGGGGCCTCGTAGCCTGGTGGATAGCGCGCAGGACTCGTAATTCTGTGGCTCGGGTTCGATTCCCGCACGAGGCAGAAACAAATGGGCAAAGTTTCTTTCACCCTGAATGCCCCTGTTACCTAGCAGTAAATAGGTACCTGGGAGTTAGTCAGCTGTCACGGGCTGTTTCCTGGGGGTGGAGGCCTGGTCGAGGACCGGGCCGCGGGGACACTAAAGCCCCGAAATCATCTCAAGATAACCTCCCTTTTTAGTTTTATAAGCAGAATTTAGGGAATAGGCGTGTGCTAAGGTAGGTATTGTTTTGTTTGTTTCTTTAATTGTTTACCCAGCAAAAATCTGCTATCAGAATGATAACTAACTCAGCTTTCAGACAACACTCAGCTCCCTTGTTTAAATCCCTAAACTTGCTAAATATTAACTCCCTCCACACATTCTCTTGTGTCAACTACATTTACAAAACCCTGTTCTTAAATGCAAATCCTGCTCTGAAACTCTCCCTGGACAGATGTAATAGGACCCATTATCACCACACCGGAAATAAATATCTCTTTGATATCCCCAGGTTCAAACTTAATCTGTGTAAACACTCTATGCAAATTAAGGGACCCAGTCTATGGAACTCACTCCCAAGTGAATTGAAAAGCTGTCAAACTTTTGCCTCATTTAAAAGCAAAACCAAAAAGTACCTAATTTCATCTTCGTAGTTTCCTACCCTGAGCTTTAAATTTGATCTGTATCTAATATTACCCAATCTCCCAATTTTTATGTATTTAACCCAAACAACCTTATCATTGTGTTCATTGCTGTCTTCTTTTATGTGCTAGCCATATGCTGTATTGTGCCTACCAATGTTTGTCAACTACCATTCAAGCTGTCATGGCCATCAATCTGAGTTACCTATGTGCTTTAATATACCTACAATTTTTTCTCATCCTTTATTTAATTCTTGCCTTGTAACTGTTATCATTTTTTATAAATTTTGCAAGTATTTACCTACTTAAAATGTTCTTAGATTAAGGACCTGCCCGAAACGCTGCGCGTACTAGTGGCTTTACAAGATTGTATTTACTATATTATGTATCCTCACAATCCCAGTGTACCTTCTTGTATATATATAAATTAATAAATAAATAAATAAATAAATAAATTGTATGCGTCCGGGAGTACCGGTGGGGGTGTGAGGGTACCTTAGTACGACGCTTTCTTGATGTAGGGAGACCTTAAGAGGACGGGCAGGTGAGGGGGGGGGGGTCTCCCACTCTCCCTCCAGCACTCATCAATCTGCCGCGGAATTCCACTTACATGTCAATGAGTTGGTGACGTCACTAAGCAAGGCAAGAGGTGCTGTGATTGGTCACTAGTGACGTCACTGGGCATAGCAAGAAACGATGTGATTGGTCGCTGGTCTCGAAGTATTGCCATGACGGTGAGTTGTTGATTTTTCAATGACAAATGCTCGTTGTTTATATATTTTGAGCCCTGCTTTATGCTCATGTAGACATTCCAATAAGTAATTAGCAAAATAAATTGTAATTTTTGCCACAAACGTTAGAAATTATTAAACAATAATAGAAAAAGTAAGGTGGTAGGGAGAGGAAGGAGCGGCGGACCTGCCAAACCTTGGCTCACCTGTGGTGGTGAGAGGCGGACCTGCATACGTCCCTCAAGTGGCTGTCTCACTGTGTTAACCTCCTGCTGCTGCTGCCCCTACACCCTCCTCCTGCCCGCTCCCTGCTCTGGCAAGTGTCTCACAGCTCCTACTGACCTGCCCTGACCGCCCCTACACCCACGTTGACCAAGGTAAGGAGACCAACACGTTCCTAAGCTGCCATGACTACACCTTTCTCTACACTCAATGTTTAGGTCTGTAAGATACCTATGCTCCTCCTTCCTGCTAGATGGGGGAGCTTCCTTCCCTCTAGCGCCGTCTTCTGGTTCTGTTGGTGTAGCAGATTAGTGCTCAACACTAATTAGATTCATTGCAAGACAATTTGTCTGTAATGGCCGACTCCAGTGTGAGATATTATCCCAGGGAAACCCCACCTTTCTCTCCAACACTTCTCTCCCTGCCCCAACACTCCCTCCCTGCCCCAACACTCCCTCCCTGCCCCAACACTCCCTCCCTGCCCCAGCACTCCCTCCCTGCCCCAACACTTCCCTCACCACCATCCTCCCCAACACTCCCTCCCTGCCCCAACACTCCCCTCGCCACTGTCCTCCCCAACACCCTCCCTGCCCGAACACTTCCCTCACCACCATCCTCCCCAACACTCCCTCCCTGCCCCAACACTCCCCTCGCCACCATCCTCCCCAGCACTCCCTCCCTGCCCCAACACTCCCCTAGCCACCGTCCTCCCCAACACCCTCCCTGCCCCAACACTCCCTCCCTGCCCCAACACTCCCCTCACCACCGTCCTCCCCAACACCCTCCCTGCCCCAACACTCCCCTCACCACCGTCCTCCCCAGCACTCCCTCCCTGCCCCAACACTCCCCTCACCACCATCCTCCCCAACACCCTCCCTGCCCCAACACTCCCCTCGCCACCGTCCTCCCCAACACCCTCCCTGCCCCAACACTCCCCTCGCCACCGTCCTCCCCAACACCCTCCCTGCCCCAACACCCTCCCTGCCCCAACACTCCCCTCGCCACCGTCCTCCCCAACACCCTCCCTGCCCCAACACTCCCCTCGCCACCGTCCTCCCCAACACCCTCCCTGCCCCAACACCCTCCCTGCCCCAACACTCCCCTCGCCACCGTCCTCCCCAACACCCTCCCTGCCCCAACACTCCCCCCGCCACCGTCCTCCCCAACACCCTCCCTGCCCCAACACCCTCCCTGCCCCAACACTCCCCTCGCCACCGTCCTCCCCAACACCCTCCCTGCCCCAACACCCTCCCTGCCCCAACACTCCCCTCGCCACCGTCCTCCCCAACACCCTCCCTGCCCCAACACCCTCCCTGCCCCAACACTTCCCTCACCACCATCCTCCCCAACACCCTCCCTGCCCCAACACTCCCTCCCTGCCCCAACACCCTCCCTGCCCCAACACTCCCCTCGCCACCGTCCTCCCCAACACCCTCCCTGCCCCAACACTCCCCTCACCACCATCCTCCCCAACACCCTCCCTGCCCCAACACTCCCTCCCTGCCCCAACACCCTCCCTGCCCCAACACTCCCCTCGCCACCGTCCTCCCCAACACCCTCCCTGCCCCAACACCCTCCCTGCCCCAACACTCCCCTCGCCACCGTCCTCCCCAACACCCTCCCTGCCCCAACACCCTCCCTGCCCCAACACTCCCCTCACCACCCTCCCTGCCCCAACACTCCCTCCCTGCCCCAACACTCCCTCCCTGCCCCAACACTCCCTCCCTGCCCCAACACTCCCTCCCTGCCCCAACACCCTCCCTGCCCCAACACTCCCCTCGCCACCGTCCTCCCCAACACCCTCCCTGCCCCAACACCCTCCCTGCCCCAACACTCCCCTCGCCACCGTCCTCCCCAACACCCTCCCTGCCCCAACACCCTCCCTGCCCCAACACTCCCCTCGCCACCGTCCTCCCCAACACCCTCCCTGCCCCAACACCCTCCCTGCCCCAACACTCCCCTCACCACCATCCTCCCCAACACCCTCCCTGCCCCAACACCCTCCCTGCCCCAACACCCTCCCTGCCCCAACACCCTCCCTGCCCCAACACACCCTCCCTGCCCCAACACACCCTCCCTGCCCCAACACCCTCCCTGCCCCAACACACCCTCCCTGCCCCAACACACCCTCCCTGCCCCAACACACCCTCCCTGCCCCAACACACCCTCCCTGCCCCAACACACCCTCCCTGCCCCAACACACCCTCCCTGCCCCAACACACCCTCCCTGCCCCAACACCCTCCCTGCCCCAACACACCCTCCCTGCCCCAACACACCCTCCCTGCCCCAACACACCCTCCCTGCCCCAACACACCCTCCCTGCCCCAACACACCCTCCCTGCCCCAACACACCCTCCCTGCCCCAACACCCTCCCTGCCCCAACACCCTCCCTGCCCCAACACACCCTCCCTGCCCCAACACACCCTCCCTGCCCCAACACTTCCCTCACCACCGTCCTCCCCAACACCCTCCCTGCCCCAACACACTCCCTGCCCCAATACCCTCCCTGCCCCAACACCCTCCCTGCCCCAACACCCTCCCTGCCCCAACACACTCCCTGCCCCAACACACCCTCCCTGCCCCAACACCCTCCCTGCCCCAACACCCTCCCTGCCCCAACACACTCCCTGCCCCAACACACCCTCCCTTCCCCAACACCCTCCCTGCCCCAACACCCTCCCTGCCCCAACACACCCTCCCTGCCCCAACACCCTCCCTGCCCCAACACACTCCCTGCCCCAACACCCTCCCTGCCCCAACACACTCCCTGCCCCAACACACTCCCTGCCCCAACACACTCCCTGCCCCAACACCCTCCCTGCCCCAACACCCTCCCTGCCCCAACACCCTCCCTGCCCCAACACACCCTCCCTGCCCCAACACCCTCCCTGCCCCAACACACCCTCCCTGCCCCAACACACCCTCCCTGCCCCAACACCCTCCCTGCCCCAACACACTCCCTGCCCCAACACACCCTCCCTGCCCCAACACCCTCCCTGCCCCAACACCCTCCCTGCCCCAACACACTCCCTGCCCCAACACACCCTCCCTGCCCCAACACCCTCCCTGCCCCAACACCCTCCCTGCCCCAACACACTCCCTGCCCCAACACACCCTCCCTGCCCCAACACCCTCCCTGCCCCAACACCCTCCCTGCCCCAACACACCCTCCCTGCCCCAACACCCTCCCTGCCCCAACACACCCTCCCTGCCCCAACACCCTCCCTGCCCCAACACACTCCCTGCCCCAACACCCTCCCTGCCCCAACACACTCCCTGCCCCAACACACTCCCTGCCCCAACACCCTCCCTGCCCCAACACCCTCCCTGCCCCAACACCCTCCCTGCCCCAACACACTCCCTGCCCCAACACACCCTCCCTGCCCCAACACCCTCCCTGCCCCAACACACCCTCCCTGCCCCAACACCCTCCCTGCCCCAACACCCTCCCTGCCCCAACACCCTCCCTGCCCCAACACACCCTCCCTGCCCCAACACACCCTCCCTGCCCCAACACACCCTCCCTGCCCCAACACCCTCCCTGCCCCAACACCCTCCCTGCCCCAACACACTCCCTGCCCCAACACACCCTCCCTGCCCCAACACCCTCCCTGCCCCAACACCCTCCCTGCCCCAACACCCTCCCTGCCCCAACACACCCTCCCTGCCCCAACACACCCTCCCTGCCCCAACACCCTCCCTGCCCCAACACACTCCCTGCCCCAACACACCCTCCCTGCCCCAACACCCTCCCTGCCCCAACACACCCTCCCTGCCCCAACACCCTCCCTGCCCCAACACACCCTCCCTGCCCCAACACCCTCCCTGCCCCAACACACCCTCCCTGCCCCAACACCCTCCCTGCCCCACAACCCCTGCCCCAACAACACACCCTCCCTGCCCCAACACACCCTCCCTGCCCCAACACACCCTCCCTGCCCCAACACACCCTCCCTGCCCCAACACCCTCCCTGCCCCAACACCCTCCCTGCCCCAACACACCCTCCCTGCCCCAACACCCTCCCTGCCCCAACACACCCTCCCTGCCCCAACACCCTCCCTGCCCCAACACACCCTCCCTGCCCCAACACACCCTCCCTGCCCCAACACTTAAGGATGTCCGCCACACCTCAAACACGTGACTTGTAAATAAATGTCTAACTCTTCAAGATAATTATTACACTTTTTACATTCCATTTTCGATTTTGGCGATATATTGAAAATTTTAAATATCACTAAAGCATGACAAATGTTGAGTTAGAGCTATAGCAACTGTGCTCACTATAGTAGTGAGAGTACGTCAGTTGGTCAATGGTGAGGAGGTGAGGTACTGGTGAGGCTGGCGTGGTGAGGCGCCTGCATGGTGAGGAGGTGAGGTACTGGTGAGGCTGGCGTGGTGAGGCGCCTGCATGGTGAGGAGGTGAGGTACTGGTGAGGCTGGCGTGGTGAGGCGCCTGCATGGTGACTCTTGTACCATTATGGTCCTAAACCTTGATGGTGGTGGAGGTGAACCTCAAGTCATCCTCCACACGTCAACCTGTCCGCTTACAAATTACGTCTGAATGAACAAATCTTGGTGACATAACCTAAAATGTCCATTACCTTGCTTTCAATTACCGGAGTTACACCCCCTGCCCACTCCCTCACCCCCCTCCCTCCCTGCCCACCCTTGACACTTGACACTGCCCACAGATGCGGTGGGCGACGGGCGTGTGGGCGTGCGTGGTGGTGGCGACGCTGGTGGGCGTGGAGGCGGCCGTGGCGTGCAACGAGGTGGTGTGTGCCAGCATGGTGAGCAAGTGCATGTTGACCCAGGCCTGCAAGTGTGACCTCACCAACTCCCCCGGCAACAACTGCACCTGTTGCCGCGACTGTGCCAAGTGCCTGGGCTACCTCTTCACCGAGTGCTGCTCCTGTCAAGGTCAGTGGGTCTAGGTCAGACGGGAGACCGACTCCCGTAGGTGACGGGAGACCGACTCCCGTAGGTGACGGGAGACGGCCTCCCACCGTCTCCTTCATTGTTGCCGCCGAAGGTGGCTAGTTTATTGTGCACCCCATACTCATCCTGTGAGCGGTAGCGCAAAAGCTTTACAGAGGGCACAAAAGGTCTTTATCAGACCTCATCTTAGATTATTACATAAACAATTTCTTCAATCCTTCACTCCTTATAGATACAATGTCAGCTAGTTACAGAGAAAGTGCTATTACAAGAGCTATATATTTACAGTAAGTCATCATACATTAATGGTAGGTCTTGTCGTTAATACATAATAGTTTGGCCAATGGGGATATTACAGAGTCATAGGGGAGCTTCTGTTTATTATTACTCCTCACAATACACTACTTGTTTCTGAATCTCATATGTCGTTCATCTACTGGAAGCAAAATGTGGATACAGTGCAAGGATTTTAGGTATTTTATCCTTAGTAATAAGATGGTTTGCCATCTTATTAAGCTTAGATTTATCTCTAAAAGGCTCAATTTTACAACAATCCAAGATATAGTGTTCGAGTGTGTGTCCCTGCCTATGTCCACACACTTCACCGTCTCCTTCATAACCTGGGATGAGCTGGAGTACTGGGAAGGAGGGGGGGGGGTATGTTTGAGAACTGGGGGATGTGCTTGTATATTATGAACTGGTACTTGTGTATGCTGGAGTACTGATATGCTCAGCAACTAAGGGTATTCCGGAGTCTTGAGGATATGTTGAAATACTGGAGTTATGCTGGAGTACGGTAGGTATACTGGAGTACGGTAGGTATACTGGAGTACGGTAGGTATTCTCGAGTACTCTGCTCGAGTGATCTGTTGTATGGTGTCTATTAATCTTGTTTAAATTACCAATCAAGCTGTCAATGTAATCAATCAGAGCTCTAATATACCAATGTGCTTTAATATACTTACTAATCTCTCTCATCTCATTTTTTCTTGCAATGTATCTTTATCATTTTATTAATTCTGCTAGAATTTACCTACTTAAAATTATCTGTTAGATTAAGGACCTGCCCGAAACGCTGCGCGTACTAGTGGCTTTACAAGATTGTAAATACTATGCTATGTATTCTCTCAAACCCAATGTACCTTCTTGTATATAAATAAATAAATACTTGAGGAATATTTGACTGCAAACATGCAAGAAGTCCCAGAAGTATACTAGAGTATGGGTGGTATGCTATAGAATCTGAGGCAGATTTGAGTTATGAGGGCATATTGGGATGTGGGGCATGTTGGGATGTGGGGCATGTTGTGGTGTGGGGCATGTTGGGGTGTGGGGCATGTTGCGGTGTGGGGCATGTTGGGATGTGGGGCATGTTAGAGTATAAAGCACTGGCCCCCCTCCCCCCACCCCACACACACACACACACACACACACACACACACACACACACACACACAATATGGTCTGGCAATGTCATTCATTCTTCCTGATTAACAGATCAAAACATTTATTTAAAGTCATTTATATTTATAAAATGTTTTGTAAGCAATGTTTCCTAATTGTCTGAATTTACCTCAAGACCACTATCTCTCTAGTGGCCTCGACGAGTACGGAAAGTCGACGAAATGACCCCATATATTTATTATATAACAATTTATCATTCCAGTTATACACGCGTACCCAAACACGTGACTGTATCTGTCAGTTTTTGTCAGTCTGCCAGCGCCCAGCTGATGTGTGAAGGTGTTGCAGGCATGTGTGAACCCAGGAGTCAGGTGTTGGACAAGACTGACTCCCAGGTCGGGGACCTGTCGGAACCCTTCCAGCAGCTCTTCCAGGCCCTGGCGGTGGAGAAGGACCCTCTCCTCCGCTGGACCACCATGACCTTCCCTATCGACGTGGCCCTCTCCGCCATCGACACCACCACTCTCGACAAGAGCAAATACAAGCTGGGTGAGTTGGGAGGCGGTAGACAGGGGGGGGGCTGGTAGACAGGAGGGGATCAGTAGACAGGGGGGACGGGAGGACTGGTAGACAGGGGGGGTCCAGTAGACAGGGGGGGACCAGTAGACAGGGAGGACCAGTAGACAGGGGGACCAGTAGACAGGGGGGACCAGTAGACAGGGGGGACCAGTAGACAGGGAGAAGCGGTAGACAGGAACCTCGATACATAAGGGTCATTTATTTCGCTTCACCATTGCGCTAAATATTTTACCTTAGCTCTGCACATTTCCAAAGATATTGAAAATATGACAGATGTTCTCTAACTGCCATCCTGTTTCTACATGTCTGCGAGTTTACCAGAATTTACCCTCGGGCCACTATCTCTAGTGGCCACTACATGTCTATATGCCACCTTTTGATCTCGAATTATTCAAGACCCGTCTGTTACATTATATTTTGAACGTAGGTTACTCATACTCCTTCACTAGTTATGTCCAATTAAGTGTCCAATTTTGATTTTGCCGTAAACTATTCCGTACAAACTAGGGGACTCTCCGGACCTTGCTGGAGAGTGAGCTTGGAACTCCTCCAGACACTCCCGCTGGTTGACACTCTTTTAACCTTTGTGTTTACCTATCGTTATGCGTTCTTTTAACGATGTATTTCTTGGTGGTGTGTGTTGGGGGTGCGGGCAGTGACCCACCCGCAGGACACCGCCCAGGTGGAGCAGGTGACGGTGAACTGCACAGTGCTCTACTGGGCCCAGTGTGTGTCCGGCAGCAAGTGTAAGGAGTTGTGCAAGACCACGGGAGCCTCCGCCTACCGCTGGTTCTTCGACGGGTGCTGCGAGTGTGTGGGCAGCCCCTGCATCAACTATGGCGTCAACGAGAGCAGGTCAGTCACGCCCCCACCTCTCTCCTCCTGCATCTCTCACTACATACATATACATATATTCAGTGACGCGCGTTAGCATGCACGCATACACACACGTGTATTCAAGTGTAGATACGATAGAGCCCAATAGCCTCAGGAACCTGTACACCAGTTGATTGGCAGTTGAGAGACGGGACCAAAGAGCCAGAGCTCAACCCCCGCAAGCACAAATAGGTGAGTACACGTCCACATTTACACGAGGTGGTGTGTGCAAAATACAGAGAAAGTTTAACAGTGAAAATGATACCTGGGCCAAGGAAGGCCAGATACTAACAACTTGTAAAACATCAAATCTTCAACACACACAAAGTGCTAAGCTAATTATGCTTATGGAGAGTGACCTTGAGTGTGTTTGGTCCTGTGTCTCGGCCTTCAGTCCACTTGTTCTTGAGCCTTGTGAGCTGTCACGTCAACACGTGAAGCTTCTTAGTGCATCTTTGTTCTGGCTCTCAAAGTTATTTATTTACAAATGTCACTGGTTTATATGGCAACTTGCCACGTGTGTCCCAGTGTTTATGTTCCCTCCCCCCCCCCATCACAAATGGTTTGTGTTTGTTCTGTCTGTTGCCACATGGCAATCATATCTTCCCTGACTCTTCTATATTCCTGAGACGTGAGGTTTAATTCCTCCTACCACTTGGGCTGGACGGTAGAACAACGGTCTCGCTTCATACAGGTCGGCGTTCAGTCCCCCGACTATCCAAGTGGCTGGGCACCATTCCATCCCCCCGTCCCATCCCAAATCTTTATCCTGACCCATTCCAAGTGCTATATAGTCGTATTGGCTTGGCGCTTTCCCTGTTTACGGGCTCACCATAGCCCGTGCTACATGGACATTTCGTTCTAAATAGCTAAATCTAAAACAACAGGCGCTTTCCCCTGCTAGTTCCCTTCCTCATAACTTGCCTCTCAGTTCTTCAGCGAGTCTGGTGGCACACCTCTCAGTTCTTCAGCGAGTCTGGTGGCACACCTCTCAACTTTCCACAGCTTTGTTTTATGTCTAACGAGAAATGGACTACACTAGCGCCGCATATTTAAAAATTGTCTGGCATGTGTGGTACACAAGGTCTTGAATGGTTCCTTAGTCAGATTTCTAACTGCAGTTCTTATACCGGCCAACCTTTCTTATGCAGCTGATGCTATCTGGTTGGTGTGGGCCTTATAAGACAACTTTTATATGATATCAACCTGCAAGTGTTTTTCTCTACCATGCTTTTCGTCCCCGAAAAAGTATACCAGTATACCACTGATTCCCTCAAGTCCATGTAGGGTCATCCATAACTATATTATCCTGCCATGCAACCCCTCTCCCCGTCCAATAGGCCACCCCAAGGCGCTTTAATCTTCCAGTGATGCCCTCATGCCCCCACAGGTGTATCCAGTGCCCCCCGATAGACCAGAACGATGAGAACGACGACATCCTCACTGATCAGTACCTGGCGAACAACTCTGCCGACACCTTCGACGAGGTGGCGGCCCAGGAGGACATCCTCTCCGGGAACGACCCCACCGTGTAGTGAGGGCGCTACCGTAGGGCAGCCGCTGCTGGGCCGTGTCCTTGGCCCTCGCCGCCTCCACCACAGCGCGTCGCCGGCTCGCCACGACCACCCACTTGCGTCGTCATCTATACATTTAATGCAACAGAAAATCGGATATATAGCGATAGTATGGAGAAGCGTGACACCGGATATAGCATACTACCGAGTAGCGCTTCCTGGTAGTGTGTTGACGCTTCACGTCCGTGCTTCACGTCCGTGCTTCACGTCCAAGCTCCACTTCCGTGCTTCACGTCCAAGCTCCACGTTCAAGCTCCACGTCCGTGCTTCACGTCCATGCTTCACGTTTCACGGACGCGCGACTACTGGCAAATATATGTGTCTTTACTACGTAAATTATCAAGAGATATCTTGTAATAAAAGGTGGCAGAAATGGTCAAGCTCTGAGTGAGGCTTGCGAGAAACATGTGTATAAATGTGCTGTTGAGGTGACTTGTACTACGAAGGCTGTCTGCGTGGATACCTCACATGTGAAGAAAACTATATATTCTTATTTTGCTTTGTTTTTAAGGCCAAGATTCCAGCTTAAGGAGATTGAGTCAGGGCCAGGACCTTGCTTTTATACTCTTGAACTCTCAGACTTCTTTTCGGAGAAATCTGTTAAATTTAGCAAACTATTGATAAATAATGGTTAGTAAATACAGTATGTTGTATTATCCCAGAACCGTTCTGTACTTGAAGCTTTCTCCTCGGCTGGAGCACTCTTCTTTATACCTTGGTAGACTAGTGGTAATGGCTGTCGACCAGTGGTAACGGCTGTCGACCAGTGGTAATGGCTGTCGACCAGTGGTAATGGCTGTCGACCAGTGGTAACGGCTGTCGACCAGTGGTAACGGCTGTCGACCAGTGGTAACGGCTGTCGACCAGTGGTAACGGCTGTCGTCCAGTGGTAACGGCTGTCGTCCAGTGGTAACGGCTGTCGTCCAGTGGTAACGGCTGTCGTCCAGTGGTAACGGCTGTCGTCCAGTGGTAACAGCTGTCGTCCAGTGGTAACGGCTGTCGTCCAGTGGTAACGGCTGTCGTCCAGTGGTAACAGCTGTCGTCCAGTGGTAACGGCTGTCGACCAGTGGTAACAGCTGTTGACCAGTGGTAACAGCTGTCGTCCAGTGGTAACAGCTGTCGTCCAGTGGTAACAGCTGTCGTCCAGTGGTAACAGCTGTCGATCAGTGGTAACAGCTGTCGACCAGTGGTAACAGCTGTCGACCAGTGGTAACAGCTGTCATCCAGTGGTAACAGCTGTCGACCAGTGGTAACAGCTGTCGTCCAGTGGTAACAGCTGTCGATCAGTGGTAACAGCTGTCGATCAGTGGTAACAGCTGTCGACCAGTGGTAACAGCTGTCATCCAGTGGTAACAGCTGTCGACCAGTGGCAACAGCTGTCGACCAGTGGCAACAGCTGTCGACCAGTGGTAACAGCTGTCGTCCAGTGGTAATGGCTGTCGTCCAGTGGTAACGGCTGTCGTCCAGTGGTAACGGCTGTCGACCAGTGGTAACGGCTGTCTTCAGCCGTTACCACTAATACAATCCTGATAAAATTAGATTTGTATTATTGATATTGTGTGTTACGTAATAACCTTTATCTCACACTTGGAATTACAAATAACAATTATTGTAACATTAACCTTTGATATACCTTGGCCAGGAATACTGTATGTTAACGGGGCAATGAGAGACGAGGCAGGCCAGCCACACAAGATGGTTCAACCCCCCCCCCCCCCCCTTCTCTGTTCACTGCACATTACGTCGCCTTGTTCACAAGTCCCTGATGTATTACAGCTAACCTGACTTGTTGTTCTTTGCAGACGATGAGTCACAATAACGTGGCTGAAGTATGTTGACAAGACCACACACTAGAAGGTGAAAGGACGACGACGTTTCGGTCCGTCCTGGACCATTCTCAAGTTGATTGTGTCACAATCGACTTGAGAATGGTCCAGGACGGACCGAAATGTCGTCGTCCCTTCACACTGTAGTGTGTGGTCTGGTCAACATGTTGTCCTCTGCTCCAACTACACGCTGCCTCCAGCGACTATAGGAAGTGTGCTCTTTGCTTAGTTTGGAGAGCGGCTACGCTGTCTGCTCTTAGTACTTTGCCTGGAAGAAGTTGATCTTAGTACTTTGCCTGGAAGAAGTTGATCTTAGTACTTTGCCTGGAAGAAGTTGATCTTAGTACTTTGCCTGGAAGAAGTTGATCTTAGTACTTTGCCTGGAAGAAGTTGATCTTAGTACTTTGCCTGGAAGAAGTTGATCTTAGTACTTTGCCTGGAAGAAGTTGATCTTAGTACTTTGCCTGGAAGAAGTTGATCTTAGTACTTTGCCTGGAAGAAGTTGATCTTAGTACTTTGCCTGGAAGAAGTTGATCTTAGTACTTTGCCTGGAAGAAGTCGACTCTGGCAAACAGCAGAGTCCTTCATTTTGTTGAAGAAAGTAAAGTGTTGTGGCTCGCAGAGTTATTGGTTTTAATAAACGGGAGAGATAGAGATTTCTTATGTAACGATGTGCATTGAATTTTTTTTAACTAGCTTAAGATTGTAACTTGCTTAGCCAAATTAATTGTGGGGTTCAGTCCCTGAGCCCCTTATGTGCTTCTGTAACCCTATCACTACCGCCCACAGGATGGGTATGGGGTGCATAATAAATGAACTAGACTAACTATACTATCAATGTTAACCCTTCCCATATCCGGGAGAAGATTTACAATAATTGAGGCGAGTTCTAACCTACTGTAGTACCCGTCCTTCATGGTTCTTAGTATAGTACTTCAACTCCTAGTGCACACTCCTCGACACATTAGGAACACACTCCTAGTGTAGTGTGTTCAGCATCAGAGAGACAATGTTAACATTACCAATAAATATGAGGGAAAGTTCTTTGGCCTATACAGAGACCAGAGACTGAACTTCAGCATCCACATACAACAACGAAAAAGTCTCAAAAACGGTCGATATACTTTATAAAATATAATATTATGTTCCCCACTCTGCTCTCCTCTCATTATACTACGCACTAGTCTATCCCTATCTTACATACGGTATCTGTGCCTGGGGTTCAACCACTGTAAATTACCTTAAGCATATCATCACCCAGCAAAAATGTATTAGAACTCTAACAAACTCTGTTTTTAGAGAACACACAGCCGCTCTGTTCAAGTCCCTCAAGCTGCTAAACATTCACTCCACACATTGTCATATGTTATCTACATGTACGAAACATTATTCCTAAATGGTAATATTGATCTGAAACTTTTCCTTAACAGAGGTAATAGAACCCATGAGCACCACACCAGAAATAAATAACATTTTGATATCCCTAGAATCGGGCAAAATCTGTGCAAACACCCCATGCAAATGACAGGGCCCAGTTTTTGGAACTCGCTCCCTCATGAATTAAAAAAATTGTCCAACCAATGGCTTGTTCAAGAGTAAAACCAAAAAGTACTTAGTTTCATCCTCATTTTTTCCTACCTTGTGCCTCAAACTCACGCGGTATCTTTATAGTACCAATGTTAGTACCCAATGTTAGTACTTAAAACTTATTCGGTACCTTACTAGTGTAATCACCTCTATCAATTTATATTGTTTATCTAAAACCTTGCTACTATGTACTTTTTTCCATCTTATATGTTAGATTAATGAGTTACCCATGAGGAGCCGGTCGGCCGAGCGGACAGCACGCTGGACTTGTGATCCTGTGGTCCTGGGGTCAATCCCAGGCGCCGGCGAGAAACAACGGGCAGAGTTTCTTTCACCCTATGCCCCTGTTACCTAGCAGTAAAATAGGTACCTGGGTGTTAGTCAGCTGTCACGGGCTGCTTCCTGGGGGTGGAGGCCTGGTCGAGGACCGGGCCGCGGGGACACTAAAAAGCCCCGAAATCATCTCAAGATAACCTCAAGATAACTTCTACCCGAAACGTTATGCGTGTTAGTGGCTTTACAAGAATGTAAAAATATCACTCAAATGTAATCTCACCAACCCATTGTACCTTATTGTAAATAAAATATTATTGTTATTATTTTATAGTACCCGTCCTTCATGGTTCTTAGTATAGTGCCCGTCCTTCATGGTTCTTAGTATAGTGCCCGTCCTTCATGGTTCTTAGTGTAGTGTCCGTCCTTCATGGTTCTTAGTGTAGTGCCCATCCTTCATGGTTCTTAGTGTAGTGCCCGTCCTTCATGGTTCTTAGTGTAGTGTCCGTCCTTCATGGTTCTTAGTGTAGTGCCCATCCTTCATGGTTCTTAGTGTAGTGCCCATCCTTCATGGTTCTTAGTGTAGTGCCCGTCCTTCATGGTTCTTAGTGTAGTGTCCGTCCTTCATGGTTCTTAGTGTAGTGCCCATCCTTCATGGTTCTTAGTGTAGTGCCCATCCTTCATGGTTCTTAGTGTAGTGCCCGTCCTTCATGGTTCTTAGTGTAGTGTCCGTCCTTCATGGTTCTTAGTATAGTGCCCATCCTTCATGGTTCTTAGTGTAGTACCCGTCCTTCATGGTTCTTAGTATAGTGCCCATCCTTCATGGTTCTTAGTGTAGTGCCCATCCTTCATGGTTCTTAGTGTAGTGCCCGTCCTTCATGGTTCTTAGTATAGTGCCCGTCCTTCATGGTTCTTAGTGTAGTGCCCATCCTTCATGGTTCTTAGTGTAGTGCCCGTCCTTCATGGTTCTTAGTGTAGTGTCCGTCCTTCATGGTTCTTAGTGTAGTGCCCATCCTTCATGGTTCTTAGTGTAGTGCCCATCCTTCATGGTTCTTAGTGTAGTGCCCGTCCTTCATGGTTCTTAGTGTAGTGCCCGTCCTTCATGGTTCTTAGTGTAGTGTCCGTCCTTCATGGTTCTTAGTATAGTGCCCATCCTTCATGGTTCTTAGTGTAGTGCCCATCCTTCATGGTTCTTAGTGTAGTGCCCGTCCTTCATGGTTCTTAGTGTAGTGCCCATCCTTCATGGTTCTTAGTATAGTACCCGTCCTTCATGGTTCTTAGTGTAGTGCCCATCCTTCATGGTTCTTAGTATAGTACCCGTCCTTCATGGTTCTTAGTGTAGTGCCCATCCTTCATGGTTCTTAGTATAGTACCCGTCCTTCATGGTTCTTAGTGTAGTGCCCGTCCTTCATGGTTCTTAGTGTAGTGTCCGTCCTTCATGGTTCTTAGTATAGTGCCCATCCTTCATGGTTCTTAGTATAGTACCCGTCCTTCATGGTTCTTAGTGTAGTGCCCGTCCTTCATGGTTCTTAGTGTAGTGCCCGTCCTTCATGGTTCTTAGTGTAGTGCCCGTCCTTCATGGTTCTTAGTATAGTGCCCGTCCTTCATGGTTCTTAGTGTAGTGCCCGTCCTTCAAGGGACCGAAATAAGTAAGCCTCTGAGTGTGGCAAATTAATATTTCCATTTCATTTCTTTATTATGCACCCCATACCCATCCCGTGGGCAGTGGTGGAAAAGGTACCTAGGCACATAATGGGTTCAGGAACTGAACCCCATAGATCGTTTAGTTAAACACGTGACAATCTTTGAAGCTAGTTACACAACTGTTAATGTTCATACACAAGTACATATGTATATAATCACTTACACAAATACATATCAATAATCTTCTTATCACAAGTGATTCAACAAGAGGCTCACTACAGTCACTATACAAGGCACTTTACATCTATGGCGAGTCACACAGTTACTAGTCTTGCTCCACACCCACCCAACTGGGCGGCAGCTTTACAGTCATGTGCTCCACACCCACCCAACTGGGCGGCAGCTTTACGGTCATGTGCTCCACACCCACCCAACTGGGCGGCAGCTTTACGGTCATGTGCAGGCGACACCTACAGTAAGCAAATTTTGGATACTTCGCTAAGATTCCTGGCAGTACACCATGATGAATGAAGTACTTACACATTTCTTGGACACTATTGATGGTGTTATCTCTGAATTCCGCGATTTTTTCACATTATATAATGACGCAAAGTATGCGAATAGTTTTGCTAACAGAGTTTACATTTAGTCAGATATATATCAGCAGATATTACAAGCTCCCAGAGGTACTTGTAGCTGAGCCTAAGCATAGCAGTGGTAAAATCTAAAAGTATGCTAACATTATTGGATGAGCCATAGACGTGATGTTCTTCCTGCATAATAGAATGATGATAAATAGAGTAACTGGTGTGAACACAGTTCCCACTTGTCAGCCATTAGCACCAACTCTCACCTTCCTCCCAACCAACTTGACAAAAACTTCCATGATAATTCCCACCTTTATATTTAACAACCCGTCCTCGACTCATGTCCATTACATCCAGCGGTCGACCCCACAGATGTATTCATAAATTTTGTCATGCTGTTCATTCAAAACGGGAATTTTCGCAAATATAAATTAATATTACAATATATTAGCATATTGTGCATATATATAGGTTAGGTGTTTAGGTTCTGTTGGCGATTATTTGTATTTGTAGTACGTGAGTGAAGCATTTATAGCAACCCGTCCTCGACTCAAGTCCATTACATCCAGCGGTCGACCCCACAGACGCATTCATAAATTTTAACATGCTGTTCATTTAAAACAGGAATTTTCTCAAATATAAATTAATATTATGATATATTAGCATATTGTGCATATATAGGCATAGGTTAGGTTAGGTTTGGTGGTTGGGTTCTGTTAGCGATTATTTGTATTTGTAGTATGTGGGTGAAGCATTTATAGCGTTGTGGTTCGAACAAAATTCGTCAATGAAGCATTTGTTCCGGAAGTGTTCGAACGAAATGAGTTGTGAGTCGTGTGTAAACCGTTTTTCATTCATAAACAGGGGGTTTGGCGGGTGCATGGAATCACTTTTGTATCTTTGTTTGGAGGACGGGCTGGCTTAGAACCGATTTCGTTCGAACATTTCCGGAACAAGTGGTTCACTGACAAATTTTGTTCGAACCACAACGCTATAAATGCAGCCCGTCCTCCAAACAAAGATCCAAAAGTGATTCCATGCACCCGCCAAACCCCCTGTTTATGAATGAAAAGCGGTTTACACACGACTCACAACTGCTGACGTTCGAACATATCCGGAACAAGTGTTTCACTGACGAATTTTGTTCGAATCACAACGCTATAAATGCTTCACCCACGTACTACAAATACAAATAATCGCCAACAGAACCTAAACACCTAATCTAACCTAATCTATGCCTATATCCATATATAGTGGATAACCTCTTATCCACTATCTATGACAATAATCACTTTAATGATCTAAATTGCAGATATTTTGCAGCACATGATGTAAACAATGTATTAACTCATAATCACAATATCTCTGTAATCAATTTGAACGTTAGATCCCTAGGTAAACACTTCGATGATGTTAGTGCCTTGATTGAAACTATTGGCAACAAATTCTCTTTTATTATACTTACTGAAACATGGTTGAAAGAGGATACTACTCAACTCTTTAACATGCCTAACTACTCAGCAATTCACAACTGTCGTCAACTTCAGAGAGGTGGTGGCACTGCTCTTTACTACCACCAAGAACTAACATGCCTAAAAGAAATTAGAACTAGAGACTGCTATGGGGAGTATATCTTCGCCAGCTTCAGAGTCAAGGGTGCCGAGTCTGTCCTGTCTGTGGGTGCAGTCTATAGAATTCCCAACACTGATGTGTCTGTATTCAACTCAAACCTTAGAAATCTAATACTTGATAACAGACTGAACAAAAACCACCTAATTATCGCAGGGGACTTTAATATTGACCTCTGCGAGCCAGAACACCCTACTGCTGTTAGCTTCCTCAACTGTATGAATTCCTGCCTCCTCATACCCTTAATCACTAGACCTACTAGAATCACTGATAGCACTGCCACGACTCTAGATCACATCTGGACCAACATAACCTCTCCGCTTACTTCAGGTATAATCACCGATAGCACTACAGACCACTACCCCACATTTCTCTTAACTAACATTAGCAAACCACCTCTAGAAACAAGGGAGTTAAGCTTTAGGCTGCACAATGAAACTGCTATAAACAATTTTATAACTGCTGCTGATAATGTCAACTGGGAGTCCGAATTAGGTAACATAGGGGACATCAACCTAGCAGTGCAATCTTTTCTACAAACAACTCTTAGCCTTTATAACACCCACTGTCCTAGGCTTACAAAACAAGTCACAAGCAAAAGGCTTAACAATCCTTGGCTTACAAAGGGAATACTGAAATCCATTAACAAAAAACACGACCTTGAGAAGAAGTATAGGTTAGGAATTGTCTCCAAAGAATTCTCAAAGAATTACTCATTATTGCTAACTAAGATAATTAGACGAGCCAAAACTAATTACTACGAAGATAAATTTACTCAAATAAAGAGCAACATTAAACAAACTTGGAGCACAATTTCACAAATATTGGGATCAAAGAAATCTTTAAATAACAAACCGACTCTCCTGTCTAATAACGATGGTCAGCTTTCAGCCTCTGATTCTGCTATTGAGTTCAATAGGTTCTTCTCTTCCATTGGTTCATCCCTTGCAAATGATATTCCATCTTCCAGTACTGACATTAAGGACTATCTTACAGGTAACTATCCACAGTCTCTGTACCTAAAGCCTATTAACTCCACTGACGTCAATGAGATAATCCTTTCCCTTAAAACCAAGTCTGGTGCCCTTGAGGAGATACCAACTTTAATTTACAAAAAAGCCTCCAGATCTTTAGCCCCTGCTATTGCTTTGCTCTTCAACAAGTCACTTGAACTCCAAACCTTTCCAGATATTCTAAAAAAAGCGAGAGTAACGCCTGTCCACAAATGTGGTGACCCCACAGATGTTAACAACTACAGACCTATATCAATCCTGCCAAACTTGTCAAAAATTTTTGAAAAACTTATATACAAGCAGCTTTACTCATATCTAGCCAAACTCAATATACTTAGCCCTTGCCAATATGGCTTCAGACCCAAAAAAAGCACTAACGATGCACTTATTAGTATGCTTAACTCGATTCATACAGCTCTTGATAAAAAGGAGCTCCCTGTTGGGTTATTTGTGGACCTGCGTAAAGCTTTTGATACTGTCAACCACCAAAACCTTCTTCTTAAACTACATCATTATGGAGTCAGAGGACACTCCCTACAATACCTCGAGTCCTACCTTACTGACAGGCTCCAATATGTTTCTGTGAATAATACAATTTCTCCCACCCTACCCATCAACATTGGTGTTCCTCAGGGCAGCATACTTGGCCCTCTCCTCTTTCTCATCTACATTAATGACCTTCCAAATGCCTCCCAACACCTCAAACCAATTCTATTTGCTGACGACACAACCTTCATTTACTCCAGTCCTGACCCTCTTGCTCTAAATGCCACAGTAAATACTGAGCTAAATAAAGTCCATCTTTGGCTAACTGCCAACAAACTCACCCTTAACATTGACAAAACCTTCTATATTCTGTTTGGCAATAAATCCTCTAGTCTTATAAATCTCAAAATAAACAATACCCAAATTTGTAACAAATTAGATGGCAAATTCCTTGGCATTCTCATTGACCACAAGCTGAATTTCCAGGGACACATTCTAAATATATCAAAAAAAGTTTCAAAAACTGTGGGCATTCTTTCTAAGATCAGATATTATGTACCACGCCCTGCTCTGGTGACTCTCTATTACTCCCTTATCTATCCTTATCTCAACTATGGTATTTGTGCTTGGGGTTCTACTACCCAAAATCACTTACGTCCTCTAATTACCCAACACAAAGCCGCTATTAGAACAATATCCAACTCTGGCCCCAGACATCACTCGGTACCCCTACTCAAATCTCTTAATATGTTAGATATTAAGTCACTGCACATTCTCTCATGTGTATTATACATATATAAAACGCTAAACTATAATGCCAATCCTGATCTTAAAAGCTTCATAGAAGGTTGTAACAGAACCCATGAGCACCACACCAGAAATAAATACAGTTTTGATATTCCTAGAGTACGTCTTAATCAAACTAGAAATGCTCTGCAAATCAAGGGGCCCAGAATGTGGAATGACCTTCCCAACCATGTTAAAGACTGTACCTCTCTCAACCAGTTTAAGATAAAAACTAAACACTACCTAATAAATTCCCTGTAATCTACCTCACTCCTCTATTGTCAACCCATGTCTGTTATTTTCTTTTTTTTTTCTTTTTTTTAATCAACACTGTTTGTCAACCTATTGTATTTGTGCTGCTTTTTCAGTCATGTTCCCCCTTTTTTTTTATCTTTATTTGTATTTGTTCTCAACATCTTTTATTCTTTATGCTCAATTAGTATTAAGTTCTAGATATTAATGTTTTTTCTTGCCCGAAACGCATTGCGTAATAGTGGCTTTAGGCATTGTATGTACTAGCTCTATCTATATATCAATCCATTAATGTAACATCACTTGTATGTATATACCTTACCTGAATAAACATCTGAATCTGAATCTGAATCTATATATGCACAATATGCTAATATATTATAATATTAATTTATACTTTACAAAATTCCCGTTTTGAATGAACAGCATGTTAAAATTTATGAATGCGTCTGTGGGGTCGACCGCTGGATGTAATGGACTTGAGTCGAGGACGGGTTCCCTAAGCTGTGTGTAAACCGTTTTTCATTCATAAACAGGGGGTTTGGCGGGTGGATGGAATCATTTTTGGGTCTTTGTTCGGAGGACGGGCTGGTCTGAGAGCCTCTTGAATACTTTCATTAACGTGCACTCTATGCGAATTTTGGAATATAATAATTAGGAACATAATATAATAATTGTTGAAATATATTAATTTAGACATTTATATTTGCAACACTTTTTACGACGCTAAATTTATTTATTTATTATTTATTTATTTATAGGTGTTTTTTTACATTCTTGCAAAGCCAACAAACACGCATAAGAGTTTTGACGTACTATAATCACCCCTCACTCCTGTGAGCACTAATGGACCCCACACCCACCCCCCTATGAGTGATAGCTTTTATTAACAAGTTTAGGCATACCGAGCAATGTGCTGCTGCTTTATTGAAGATGAAGGAATACAAAGTTTGGATCAAGAGCTATACAAATTCATCTAATGTCCCAATCTCATAGGATGGTTAGTTATACATGGAATTATACTTTGGGCACAACACTAGGGTATCTTCCAATATTTGTGAGTGTGTCAAGTAGCTACAGAACTCAAAGAATCTCATGCCATTTGATCTGAGGTGGGCGTTGACCCCATACCCATCCTGTTAGTTGTAGGGGAAAGGTTACAACCGCACATAATTGGGCTCAGGAACTAAAGTCCCTATGTAATTTAGCTAAGCAAGTTATAGCACTGATGAGCTAGTTATGTAAGTTAATATATTCATTAGTATATTCATAGTTGATCCAACTATATCGGCCGAAACGCTGTGCGTATTAGTGCTTTAGGCATAGTATATACTAGTTCTATCTAGAAATCCAACATTCTGTTTCCAACTCATTTTGTATGTATTACTTTTACCTGAATAAAATTTACTATTACTGTTATTATTATTATTATTAACTAACCACAGTGTTGGTGGGTGACAGGAAGGTTTGTGTCATATAATGTGTGCAAGTACTGGACCCAAATGATCTTTAAACTGATCAATTGACTTTTGTTACGAACTGGTTACATGTACCTGATCTATCATTGCACTGCATCTATTACTGCATATGTGGGGCAATATTCTCTCCGGTATATTATAGAGCGAATATTATTCTCTCCGGCAATATTTGCTGCCAGCAGACGACGTTATGTATAACTTTTGTTTTTATCTCGCACCCAAATTGATATTAGAGTTTCCTAAGAATGTCTCGGTTGACGGTCATATTTTACAACCAATCTGAATAGCCAATATGATATAGGGGGTATATGTGTGTGTGTATGGGGGTAGTAAGTGACAGGGAAGGTGTAGCAGAGGCGAGAGTGGTTTTGGGTGCGGACACCAGGCTCGGGGTTCCTCCATCTTGGGTCGGCCAGTAAGCAGCAGACACCACCATGGCGCTTCTCTCAGCACGCCTCGCCTCCTCCCTCGTCAGGAACCTGCCCAGGGCAAGCCCACAGGTAACTTTCTGGTCACCATAGCTCTTGTAAGAGGGTGCGTAGCGACCAGTTATGTTGCTACAGGGAGGGAAAATAAGGTTTTGTTAGTGGGTGTGAGTGTCCCAGCCGGCCGGCCGCCGGTCCCTCTGGGATCAGCTGATCTACCTTCCTGCAATGTCACCTCTAAGGAGTATAGTGATGCCCTGAGGGCTGTCAGCCGTCACACGACAGTTGAGGAGACGGGAATGTTATACTAGTGGGAGGTGGGAGGAGCCGGACGGTGCAGGAGCCGGGGGCCGTCACCCAGGGCTCCCACCCTCCCTGCTCCCTTACGGGTAAAAACAACAAAGCTCTTTTCTAATTATGAAAACCTTGTATATCGTTTGGCTAGCCAGTGTTAGGATGGGTTGGGTAAAATTAGCTTTGAAAATCGGTTTGCGAACTGTTGGTTACAATGTAATTTGTATCTACTTGTAACAATTAGTATACTTCACGTATCCTAATAGTGTGTAATTCGGCCTAAGAGAGCAGCATACACCCCAGAGCCACAGACAAGCTGTACACACATGGAGCATGTTGCTCTTGTCTTGAAAACTCTAGTTTGGTTAGAGGGGGTTCCATCAGATTTAAATTTACTTTTTTGTGTATAAAGTGACTTGTATTCAGACGTTAAAGGTTAATTGTGTAAGTTGTCTTGTCTGACATTGGTGGACTAGAGGTATACCTCTTGAGATTATAATCACTAACGTAAGTTTGTCAGTAGTGGCAGTGATAAATCTTTGTACTGTTCAGTGTGAAATGTTATCTGGTGGTGTCTTGTGCACTGTTCTCTGGTGGGAAGATGGGTATGTGGAATGTCTGCAACGGCTGCAATTTAACCCATACTGTGCCATATACTGTAGTTCAGTATCTGTTAAAAATTTCTAATATATGGTTTTGTATATATATTTTCATGGGGTAAAATCCTTAACCATTGCTAGATTTTGAACATTTATGTATTTTCTATACAGTTTTGATATACAGTACTTCATTGGTAGTCTTGACAAGTACAATAATATTGTCAAGGTTCATTCCTGAATCTAAACTATTTGTATTAGAATAACTAGGACCTATGATAGAATCCTGTACCACTACACTTATGAATAAATTTTATTCCATTTAAAAAAATTTGTGCTCCTGAAAATTTGTATTAAAGTGCAATTGTACACAATGTTACTGTTCTGTGCTATGTACTGTGTTAATCCATGTTTCATGACTTAACAGACCTGGGATTGCCAAAAGCAACTAAACATACTCCCTATATTCATCAAAAGCTACATTGTCTAGATTTAGAGTGTAATTTTTTATTTTTTAGGTTGTGAAGCTTTTGCCAGCAGCAAATATTGTCTCGCGCAAGCTCTCTACCACCAATGTTGCTGCCACTGCAGAGGTTTCCACCATTCTGGAGGAACGCATTCTTGGTACAATTTTTCTCTTCAGTTTTAGTGGTGTTCATTCCTCCCCTTTCCATTAAAAATTTTTAATAGGGATTGATGAATTGTATATAATTTTCATATTGACTTCTTCATATTGTGGTTAATTGTATATTTGTTATTATGATAAATTTTGTTCTGTTTAGGTGCTGCCCCCAAAGTCAACCTGGAGGAGACTGGTCGTGTGCTGAGCATTGGTGATGGTATTGCTCGTGTATATGGCCTGAAGAACATCCAGGCTGAAGAGATGGTAGAGTTTTCTTCTGGACTGAAGGGTATATAGACATTTGTTTACTCAAAATATTTTAAATTTGGGCAATTTCAATGTTTTATAAATATTTGATATACCTTATCTATAGTGCAGTACACAACTGTGTTAAAGAATGTTTGCAAAGTATAAATTAAAATTTACTCCAGAAAGTTCCTTCAGAGGATTATTAAACATTGACAGCTGCTTGCTGGTTGATGCCTGGTTGATGGGGTTCTGGGAGTTCTTCTACTCCCCAAGCCCGGCCCGAGGCCAGGCTTGACTTGAGAGTTTGATCCACTAGGCTGTTGCTTGGAGTGGCACGCAGGCCCACATACCCACCACAGCCCGGTTGGTCTGGCACTCCTTGGAGGAATAAATCTAGTTTCCTCTTGATGTCCACGGTTGTTCTGGCAATATTTCTTGTGCTCGCTGGGAGGGTGTTGAACAACCGTGGACCTCTGATGTTTATACAGTGTTCCCTGATTGTGCCTATGGCACCCCTGCTCTTCACTGGTTCTATTCTGCATTTTCTTCCATGTCGTTCACTCCAGTACGTTGTTATTTTACTGTGTAGATTTGGTACTTGGCCCTCCAGTATCTTCCAGGTGTATATTATTTGATATCGCTCTCGTCTTCTTTCTAGTGAGTACATTTGGAGGGCTTTGAGACGATCTCAATAATTTAGGTGCTTTATCGCGTCTATGCGTGCCGTATATGTTCTCTGTATTCCCTCTATTTCGGCAATCTCAACTGCTCTGAAGGGGGAAGTGAGTACTGAGCAGTACTCAAGACGGGACAACACAATTGACTTCAAGAGTACAACCATTGTGATGGGATCCCTGGATTTGAAAGTTCTCGTAATCCATCCTATCATTTTTCTGGCTGACGCAATATTTGCTTGGTTATGCTCCCTAAACGTTAGGTCATCAGACATCATTATTCCCAAATCCTTTACATGCTGTTTTCCTACTATGGGCACATTTGATTGTGTTTTGTACTCTGTATTATGTTTAAGGTCCTCATTTTTACCGTACTTGAGTACCTGGAATTTATCACTGTTAACCCTCAAACCGCGCATATCATATATAAATGATATCGGTGACAAAACCGAAACCGCGCACATCATTTATATATGATTTCGTGTCTAGCGCTATAATTTAAACGCCCCGCCTGGGACAGGGGCAGCTATAGTACAGCCACGACCAATAGTTGCCAGATGCCACCTAGAAAAAAATCCAGGCCAACATTCTTGGGTGTTACAGCGTCAGTATTGAGCAAGCCACCAAGGCTGGCGCACGCAGCACGAGCTCACAGCACCGCTGTTCAGCTTGTGACCACAGCATCGCCTACAAATACCATAATATAAATGATACTGCTATTATTTAGCAGTGATAGTATTACTGAAGCCCCCTGACTGTGATAAAACTGACCAAGATTCTGATAATAGCAGGATTGTGGTGATATTTAGCGCTGTGCTCCATGGAGGGAGGAGTAAGACTGTGGGAGGGAGGGTTGTGGCGTCGTTTTCTGGCTGTGTGTGGTCACCATTTATTGACTGCACTCACCATACCAGCTTAGTGGTTCGCCATGGTGAACACAAATGTAGATACTTATATATAACGTGTGTATAGTGAGAGATAACAGCGAGAGGAGTAGATTGGGAGCCGCCATTTAGGTGAGGGAGGAGCGTCGTCTGCACGACTTGGCATGTTATTTACTGATGGCCACTATGATCTTTGGGCACCATACCAGCTTATTTGTTCAGGTATGGTGAATAAAACAGGTAGATACTTATATATAATGTGTATATAGCGTAATAACACCACAAACAATATTGTTGGAGGATAAATATTAGTGCGTCTGGCCTTGAGGGCAGCCGCCGATCAGCTGACTGTGAGTAGCTACGTCTTTATGCCTTTACTCACCATACAAGCTTAGATGTACAGTTATGGTGAACAAAACATGTAAATACGTATATATAAAGTCTGTGTATAGTGAATAAATACAAAGAGTATTGTGGGAGGTGAATGAGGGTGAGTGAGGTGGTGTTGAGGGAGTGAGTGGCTCGCTGGTGTTTGGCGATCACTCCTCGTTGCTTTTTGACTCGCAAGACCAACTTAGTAGTTCGTTATGGTGTACAAAACATGCAAATACTTATATATAACGTGTGTATATAGTGTAACAACAGCAAAACTATTTGTTTGTTGTTTTATGAACATAATTGAATCACTAATATGCACACCATAATTCTGAGTACAGCGATGGTTCACACATTTTATAATATAAATATACCACAATTCACTGTATGGAATAATGTTACTGCAAAAAACTAAGAAAAAATCAGACATTGAAATAATTAGGTAATATATTTGTGGCAACTGCCGTCTGACAGCTCGGGCGGAGTAGACCTCGTCTGGCGAAGGCTCTGCCAACGCCCCTTTTTTGCCACACTTCCCTACCCTATTGCTGCTAAAATATGCCACCTACGATTTTGTTATTTTTTCCGTGATCAGGGAACAAAAATGAACACTTCTGTAAGACGAAAGAATTTTTTGGATTTTTTTTGTTGCGCTTGTGGGTGTGAATTCCATTTGGGCCCCCTAGCAGTTTGAGGGTTAAACATCATGTTATTTTCTGATGCCCAGTCGAAAACTTTATTAATATCAGCTTGAAGTTTTTAAATGTCTTTAGCCGAGGTAATTTTCATACTGATTTTTGTCATCTGCAAAGGATGATACGAAGCTGTGGCTTGTATTTTTATCTATATCCGATAAGAGAATAAGGAAAAGCAGCGGTGCAAGGACTGTACCTTGAGGTACAGAGCTTTTAACTGCGCTCAGACTAGATTTTATATGGTTGACCGTTACTCGCTGAGTCCTGTTTGACAGAAAACCGAGTATCCAGTGTCCTACTTTACCGGTCATTCCCATTGACTTCATTTTGTGTGCTATCACGCCATGGTCACATTTATCGAAAGCCTTTGCGAAGTCCTTGTATATCACATCAGCATTCTGTTTTTCTTCTAATGCCTCTGTGACTGTCATAGTGATCAAGTAGCTGCGAGAGGCACGATCTTCCCGCTCGAAATCCATGTTGGCCTGGGTTGTGAAGGTCATTGGTCTCCATGAAATTGGTGACCTGACTCCTAATCAGTCTCTCAAATACTTTTATTATGTGCAATGTTAGTGCAACTGGTCAATAATTCTTTGCCAATGCTTTGCTCCCTCCCTTGTGTAGAGGGGCTATGTCTGCTACTTTAAGTGCATCTGGTATCTCCCCCATGTCCAAGCTCTTCCTCCACACTATACCGAGTGCCTGTGCTACCGGCACTTTGCATTTCTTTATAAATATTGAATTCCATGAATCTGGACCTGGGGCCGAGTGCATAGGCATGTTTTCAATTTCTCTTTCAAAGTCTAATGCGCTCGTGTTATCGGTTATATTTACAGGGGTTTGAATATCCCGCGTAAAGAAATTGTCTGGATCTTCCACTTTCATGTTGTTTATTGGAGTGTTAAACATGTCCTCATACTGCTTTTTTAGGATTTCACTAATTTCTTTGTCATCCTCTGGGTATGAACCTTCACTTGTACGAATAGGTCCAATACTAGCAGTGGTTTTTGCTTTTGATTTGGCATATGTGAAGAAGTATTTTGGATTTTTCTTTATTTCCAGAATTGCTTTCTGTTCTGCCTTCAGTTTGATATGAGTGTTTCAATTTTCGCTCGATTTCTTCAATCTCCTTATTTAAATTCTTCCTTCTTTGACAGGAAATTCGTGTCTGCATAAGCATTTGCGTTATTTTTTTTTTACCTCCTTTAAAGTGTCATCTGCGTTTTTTTTCTACGTTGGATCTCTTTCTGGCTTTCCTCAAAGGAATATGTTTCAGACAGACTTGATACGCTTCCGAAGTCAGTTTTTCTATTCCTTCTGTAGGAGTTGTATTACTTAGAACAGTTTCCCATGGAATGTTTGTAAGTTCCCTGTTTATTATCTCCCAGTCTATCCTTTTATTATTAAAATTAAATTTACTGAATAGCCCTCTCGCTTTATCAACGTTTTAGGTCTATTCTGAGTATTGATGGTCGTTTGCACTTCAATGAGCTTGTGATCTGATTATGTGGTATCTGATAATGTTTTCATTATTCGTAAAGACCAGATCTAGAATATTTTAATTTCTCGTTGGCTCCGAACGCGAAATTGGTTGCAACAAACTCCGGTTGCAAATTGCTAACATTTCCACACATTAGTCAGCATGTGCAGTAACACTGAGAGGAGCAGCACTTATTCTTGCTGCAGTCCTTTGGCATACACTGTCTGGTGTGTCATTTGGTGCAGTTATCTTTTGTAGTGTAAAATTTGATGGATGCTGTTTGTTGTGCTGAAAACTGTACTTGGCTATTTATGCCTTTCCCTAGGCTGTGTATCCTGCAGGCGAGTGCCTAGTATGGGTTTAAATCTCGTGCTACTAGGAATGTCTAGATAATCATGGTGTACCAGCAGGCTAGTGAACTTATCAGTGTACATGATAGTGTTTACTGTAAACATACAATTGCTTAATTTAACTGTTGCAGGTATGGCTCTGAACTTGGAACCTGATAATGTTGGTGTTGTGGTGTTTGGTAATGACAAACTTATTCGTGAGGGTGATATTGTGAAGCGTACTGGTGCCATTGTGGATGTTCCTGTTGGTGAAGCTATCCTTGGACGTGTTGTTGATGCCTTGGGTAATGCTATTGATGGCAAGGGACCCCTTTCTGGAGCAAACAGGTATGTCAATAAATAATTTTTGAAATATTAATGACAATACAAGTTAAACATTACTAAAGATTGGTAAATGGTATGTGCAAAATATCAACCCTAACCCCTAATTTAAAGTATAATGCCTTAATTTTAGCAAGTGTGTAGCCATATTGAAATAGGGCAAATCAATATAGCCCATGGCAGAAAAATAACTTATTGGCTTGAGCTTTATTCTTGTGATTTTCTGTGCTTAATGAAAATTTAAATTATTTGTTAATGAAAGACCTTTAGTTCTTAAAAAAAAAAAACGCCTGTAGGTATAAATGCTGTACTGTACTTGTGTATTTAGGAGATACTTTTATTTTTAACAGGGCTCGTGTTGGTGTAAAAGCCCCTGGCATTATTCCACGCATATCTGTAAGGGAACCTATGCAGACTGGTATTAAGGCTGTAGACTCTTTGGTGCCAATTGGCCGTGGACAGCGAGAGTTGATCATTGGTGATCGTCAGACTGGCAAGACTGCGATTGCTATTGACACAATTATCAACCAGAAACGTTTCAATGATGGTGTTGACGAGAAGAAAAAATTGTATTGTATCTATGTTGCCATTGGTCAGAAGAGGTCAACTGTTGCCCAGATTGTGAAGAGGCTCACAGATGCTGGTAAAGTTTAATGCCCTATCTTGAAACATTTTGGTAGACACCTAATGCCTGTTATGTTGCGAACACTGCTGGCCCCGATTTATGAAGACTTTGTACTGGTCACATGGGTTGTATATGTAGCTTTGCAGCTGATTTCATTGCACTAATGAGCCATCGTACTTTTTTATAAATTACGATGTTAGCAATAGTGCTAGAGCAACTTGAAGAATTTATTGGTGAACTTTGTAGGGTTTAACCTGAGGAAGTACTCAGACATGATTTGAAGTAGGTAGTTTACAGTACTGTAATAGCAGTTTCGGTCCATGTTTTTGTAGTTAATGATTTACCTGATAATTATAAATTATCTAATATAAAACATTTATAAAACTTAAATTTACACAAGTTTGTCAGAATTTTTCTCCGTGCAAATTGTATGTTCTGTACTGTATTTCACCTTTAAAACAAATGGAAATCACCTTTTTATATTTAATTTCCATAAGAGATGTAAAACAATTGTAAAAATTAAGTACTGTATGTAGGTGGTTCCTTTTGTAGTGCGCACTCGTTCAATAATTAGATGCAAAATTTTAAGTTGAACATGTTCAGTTCCTGTTAAAATTTCTTGAATGTTGTCACATAAATATATAATTGATAAAATTCATACAAGCATTATATTGACAACTCTCTCTAAATATCTCGACAGATGCCATGAAGTACACCATTGTGGTTTCTGCTACTGCCTCTGATGCTGCTCCTCTGCAGTACTTGGCACCTTATGCTGGTTGTGCCATGGGGGAATTCTTCCGTGATAATGGCAAGCATGCACTTATCATTTATGATGACTTGTCGAAGCAGGCTGTAGCCTACCGTCAAATGTCCCTGTTGCTTCGTCGTCCTCCTGGTCGTGAAGCTTACCCAGGAGATGTGTTCTATCTTCACTCTCGTCTTCTTGAACGTGCTGCCAAGATGAACGATACACACGGTGGCGGATCTCTTACTGCCCTGCCAGTCATCGAGACTCAGGCTGGTGATGTGTCTGCTTATATTCCCACCAATGTCATTTCCATCACTGACGGACAGATCTTCTTGGAAACGGAGCTCTTTTACAAGGGTATCCGCCCTGCCATCAATGTTGGTCTTTCTGTATCCCGTGTAGGATCTGCTGCCCAGACAAAGGCAATGAAGCAGGTAAGGACACTTGATTTATCTAGGCAATGAAAATCATTCGATGTTTTTATGGGTGTTTATACATTATAAATCTTAAATGCAAAATTTAATGTGCCTTCCTTGTATATTAACAATTTAATATTAAGGTTCCTAAAAGTCCCATTGTTCTAATATTTGGGTTTGCAGGTTGCTGGCTCCATGAAGCTTGAGTTGGCCCAGTACCGTGAAGTTGCTGCCTTTGCCCAGTTTGGATCAGATCTCGATGCTTCCACTCAGCAACTGTTGAACAGAGGTGTTCGCCTTACTGAGCTGTTGAAGCAAGGACAGTATGGTAGGTGATACAGTACTGGTGCTGTTCAGATCATTTACTGTATTTTCAATATTGTCTGTGATAAAAAATATTTATATATACCATTTTTTGTTGTCCAATTTCTTTCCGCTATAACTTTAATTTAGATGCTAGGCTCACTTGTGCTGTGAAACATTTAATCTAAAATTTTTCTGAAGTGAGAATGGTTCATTTTGTTCTAATATATCAAACATTATAAAGTACATGTATTTGTATTGGCCAATTAGGCAGTACAATACTATATCAATATATAGTTATTCAATTAGCTCAGAAACGGAGCCGTGGTCACATGAGGGACAGGAAGAGAGCACCACCAAAGACTAAAATCATGCCATGATAAATGAACCCAGATGGAATCTTAAAACTGTCATGGGTACCTGCCTAGAAGGAAAAAACCTCATTGCCCATCACTTGTAGATAATAGTTGAAAGACTTTCCCAGAGTGGCAGATGGAAGGCACCGATGCCACATCTGGGTGACGGAAGGAATAATAGTTGAAAGGCTATCAACTAAAAAGATGCTCAAACTGCCTGAAGACTGTACACATCTCACCTGTAGAAGAGAAGCAAATATTGGCTTGCCAACAACCAAGTTGACTCTGGAGACAATCTGATTTGAACTGCTGTAAAGCCTGGTAAAATGCATAGCATTTTCTTGGTGGATTTAATTAAAGTTATACTCATAGTGGATTTGGCTGGCTTTTGTGCACTCCAAAAGTGGATTTATATACACTACATATTTGGTATTACACACACTATATATTGTAAAGCAAATGTATTCTTGTTCTGTAGGTGACTATAATTATTTTATGGTTTGATAAGTAACCAATTTACACTTCATAAAAAAAATTATCAGTTATGTAAAATATGAACTCTAAGAGCATATTACTCTGGTCTAAAAATAGCTGCATATTAATGTAAGCTTCCCTAGCAATTCATGGATTTTATATTTATCTTTTCAGTTCCCATGGCCATTGAAGAACAGGTTGCAGTCATTTACTGTGGTGTGCGTGGCCATCTCGACAAGCTGGACCCCTCTAAGATCACCAAGTACGAGCAGGAGTTTATGGCCATGATGAAAACTAGCCACCAGGATATTCTCAGCAGTATTGCCAAGGAGGGACTCATCACCCCAGATGTGGATGCAAAGCTAAAACAAATTGTTGTAGACTTCACAGCCACTTTCCAGGGTTAATTTATTAAGGCTAAATAGGTAAAGTCATGGGATATTAGCATTTTCCTTTAGTGGGTCGAGTCAGGTGAGAGTTGGCTTAAAGTTCTTATGTTTTATATAAAAGCATGCCCCAAATCTGCACTCTCCATGAAGGTACATAAGTTTTGTGTCCCATTGTGGTCATTGTATATAAGCCAATGTCAACTTGAGAAGGGAGTATTGTATACACCTTTCTTACTTTACATTTCCATATTTTATAATTGAGGAGGTAACCAGAATGTATATAATTATAATGTCTGTTCAGAATAAAAAAAAAATCCTCAATGAAGCTTTATCAATACCTCCAGTCTGTTGATGGATCAATTATGTACAGGTTCTCGAGTAATAAATTAAAGCCATTTTTTATTTAATTATTATTAACCTTGGTTCATTATCTGTACCCAGGAAACTTGGTGTGGCAAGGGAATAGTCTGGAGAGAAAAAAAGGGAAATTTATCATCCCGTCTTCCTACAAATAAAAAGTGATGTATGGCAACTATTGGGTCGAAAGTGCCAATATGTGTATGGATAAGAAAGTTGACTTGCATGACTGAATTATATATATATATATATATACACAGTAATATATATAATATAACAACAATGAGGACTCAGAACAGGGCATCGTGTCAATTTTGGAAATATATTTTTTGTTTGTGAACGCCTGTCTAAATATCCCAAGGTTACATTTGACCTCTGTCGATGAGGCGGCAGCAGAATAGCTGGGGCGCTAGCCAGTTCAAAAGCTTTCTCGAGGTTCAGGAATATCAGCATTCCTGGTCTGTCATTCAATTGGGGTAACAGTTGTAATACATTCCATTGTACCAACCCCTCTTCTATAAGCATACATGTCCTGGTGAAGTTTAGGCATTTTCTACTTAAGTCTGTTGAGTGCCATTCTATCAGCCGTCTTGACTGGAGAGAGATGAGCGTTGGATTAGCTGGATCTTTGAGTTTTGGGATCGGCACTATGTGCTTGTGGAGGTTGAGCTCTGGCTCTTTGGTCCCGCCTCTCAACTGTCAATGAACTGGTGTATAGATTCCTGAGCCTACTGGGCTTTATCATATCTACACTTGAAACTGCGTATGGAGTCTGCCTCCACCACCTCACTTCCTAATGCATTTCATTTGTCAAACACTGACACTAAAAAAGTTCTCTCTAATATCTCTGGTTCATTTGGGCACTCAATTTCCACCGTGTCCCCCACGTGCGTGTGCCCCTTGTTAAATAGCATGAACTTATCTAACCTATCAATTCCTTTGAGAATCTTATGTGGTGATCATGTCCCCCCTAACTCTTCTGTCTTCAGCGACGTGAGGTTTAACTCCCGTAGTGTCTCCTCGTAGCTCATACCTCTCGGCTCGGGTATTAGTTTGGTGGCAAATCTTTGAACCTTCTCCAGTTTAGTCTTATGCTTGACTAGATATGGAATCCATGTTGGGGCTGCATATTCCAGGATTGGGCTGACATGTGTTGTATACAAGGTTCTGAATGATTCCTTACACAAGTTTCTAAATGCCGTTCTTATGTTGGCCAGCCTGATGTATGCCCTGATGTTATCCTCTTGATAAGGGTTTCAGGGGATAGGTCTGGCGTGCTGTCAATCCCCAGGTCTTTCTCTCTTTGACTTGAAGAATTTCATCTCCCAAATGATACCTTGTATCTGGTCTCCTACTCCCTACACCTATCTTCATTACATTACATTTGCTTGGGTTAAACTCTTAACCATTTGTTCTACCATTCCTTCAATTTGTCTAGGTCTTCTTGGAGCCTCATGCAGTCCTCTGTTTTCATCCTTCTCATAATCTTGGCATCGTCCGCTAACATTTAGAGGAATAAGTCTATGCTCTCCGGGAGATCATTTACGTATATCAGAAACAGGATAGGACCGAGTACAGAGCCCTGTGGGACTCTACTGGTGACTTCACGCCAATCTGAGGTCTTATCCCTCACTAACTCTGCTTCCTATTGCTTAGGTACTCCCTTATCCACTTGAGCACCTTACCAGTCACTCCTGCCTGTCTCTCCAGCTTATGTACCAGCCTCTTATGGGGTACTGTGTCAATGAACCTATCTTCATTACATTAGCTTTCCGACAGTTCAAGAAAATGTCCGTCCAGCCTTCTCTTTTTTGATAAATCTTGGCCCCTTTATCCCTTAATGTGTGCCCTACTCCAAGCTGTAGGTCTAGTTTGAGAAGTCCAGGCTAAATTAATTAACCTAAGGTATGCAGCTTGTCCCTCTGGGCCGAGGTTTCTAATAATGTTATAGGTTATTTTGTCTTCAGGGAATGTGTTTTGGGAGTTTTTCTTAGCTCGATTGAGCTCATCCAGTGTGAAAGGGGTATTAGTGTCAGAGACTTCTGCACATGCTGTAAAGATTCTGTGCCACCTTTCTTCCTCTAATCCTGTCTGCACTGCTACTCTAGTACATCTGGTGGTGGCCAACTTTAAAGAACGTTATTTTTCAATGCTAAAACTTGTAAAAAATCTGCTTCGTAGCACAATGGGGCAGCATCATTGGAACTGGCTTTCACTCGTGTGCATGGAAAATTACATCCTGAAGACCATTAACTTCACGCCAATAATAAGCTAACTGAGTATACTAAGATTCAGGTTTACAGAGCCTGTGTCCTGAGCACTCTCCTTTATGGCAGTGAGTCTTGGACTCTCCGCGCCCGTCAGGAAAGACAGCTGAATGCCTACCACATGCGCTGCCTTCGACACATCTTGGACATCACCTGGCAGGACAAGGTGACAAACAACGTCGTCTTGGGGAGAGCAAGAATCACCAGCATGTACACAATGCTGAAACAGAGACGAATGCGCTGGCTCGGGCACGTTGTGCGAATGGGCGACGGCAGGATCCCCAAGGATCTCCTGTACGGAGAGCTGGTGCAGGGAAAGCGTCCAACAGGCAAGCCCCAAGACGTATGCAAGAGGGACCTGAAAGCCATGGACGTCGAAATTGCTATATGGGAGACACTGGCTGCAGACCGTTCAGCCTGGGGGCAGTCTATTCAAAGAGGTCACAGACCAGAATCGGACTTCATTTGTGCTCGGTGTGGGATGGACTGCCACTCTCGGATTGACCTCATCAGTCACACCAGACGCTGCACCAGGATTGACAACAAGGGCGCAACTCCATAGTCTCCCGAGACTGAAGGATGCCTACTACTACTAATTTCATGTTGTGCCATCTAATATCTGTAGTTTAATGAGTATGATTATGCTTTTCAAACCTTATGTATTGTTCAAATGTTTATCATGTTGATTAGTTGCTGCGCTTCATCATGTTTTTAATATTTTAACACCAGTTTTGTTGAAGTGCCAATAAGATAAATATATGTTTAATATTATCGACCATTTACTTTTTATTCCTGTGATTGGTTGTGGTAAGGACCCCACACACTGGTTTGCCCAGGGGCCTATAGTGCTGTTAAGACGGCCCTGGTGCCAGTTGCTGTTGGCAGCCTTGAATAGTGCCCAGAAATGATTTTAGTTAATACTGCATATAGTGTTGATTACTGGAACAGATTACCGGATAACATAACAAATGTGGCATTGTTATATAGTTTGACACGAAAGCCAGACATTTTACAGGACGATGAGTCACAATAACGTGGCTGATGACCATACCACACACCAGTAAATGAAGAAAACACCAGGTTTCGGTCCATCCTGGACCATTATCAAGTCGTGTAATAGAAAGAGAGAGAAGATACACATAAATAAGGCAAGAAAGTGAGAAACATGTAGGAGAAATCTTAGTCTTATCTCTTTTTTTTTTCTCTGACATGCGTCTCACCTTGCATATTCTTGCCTTATTTATCTGCCTCTTCCACTGTTTCATTTACTCGACTTGATAATGGTCCAAGACGTTGCTTATTTTATTTTTGCAATTTTCTGATGTGGTTTGTTCATTACGTGTATGTATGAATTTGGTTGAGTGTAAATAAGAGCTACACTACACTACATTTTCTACCATGATCTTCCATTTTCTACCATGTTCCCCGCTTTTTTTTTATCTCTTATTATTTTTTTCATTCAACACAATTTATACTTTAAGCTCAATTACTATTAAGTTTTAGTTTAAGTATTTTTTCCCCACCTCGCCTTGCCCGAAACGCTATGCGTACTAGTGGCTTTAGGTATTGTATGTACTACCTCTATCTTTAAATCTAACAGAATGTTTGTACTGTAACTCTGCAACTATGTATGTACTGTTCCTAAATAAATTATTATTATTATTATTATTATTATTATTACACTACACATGGGTGAAAATAAGAGCTATATTGTGCATTCCCCTATTAATATATGTAACACTTTCTCCCTATATTGTGAAGCCAATTGTATAACCCACAGGGTCACACAACTCTAGAGCCAATAGTGTGAAGGCAAGAATAGAGCCCAATATATGAAAAAAAAATATATAAATAAAAGTTACCTCCCCGGCGGGGAATCGAACCCCGGTCTCCCGCGTGACAGGCGGGGATACTCACCACTATACTACCGAGGAATCTGATGGTGCAGAGAACAGCTTAGTATTTCATACGCAAACTGTTAACACTACTCTGCTTGAGTAGAACAATTATATATATTAATTGCACTAGAGGTGGTACCCCTATTATATAATATATATATATAGCCATATATATATATATATATATATTGCTAGTCATAATGGAATCAGGAGAGAACATGTAAGGCTGATTTATTAGCCTCCACTAGCAAAATTTGGGAGCAACACAAGAATATCTTCCAATATTCCGGAGTGTATGAAGTAATTACAGAGCTCAAAATACCTCATACCATTTGGCCTTAAGTCACTGATAACAAGGCAGTCACAGATATGGTGTTGGAATGTCCCAGCTCTTGTTCACATAGTTTACAATTGGAATGTTCATCATTTGGGGCATTCATTACCTGCAGCCACCTGCCATAGATATTGATATCCCAGCCTAATTCTGGTAATTACCATGTCACACTGTCTAGTGGATGTTTTATGCTGCCCACACATATAGTTCTCCGTTCTAAACATGTCATAGTTCTTTAAGTTTATTGAATGTCAATATGCCAAATTTGTCTAATTATAATTGCATACGTGCTAATTATAAGCTATACATTATAAATGACTGTATAAAGTCTAAAGTTATCTTCAAATATACAACATAATAAGTAATATCCAGTAAAAATTATCTCCAATTTGATTTTGTGTTGTGTGTGTGTGTGTGTGTGTGTATGGGTAATATATACTTTTTACACTAAGTTTGTGGATTGGCGGAGGCGCTGCACACACTTAGTGTCACTGTAATAATATAGACATTAATAATAAATAATACAATGTTGGTAATACAGAAATAAACGATGTAATTGGCGGGTGGTGTATATATTGTGTGTGAGAAATATTGTCCCGAGACGCTATGCGTGTTAGTGGCTTTGTAAGACTGTAAAAACATCAATGTTATGTATTCTCACAAACTCAATGTACCTTCTTGTATGTATACATATATATTAATATATAACAATGATTCAATCAAATCTTTTTTATTTAGAAATCAGCGTTTGCCCGAACGCGGTGCGTATTAATGGCTTTAAGAATAGTATATACTAGCTCTATCTAGAAACACAAGATTCTGTTTGTAACTTATTTTGGTTGTATGTGCAGTACTTTGAGCTGAATAAATATTATTATTATGATTATTATTACTAGTATTATTAAATGAGAGAGTATAGAGTGGTGAGGGAGGGAGGCGGCGGGTGGCGGCGCTCACTTGTCCGCCGGCCGCCGCCTCCTCCGCCTTTCCCAGTGTCGCCGACATGGTGGAGACGTGAGTACCCGCCGCTCTCCTGTATTTATCTTCCTTTATTGCCGCCATCCTGGCTCCTGGCCGCCTCCTGTAGCAGCCACGGCATCCCTCAACCCTCCCCCGCTAGCGGCCAGGCCCAGCCAGCCAGGATGGCCCGGGTGTGGTGGCAATATCGAGACTTTTAGAGTTATGTTTACGTTTTGTGTGTTGTGGGGGAGATGGTGGCACACGTTGCGACCCTCCTGTTAATTTGGCTTGGGAGGGCTCTTATTGTGGTGTTGAGTGTACGGGCTGGTGTAAGTGAAGGATGGCGCCCTGTGACTTGTCTTCCTGGGCAATTTGCTATGATAATAACTTAAATTAAAATACTGTAACTGGGAGCAGTGTAGAGTGGAGGCTGAGGGTGGCGTGTATGGTCAGTAAGGTACAGGTGTGTACACACGTCTGTATGGACGTAACACTAAATGTGAGGTTGTTTAAATTTATGTGAAATGTTAAAATTAGGATAGTCCCGTGTAGACCGTAGCACATGGTTGCTGTAATTGTTGAACCTGTTGGTCGTTAGCCGAAGTCTAAGGTACATTGCTGGGGTTGTGTTAGCGAGGTTTAATCCAACAAATACGTTAGTGTGTGTACACTGAATAAGGTGTAAGGCGTGTGTAGAAGCACATTAGCGAGGTTACTTCAGGTGTACCCTTGGTCATACTTGGGACTCCCTTGGCTAGTGAAGGTGTTCCAAATATATACCATAATTGGTTATAGGGGCAAAAACATAATTAACAGCAATGACTCACAAAATAACCTTTTTTTTTTTTTTTTTTACTGTTTTGTGGAGTATATATTTTATCAAATTAGTGCAGTATCCAATGGGCCTGTGTACAACAAAGTTCGTATGGATTTTCTAGGTTCACATTCGTACACTACGAATTTATGTACTAACATTCCATTACCTAAATATACTGTCTTACATGTTTGTCCTAAGGATCGATGTTAAGGTTTGGTGTAGGTACACCTTTTCCTAAAGATAGTTCGAGAGGTCACACCAATGACATGTGTAGGGCTTAGTCTATATGTTGGACCATATATTATACCCCCTCTCCCTGACACCCCAAGAGTAAAATCGGTAAAATCTCCCCAGTCTTAAGGGGAGATGTCTGGGTGTTACACGAGGATTGGTTTCCTTATCTCGGTTCCCTGAAGTTGGTAGTCTGGCCGAATTCCCAATTTCCTTCAAGGTGTCGTAGTCGCAGAGGTGGCCGATTCCAAGAGATGTACACGTAACTTAATCACATTCTAGTCCTGGAAGTAAAATGAAGCCGTTATATAGGGATGTATGGTTAAATTTGACACTAAAAGTAATTATAAATTTAAGTGTAAATTAAATAGTTTCTAAGCATTAAAACCATATATATAGTTAGGGTAGGCTGACTTAGATCATTTGGTGAGATTGGTTAGCATAGGTTTTTCAATCCCTTTTAGCATGGATATAAAGGAGTCCATAGAATTACCCAAAGCTTCCTTAAATTATATTACATAAGTAAACAATAAATATTAAGTATTTGCATACTATAATGTTATAAATAGGAGCTGCCTTGTATGGGCCAGTAGGCCTTCTGCAGTTACCTTTGTTCTTATGTAAAAAATTGTCCTCTGAATTGAGCTCATTTTGTAATGAAACTATATCAAACATGGTGGTGGGTGATAAAAGAAGTCAAAATTTTAAGTACTTCTCAGAATTTATAGTTTCACCCACCACCAATTTTGGTTTTGTATTTCAGAGTAAAAATGTTTTCACATTCAGCACCAATATTATAGTAAATAATAATTTCTTTATTTATATAATTTAGCCCTTAGTGATTGTCATATATGATGCAGGGGGTAATGCAGTCATCATATGATTTAAACTATTATTACCATGGTTTTTCATGTATGCAAAGAAACGGCCCATCCTCCTGTTTAGATAGTACTCACAGTAACAATGTGGGACCATCATACATATATTGATGTTATAGACAATTAGAGTAGAATTTGATATAGCTGAATTTGGACAAACTAGAAAAGGTTTTGTACGTTTTGGAAATAAAACCTAACCGTCCTATCTTAAGTTTATCTTTATGATTTCGGGGCTTGGCGTCCCCGGCGGCCCGGTCCTCAACCAGGCCTCCTTTTTGCTACACACCCCCAGGAAGCAGCCCGACTCTAGTAACCATCCCCCATCTTTAAAAAAAAAAAAAAAAAAAAAAAAAATATTCCTGAGTCCCTCACTTTCCTTCTAGGGCCTTCTAGAAAATAATAACCATTGCTTGGCAACATCACCATCCAGTGTTTGAGCATTTAGGGCAGCCATAGAGGAGACACTAAACTTTTAGCAGCAGCAAATGAGTGATTACCATGTGTATATTTGAGGCAAAGTGTGCGCTATATGCAATTTTAAGATTTAGGCTTATGTATGTATTCATATTATGAATAAGTATGTGGTGTCTGTACATCTATACACGTATATCCATACATACTTATATTTTCAAAGTTATACATAATAGACAGTACCTTTGACACAATTACAAAATGTTAGCATAAAAAAACTAAATAGGGAAACAATGAAAATAGTTATTCCCATGTGGCACCTGAACTCATTTTACCTAAAAAATGTTCTCCAGGCCACTGCAGCTAAACCACAAGAGCTAGAGACTTGTAACAGAATTTTTGTCCTTCCTGAAGGCTAACAATATAAGAAAAAAAATTCAGAACCATTTTTTTCTTAAATACAAGAGGGTATGTCGGCTATTAATTAACAGTTAGCAGTCAAAAGGTTAAATAAAAGAATAAATTCTTAGAGAGTAGTGCTACATCATCACTCCACTATAAAACAAAGCTGATCCATCCCTAACAGTTTCATATACATTGTGAAGTGTGTGATGGCACTGACACTATGGCAATGTTGCATCCTGGCATTTTTTGGATGTTTGGATATAGACCCATACATTGCTATATTTTTATTAACATTTTGTTCAGGCTTTAAACTGTAGGATGGTTATCCTAGAGCTGCATTATGGCTAATACTAGTCATGAGACGAGTACAGAAAGTAGCCCTATTTTGATACCAAGACAAAGTACAGTATAGTACTATATCCAAATTAGTTGAACATACCACAGATACATATCAAACACATGCTACCTTGAATGGGATACTGTATATAAAATACAAATGATTTTGGGCTTTTTGGGCTGACAAGGCTTATCGGCTTAAAACCATGTATATTGTTGTAAGGAACTATTAGGTTAGGCTGGGCTGTATTATGCTTGCTTGGATATGCTAGGTAGATTATAAAATCCATTGGTGAACAGACTTGTGTATGATGTAACTTGTATGTCTTGTAAGGTATATTAGTGAGTGGCTCCTAAGAAATGAGTTTCAAGATGAATGTCTACATTTATTCTCTGGAGTTCATGAATGGAAAACAATTAAAGTAGTTAAAAAAATATGAAAATGTCAGTAAAGCTTAGACACTTTGTCAGTTATATCAGAATTTTAATGGAGGTGTTATTGAGAACTCCCCTGCATTATTGAGCTATTGAGAAGTGTAGGACCTCACTTTGCCTACTCCCATCACCCATTTTCATTGTTCTGTTTTTAGATCTAGTGGATAGGTGGCAGTGGGGCTTTAATCATTTGGGTTGCAGTTAAAAAAATTCAAATTTTTTCTTTTTTTTTCAGTCAGAGTAAACCTGCAGCCACCATAAAGGTGAGGCAGCGGAGGAAGAGGCCCGCTGACCCAGCCTTGCGCAAAAAAGCTCCTCCTAAAGTTAGGAAGGTTGCCCCTGTCAAGCCAAAGAAAGAAGCTGTGGTCCCAAAACCCCAGCCCAAGAAGAAACCTATAACTCTTAAGCCCCCAAAAGATAAGGCTGCTCCTAAGGACAAAGATGCTCCCAAGGACAAAGATGCTCCCAAAAAGCTTCCTGCAGTGCCCGAGATCCTCTTGAAACGTCGGAGGCAGAAAATTGCTGCTAAAAAACACAGGGTTGCTGCCATCATCCAGGTGAGTAATTTCTAATGGTTTTAAGAGATTTTTAAAATTTGCTTCATAAGCATAAAATTTATTAAAACAAAAAATATATATATAGTGTTTAGTTTTGTTCGTCTCATACTTTCTCAAGATTAACGGTGAAATGTCATGCGCTATCTAATTGCCAACCCTATACTATTTTTTATGAAACTATGCTTAAAATATTTGGGAGTAATTGGGTAACCAGAGCATTAATATTGTAACTATTAAACAGTACTGTACATGTAAAGGATCAGTTTGTTTGTTTTTCTCTGGAGAAAGTTAGTGAGAATAAGGAAACGAAAAGTAGTATCCTTAGCTACACAAGATTGGTATGATTTAAACATGTATAGCGCCACCTCAATTCGGCAAATCTTCGGTTGCATCACTTTCCAAGCCAGATTTACTTGCCAGCTTTGCCTAATAAAAGTTGGAAGATCCCATATTGTGGGGTGGTGGTCAAATTTGCTTATGAATTTGGGCTAAAGTTCAGATCTTTGGGGGGAAACTCCATGATTGCAGTATCAGTGACATAGCCCATGAAGCATGGGAATATTATTGGGTATATAAAGTGAATCTCCTGAATGCCTCCCGAAGGCTTCACTTGCATTGAATCCCTCGTTTCAATGTACCGGGGTTGGTACCGTATATACAGTAGTTCAATTTACACCAAATTGAAGTTTTTTAGACGTAATCACAAACCAGGAGAACATGTGCATGGGGAAATATTAGTGTATAAATGTTAACTTCTTTAATGTTGGACTTATCACATTTGTAACAAATGGTTGGTACCCTGGCAAAGTCATTAACACTTTAGCGTACCCAGCGCGCCACCCCTCAACTGTGCGATTTGGGTCCCAGCGTTTCACGGGAGCGTGCGTTAATTCTGAAAAGTGTATACTCTCCATTTTTGTCACCTCAATTCTCGTCCTACGATATTAAATTTGGTATCATTGTGTTCGCAATAGAATTCTCTACAGCACTAAATGCATATAAACTCCAAAAGCCCGGCTAATTACCCACAGCAAACAGAAAGTGCGAACGAGTTACCCAGGAGCGCACAAAAGTGATAAAATGTGTTCACTCTTTTCACTCTGGTCACCTCAATTTTCGTCCTAGGTCTTTCATTTTGGTATCAATGGGTTCACAATAGAATTCTCTAGAGGAATATTAGCATATAAAATAAAAAAACCTGGTCACGCTCCACCCGCCAACGAGTTGAAGATGGGCCACGCGTTAACCGCGAGTCAGCGCCCAGACGCCTTCCAGCTACACTCCCAATTCCTGCCCACAAATGTTTAGTATTTAGTATTTTAGTACATGTAGTATTATAATTTAGTATTTTTTGTGTAGTAGTTGTACACCATAAGTATTGTAGATAGCCATTTGCACAAAATAGGTAATTTTCTTCGTCCATTTGTGAGTTTTCCTTATTAAGTGATAATATTTGATCATTTGGTCAAAGTGATCAACACCTTTCATGTTTGTATTGTAGTCACAGATTGCATTCGGCTTGTTGACAGTTACCAAACAGTCCCCAAGAAATCGGATAAAAACCTTGATTTTTGGCAATTATTTTAGTGGACGACGCAGCATTGCGTCATCCCCGAGATTACCGACAGCAAACGGATGACGCAATGCTGCGTCATGCCCGGACTAAAGTGTTAAGCATATTTAAAGGAAAATCATGCTTCATTTTTATTTTTACGTGGCAAAATAAAGTTGGGAGATCAGTACTTCGTGCAAATCCGGATTGGAAGTGTCTTTAGTCAATACCAATCAATAGTTTTACTTTTAAGCTATTGGCATTTGAGAGTTGGGGGAGGGGGGGGGGTGTCACCTTGCTTTTCAAGTATCATAGCTGTAACAGCTTTTGTATCTTGGTTATGAACTATGCTAAAGCCTCCCACTATACATATGCACACACCTCCACTAAAATGTGAATAACATTCTATGCCTGCCAAAACCTCTTGTAACCTAGGGTTTCTATTGCCCAAACATTTTTTCATTTCATTTCTTTTTCTAGTCTTTAGATCTCTTGATTTATGATTTTATTTAAACGGGTAGTCGCCATGACTTATGTAACGCACCTAGTGCAACCCCTGTACTCATTGCAGCATCATAATTACTGTATTCCTTGTACTCTTTTCATGAATTTCATATTATATAATTTTGTATGAATGTCCCCTTATAAGAAATTTTCTTTGACAGGCTAAAAAGGCCTTGAAGACAAAGCGCTTCAACATATTCCGCCGAGCTGAGCGTTATATCAAAGAGTATCGCACTACTGAGAGGCAAGAGATAGACTTGATTCGTGAGGCTAAGAAGGAAGGGTCTGTGATTGTTCCTGCAGAGTCTAAGTTGGCCTTTGTCATCAGGATTAGAGGGTAAGTATTGTTTAAAATATGGTTGTTACTTAATACATTTGCATAAAAAGGTTAGTAAGTAGTGACAATATAGTTGTTGAGGAGCTCTACCAAGAAGGATTGTGCATAAAGTTCATTAAGTGTGAAGAGTTTGGAAGATGGTTGTGTTGATGTGTAAATGCTATACACAAAGGCCAACAAAATGCCCCTCATAAGAAAGACCATGGCATGTGGCCTCAGGCCAGGTTTGGGGAGTAGAACTCTCTGAACCCTCTCCAGGTAATAGAAAGATTTAAGACTGTTTAGGAGGGGAGCAGAATGGTCAGGTGTTTAGAGTATTGCAAACGGCAAGGCTGGTTGCCACATTGTAGTATGTAGAATTTCGTTAATGGCCAAGAGTATGAAGTGTGAGAGATTATTGGCGTTTCCCCACACCCAACAGTACAGTAGTTGGGGGCTTGGGTGTGTGTAACATGGATGTGTAACATTTTTGAATTGGGTGCTGGAAAATTAGGTACTGAATAATGTAATTAAATACAGCACTTGGCATGGAGCCTAAAATTGGACCACATCCCCCCCCCTCCCTCCCTCCCTTTTATTCCAGTCTTGGAGCCTCTGGCACAATTGTCCATAAATATTAGTGTTCTTTTATTTCTTTAATCACGCACATCAAAGTTCCTTTAAATTCTGCATGAAAAGAATACGTGTTAACTCTTCAGTTAAATTTTAAGAATTACTTGGAGAGGGTTTAATAGTTCTTCTAATTAATATAAATTTCAGAACTTAATGATAGTGAGAGTGGTGATTTGTGAATGCACATACATTCTGGGAGCCGAGCGGACAGCACGCTGGACTTGTGATCCTGTGGTCCCAGGTTTGATCCCGGGCGCCGATGAGAAACAAGGGGCAGAGTTTTTCACTATGCCCCTGTTACCTAGCAGTAAAATAGGTACCTGGGTGTTAGTCAGCTGTCACGGGCTGCTTCATGTTGGCGGAGGCCTGGTCGAGGACCTGGCCGCGGGGACACTAAAGTCCCGAAATCATCTCAAGATACACTAATATAGATATTAAGTAAAATATTATGTAGATTGCATGTCAATAACCAGTTAGAATTTTACAAGTTTTAAATCACCAGACTGTCAAATTTGGCTCGTCATGGTTACAAAATGGAAAAAAATACAGTATCAATAGTTTGTAGATGGCGTAGTGTAAAGAATGTAGAACCAGTAATTATGTTCTCTTCTCATTTAACCACCCTATTTGTATGGAAAGTGACTGACCCCGGTATATTTCTAGATGCCCTTGTGATTTTGAACCACTTAATTGAATTTAATGTTGAATATTGAATTGGTAGTTTTAATCTACAAATATTTGGTCTTTTCAGTGTGAACCAGATTCATCCTAAGGTTCGTAAAGTGCTTCAACTTTTCCGCCTTCTCCAGATCAACAATGGAGTTTTCGTCAAACTGAACAAGGTAGACCAGCACTCATTTTGTAGTTATCTGCATAGATTGAGAAATAAAAATTGATAATTTTCTTAAGATTTGGCAGAATATATATATTTTTATTTATTTATTTATATGCATTTTTAATATTTGCAGGCCACCATCAACATGCTGCGTATTGCTGAACCTTTCATTGCTTGGGGGTACCCTAACCTGAAGTGTGTCAAATCACTGATTTACAAGAGAGGGTTTGGCAAGATTGATCGCCGTCGTGTACCACTAATAAACAATGACATAATTGAGAAGCAGCTTGGTGAGTAAACATCATTTTTCAGAGTAGAATATTAACACATTTCGTCTCCAGCATGCCTCATGTTCTGAATGGCAACAAGTATTCTTGGAAAGAAATTAATAAGTGGTTGTTGTGTACTTTTTTGTTCTATTTTGATACTTGATGGTACAGTACAGAACCTCAAATCCTGAATAGTCTTATTCTGTACCACATCCTTCATTTCAAATATTTTGAACTATAAAATACTTGCCATATTCTTTTTATATTTGGCTAGGTTTTTTTCCAATATTGCTAGTTAAAGTATGTTTATTGAGACAATAAGATGCCTTAAAGTATAGAGAAGCTTGGGCTATTTTTACTGCTAGTGACAACATTACATGCCTCTTGAGTTTCCTTCATCCCTACTCTTGAATTCCTATAGAAATCTTAGCCTTTTTTGTCCGTATTACCCAGTCTAGTCAGACTGTTCTTGTTAGCAGTCCACTTCCAAAATACAAATGCATAAAAAACTTTGACTAAAGATAATTTCTAGCATAGGAAAAGATCACATTATCTGCACGTGTCCATTCTTAGCATGGTAGGATGACCAAGCTACACATCAGAAAGTTAAGAAACAGACTTTTTGGTCTGTCCTGGACCATCATCAATTCCCTACCATATCATTAGTATGTAGTTCAGTATTAGGTCTATTGACAGTTGCAAATTATATTGTATACCCCTTGGGGAGATGTCTTGTAAATCTTGTATAAAATACTTTGATTAGTTTGTTCTATCTTGACAGTTGTACCCGATGCATATTATACCTCCAATACTGAATATTTTAAGTTCATATACATTGTTTTAACACTGCTAATTTTGTGTTAAAATGATTTAATATTGGAACATGTCTAGCCATGTACAGTATAATACTGCTTATTTTCTTACAGGTAAGAGGGACATCATCTGCATGGAAGATCTCGTGCACGAGATTTACACTGTTGGGGAACATTTTCAGGCGGCCACAAACTTCTTGTGGCCTTTTAAGGTAATTTTTTTAATGTTTTGTTCAGAAGTAATATTCAATGAGCCCTAATATTTGGTTTGTGGATGAAGTAACATTTGGAGGCAAATTAAAAGAATTTGTGTTAGCCTTAACTACTTAGACTTAGCACAGTGAATTAAATGTTAAATTAATAGGCAAAACCCTGAACTCCTAGTTTAAAGTATAAAATTGCCTGTAGCTTCATTTATCTTGTGATTTAGATTACCAGGAAGAGTTTAATGGATGTTAAAGGAAAAGTTGCTGGTAGTGCAAGGGTTCACTCGAAATGGAAATGGTCCAACTTGGAAGAAATGTTTTGCACTTTTCCTTGTACCAGATTTCTGTTCATTTAGCAGTAAATTGATGCCCAGTAGAGGTTACTTGTACTCTCCTCGCCAAATTTTTTGCTTATGAGAGTTGAGCTTTGGTTCTTTTGTCCTGCCTCTTGACTGTCAGCCAACTGGTACATATATTCTAGAGGCTATTGTGATCTTTATCATATCTACAGTTGAAATTGTATGAGATTACTTCTTATTCAGTACTTTGACATTCCATTTGTTCACTGCTTTCACTGAACAAATGTTTTGTGTTGGCTTATTTGGGTACTGTGTCCCCTGTGTGAACCACTGGTGCTAAATAGTTTATCCTATCGGTTCTCTTTAATTTCCCTAACTTCTGTTTTCCAGTGATCAGGATTAATTTGTACAACTTTCCTTTTAACTCTTACCTCTGTTCTGGAACTAGTATGATGGCATACTTTTAATTTTATCTTGTGCTTGGTTACATACAGGTTCCATACTTAAGCTGCATTCTCCAGGATTAATCTTGACATATTAAAATAAATGCTTCTGAAATGTTCTGTGGTAAAAAATTTTAGATAAAGTTGTCCAACTAAGCAATATGTCACTGATATACTTTGATATGGGCTTTGGGAGACAGGTTTGGTGTGGTAACACTATCGTTATTTACTTATTTCATTGAAGATTAAATTAATTTCGGACCTATAACCCTGGCTGAAAGAGTGATACATACTAGAAAGATTTGGCTTGTGTGTTCTTGCTAAATTTATCTGGCTAAAACTTCTTTCTAATGAACATATTTTTGCTTTTCAGCTGAATAATCCAACTGGTGGATGGAGGAAGAAGACTAACCACTTTGTTGAAGGTGGTGACTTTGGTAATAGGGAGGATCAAATAAATGCACTCCTTGCCAAAATGGTCTAAAATTAAAGAGAGATCTATGACATGATTGTTTTAAAACCTTAATACATTATTTTTTTACTCAAGTTAGATTTCCACTCAATCATTATATGGGTTTTTGATAATAACTTACACAAATACGTCTTTAAATATCACTCTTCTTGCACTATTTCTAATGCTTTGTCAAGGTCAGTATGTGGTTAGGGTGAGACTTGCATCTCGACGACAACTTTCTTATTAGTCAGATGCAAATCACATCTTGACATTGACAAGACACTAGAGTGCAAAAGACTGGTATTTATTTAAAGATGTAAAAAAGTGTAGATTTTTATCCTGTTCTGTCTATAATAAGACAACCATTACTTAAGGGAGCATCGACTTCCTAATTTGCCCAAAATATGCAATAAATGAAAACTGGTTCGAACTTTGACGAGTTGTACATGAAAAGTGTTTCATCTGGCACAAGTCTCAGCATCGTAGCATAAATAGGGAGAAAAAATATTGAAGTAGGTTTCAAAATTATTCCAAAATGATTATCAAACAAATTTCAACTGGAATTATATCTTGCTAGGCTATCTCAATAGCATATATTAAAAAAAAAAATTAGTGTTATAATTTTTTTTATCTGACTATTTTCATAAAACTTGTACACCTGAGTGCACACAAGCCTATCTGTAAGGGTGCCAGTTTTGGAGAAAACTGGTTGATGTCAACCTCGGCCACAGATGGCAGCACCTTGGACTATTATTTTCTTTATTTAAAATATTTTAAAATAACAAATGTTTGAATAACTATTTTTTATTCAATTTACATGAAACATACACCTTGTATGTAAATCCCCGACTTACAAAAAACTATGTTTATTTATTGATTTTATAATAGCAATAAACATGACATTTGCATATTTTTTGGGGCGAACTTTGAATATTTGTATTAGGAAAACTAAAGATGTTTCAGAAACTCCATAAGTTACGAACCTTTATTATATGCTAATGTGTCATAGAATGATTATATCTGAAAGGTGTTTTTTTTAATTCACTTTTTGCGTATTTGATGGTGCTACATAGCCTTCCCGATTTGGTGCCCTTTGATAATTACTTACTTACTTTTAATTCACTTGAAAATGTGTAAAATTGAAAAAATAAAAAAAAAAATATATCTATGCTGCAGTACTGAAACTGAACAATTGCAGCCCTTTTCATATACAACTAGTCAAAAAATATTGGTCGACATTGAACAACTTTTCCGAAACCGAAACGATGCTCCCTTTATTAAAATGCATTTTATCAATGAGCCTGCCATGTGATTGTCCACTATCAAACTTCTTGTCCATTTGTGTATATAATTCTTGTGAAGTATTAATTCCAGATATGACCAACAACAGTGGATGGTTACATCTAGAATTAATGTAAATACCAAAGGATACAACCTTTATATATAATCATTGACTAATCTCCGATTAATTGTCAATGCAAGTGATACCTTACCTTGAGGTGCTTCCGGGGCTTAGCGTCCCCGCGGCCCGGTCGTCGACCAGGCCTCCTGGTTGCTGGACTGATCAACCAGGCTGTTGGACGCGGCTGCTCGCAGCCTGACGTATGAGTCACAGCTTGGTTGATCAGGTATCCTTTGGAGGTGCTTATCCAAAGAGTGATACATACTAGAAAGATTTGGCTTGTGTGATGGTGACAAACTTATAATAGTTTTTAGAAGTTACTGACCCGCTTGTTTGTCTTGCGATTTTGGCAGTTGCTTTCACGAATGTGACTAGATTTCCTATACTGAAAGAGTATGCTAATGTTTATTGAATAGTATGGTCCTGGCTAGACTATACTTTTTAATTATAATTAAGTTGTATATATAATTACAAATGACAAGGGAGGGAGCAGTGACAGATTATGCTGGCACAGATTTGCTTGATAGTCCATAAATGATGTGCAGCTAAAAGGCCTGAATCTTTATAAACGGCTAGTATTGGATTTTGACAACTATGAGATGCACTGGGTTAAGGTATGAGAGCATTGAAAGTCTTATATAGGAATGTTGGTGTTTGGTAAATAGTTGAACATACAAAATTGCACATTCTAGTAAATGGTTTTAACAGGTCCGTGAAGCCTAAAAATACATTAAACGTAAAAATTTAAGGAATTTTTGCTTGTACAGTATTTATTTTACCCGGCTTGTAAGCAAATGGTCCACGGGATGACAAAATTTACTTGCATCTTCACCTAGCAGTAAATATAATCCTAAGGCAACTATTGTGGGTTGCATTCTGGGAAAGGTGGTGCCGACCTCTGGGACCCCTGATAAGCCTAACAGGTTTCCGGTTAGGCTTATACAGGTAATAAAAAAGATTATATCATCTCCCTTTATTTCTTAAGAATCATATCCATGTAAGCCTCGGAAAGCAAGTCTTCTTCCTTAATTCCAAGCTTCAGGCGGAGGTCACTAGCAATCTTCTCACCATCTTCCACAGTTTGATCATCACGCAGCACCACCTGACAATGAGAAAAGCCAGATACAAGGGCATGTTCTATATATAACATTCGCCCACACCTTGAACTGTAGGTCATGGCCCATATAACACTACTGAGCTGTAAACCTACCTCAAGTTCCATGAAGTCTCCCAGACCATCCACGGAGTCAACATGTACTCTTGTCTGATCAACCATGTACAATGTTCTGGTCTTCCTCATAGCCCCCTTCACTCCAAGACATCGAGTTAATAGTTTACACACATCCCCACTCAATTCTCCATTTTTTCTAGAAACCTGCAATCAAAAGTAAAAAACTAATTACATAAAATTAAATAAAAAAACATAAATTGCTAGAAAATTAAGAAAATATTATCAATAAAAATAATATTGTGGTAATCTCTCAATCTAAAGCTTCACCAGAAGGAATCTATTCAGGTTTTATGGTTGTGCTTGTTACAAAATTGTAATTCAAATTAAACAGCATGCATGCTTGCTGAATCTGTGTCAAGGCACTGTTCCCTATATGCTTGGAATAGTACATTTGCAACAACCACATAGTCAAACTTAGACCAGCATGAATATAAATATTGTTTTATATGAGAACCAGCTACACAATCTTGAAGTAAATGAACCTATTGGCTTTCTCATGCTACAAACTGTTCACTGTAATACAGATTTTTCTTGAACTGTAACCATCGAGCCGCATTGTTTGATATCTAGGGTAAATTATTTCAAGAAGTGCACTTTTAACAATCGAGTAGAGGGTAGGTATGTTCAAGAAGAGCTTGATTGCCATCAGCTGGGAATTATGTCAAGTAAATCTCATAAATAGGATGAATGTAATTGGTTTGGGCCCTATGTTCTGAATGCTGCCTACATACAGAACCACTTCCAACCACATCTAAAATATAGAACCTTAATGTGTAGTTTTTAATAATCACCAGATTCCACTCTCACACAGGCTCCAATTATCTGGGATGCGACTGTTCAACAACGCAATAAAGGAAACTTTACAGTTTCGGCAACATTTGCTGACTGTTGCAGCTAAGGAGATACTATAGTATAAAATTAATTCTGACCGAATGAAACTTGTCAGTCTCAAACGTAAAACCAGCCATGTAAACTGTAAACAAGGCATGTTGACTCCCCTTTACCAAAACTTTCTATGGATAATGATTTGTTAAGAACTTTTTTGAAATTCGAGTAAACTAATATTTAAGGAAATACTGTCACAAATAATCTTGCATTAACAATGTTAGACATCTACCAACTCAGATGTTCCATTTTCAAAATGAAAACCAGTCTTGCAATATTTTTTTTTCCAAATTGGGCCTATCTGGCTGGTGTACAATAGATATTGTACGTACATTAGCATTACTGTACTGTACTTCATGTTTTGTTTGAGTGTGTTAAGAGGCATCAGCCTAGCAGAAAAGGATTGAGCAATATTGTAAAAGTGGTTTATGGACATCAAAAATAAATCCTTAAAAATATACCTCGGTCATTCATTATATCATTCACAATATACAAAGTACAGTATTGATGAAAAAACACACACTGGAGCAGTCATCCACAGTAGCAGCTCACTGCTTCACAAGACCTGTGAAGTGTTACATATACATTTATCCCTGTCTTACGAGCCACTTCCACTTACTACATCCTGTCCATTGTCTAAATATGCTACTAGATTCTTCACACTGTCCTCCCCACTTTCCAACTTTGTTTGCCAGTCTTTCTCTACTACCCTTAAATTAATTTTATATACTCATCACTAGTCTACTATCATATATTCAATGCAACGTGCACATATCATCTTGGCACTTTTTCCTTATTCTTGCAATTTATTGAATTCTGCATTCAACATTTCTCCACTGTATTTTTCATTCCTTACTAACTTATTCTAACACCACACATGCTTTCAAGACTGTTCATTTGTACTGCTATAACTTTATTTTCCTCCAAACCACACCATCTCACAACTATACATTAGCAATACTACTACTTCTGGCAGTCCTCTAGCTGCATCTATTCCTCTCTTAAATTTCCCAACTATGACTTTCCTTGTATCGACCCATTTCCTTCCCCAACGAAGATTTTATTTTCATCTTCAATTGACAATTTATCTTTAAGCAATCACACATACGAGGTATTGTAGAGGTACTTACACTTATCAAGCACTTCCAGCACCTCATCATTCTTGTTCCTAATATATTCTTTTCACATTCTACACAACCAAACAAACCTGCCTTTTTTCCATGGGGGCTGAGTTGGAAACAGACCCCAAATCCTAGGCTACTTTTAATTTTAACAAGAAAATGGCACTTGTCCAATTTTCCCCACTCCTATAATGCAGGGAATACCAAGGCAAATTACACAGCCTAACAGTGGGTGGTTGGCTCGCCACAACCCAATGCCTACTATACAGTACAGTACAGTACAGTACTGTAATTTCAGTGTGAATAAGAGCTTGGCATTTTAAATACACTTAAAGTAAGTAATTATCAAAAGAAGGCACCAAACCGGAAAGGCAAATACTGTACACTTAAAAATCTATTAAAAACTTTATTTTTTAAAGTACAGTACCTTGAGGGTCCTGGTAGTACAGTCGAGTTCGTTCTCGACGCACAATCAAGAATTCCGGGTACGAATCCCGATGGGACAGAAATGGTTCAGCACATTTCCTTTCACCTAATTTTATTGGGTGCTGTTAACCTAGCAGTAAGTAGGTACTCAGGAGTTAGTCAGCTTGTGGGAGTTACATCCTATGCGAGGTCAGTATTTCGACCTTGGGGGGAAGGGGACCTCTATATAAGCCTAATGAATATGAATACACTCTGGCTTCCTGTCCCCCAACACAAAGAATTAAATAAAAATATATTAATTAACCACTATTACAAGTACTGTACTGTATTTATGAAGCCATTTGTGGTAATTGAATTTGAAACACATAAATGACTTGTCTCATTTACCTGAGGGCCACTAACACTAGTGGCCTTGGCAAGGACAAGAAGCCGGCAGCTTGTCGAAGGTCCTTTCCCCCATTTGTCTTGATCCCGGATGGATTTTATAACCTAACAGTTTTGGCGTTTGCAGCTTCGGCAGGTAAAATCTAAAACTAGATTCATGTACTGTATAGTATTTTCATGTATGGAATCTATCAAGTAATTTTTTTTGTATTCTAGTACAGTATTAGTCTCCTAATATTCTTTTAATATTCTCCTAATACTCTCCTAATATTCTAGTCTAGTATTATTATTAGTCTCCTTGATATAATTTACTCAGCTCTTGACAAAAATGAGTTTCCAATTGGACTCTTCATTGACCTGAGAAAGGCCTTTGATACTGTTAATCATGATTACCTCTTAAGTAAACTCCATCATTATGGAATCCGAGGCCATGCACTGGACTATATCCAATCCTATCTTAGTGATAGACACCAATGTGTAGCCATCAATAATATAATCTCTCCCATTCTACCAATAACTGTTGGAGTGCCACAGGGCAGCATCTTGGGACCTCTTCTTTTTCTTATATACATTAATGATCTGCCTAATGTCTCTAACATTCTGAAACCTATTTTGTTTGCTGATGATACTACCCTCATCTACTCCCACCCCAACCCACATACACTAAATGGTGTTGTTAATAATGAACTAAAAAAAGTCCACTTATGGATGTCAACCAACAAACTAACACTTAACATAGAAAAGACCTACTACATCCTATTCGGAAGCAAATCTACAAATGCAATTCAACTTCAGATTGACAATGTAAACATTAGCAATAAAAATGATGGAAAGTTTCTTGGCATATTCCTAGACAAGAGACTCAACTTCAGTACTGTACCCACATACAACACATAACTAAGAAAGTCTCTAAAACAGTTGGTATACTCTCCAAAATCAGATATTATGTTCCTAACTCTGCTCTCATCTCTCTATATTATGCACTAATCTATCCCTATCTTAACTATGGTATCTGTGCATGGGGTTCAACCACTGCTAACCACCTCAAGTCCATCATCACCCAGCAAAAATCTGCTATCAGAATAATATCAAATTCTGCTTTCAGACAACACACAGCCCCCTTGTTTAACTCCCTAAACATGCTAAACATAATCTCACTCCACAAATTCTCTTGTGTCAACTACATTTACAAAACCCTGTTCTTAAATGCAAATCCTTGTCTGAAACTCTTCTTGGACAGATGTAATAGGACCCATTATCACCACACCAGAAATAAATATCTCTTTGATATCCCCAGAGTTAAACTTAATCTGTGTAAACACTCTATGCAAATAAAGGGACCCAGTTTATGGAACTCACTCCCTACTGAATTGAAAAGCTGTCCAACTTTTACATCATTCAAAATCAATACTAAAAAGTACCTAATTTCATCTTCATAGTTTTTCACTTTTTGCCTTAAAATTGCTCTGTATCAATTGCTACCCAATCTCCCAACCTTTATGTTCCCAATTTGTACATCTTTACCATTGTGATCATTGCTGTTTTCTTATATGTGCTGCCAATCTGTTGTATGGTGTTTATAAATCTTGTTTATCTGTATCTTTTGCTACCCAGTCTCCCAATCTTTATGTACCCAATCTGAACATCTTTACCATTGTGATCATTGCTGTCTTATATGTGCTGTCAATCTGCTGTATGGTGTCTATTAACCTTGTTTAAATTACTAATCAAGCTGTCAATGTAATCAATCAGAACTTTAATATAACAATATGCTTTAATATACCTACTTATCTCTCTCATCTTATTTTTCTCTTGTAATGTATCTTTATCATTTATCAATTCTGATTGAAATTACCTACTAAAAATTATCTGCTAGATTAAGGACCTGCCCGAAACGCTGTGCGTATTAGTGGCTTTACAAGAATGTATATACTGTACTATCCAATGTATTCTCACAAACTCAATGTACCTTCTTGTATATATATAAATAAAATAAAATAAAATAAAATAAAAGTATCCAAAGTGAAATATAAGAATCAATTACCTTCACATAATCACTACACTTAGGGCCTTCCTGATCTGGTCTTTCATAATATATCAGTTCTTCATTATCATCCTGTAAAAAGTAATTGGAAAGCATCAGTAAAAACATTATGCACAAAAACAAGTACTGTATAGGCAAGACTTCAGAACTGAAATATGGGCAAACTCTGAAATATTGTTTATAAAAGGGCAGCAAAACACATTATTAAAGAAGTTGAGCAACAAAGTACAATATTGGAATGTCACATGACAAACAGAAGCAAAGGGTAAGTATTTGTTACGACCATGGCACACTGTAATTACCCAAGTGTAGTTATAGGATGAGAGCTATGCTCGTGGCGTCCCGTCTTCCCAGCACTCTGTCATATAACGCTTTGAAACTACTGACGGTCTTGGCCTCCACCACCTTCTCACCTAACTTGTTCCAACCGTCTACCACTCTGTTTGCGAAAGTGAATTTTCTTATATTTCTTCGGCATCTGTGTTTAGCTAGTTTAAATCTATGACCTCTTGTTCTTGAAGTTCCAGGTCTCAGGAAATCTTCCCTGTCGATTTTATCAATTTCTGTTACTATTTTGTACGTAGTGATCATATCACCTCTTTTTCTTGTGTCTTCTAGTTTTGGCATATTTAATGCCTCTAACCTCTCCTCGTAGCTCTTGCCCTTCAGTTCTGGGAGCCACTTAGCAACATGTCTTTGCACCTTTTCCAGTTTGTTGATGTGCTTCTTAAGATATGGGCACCACACAACAACTGCATATTCTAGCTTTGGCCTAACAAGTCATGAACAATTTCTTTAGTATATCGCCATCCATAAATATATGGATGAAACGACCACAGAAAGAGTAAGAAAGAGATAAGAAAAAGTAATGGCCACAGATGTCAAAAGCATGGATGAAGGTAGTCAATAAGTTAGTATTGTATCTCGAAACTCTGCACTAACAAAAAGTAAATACAGTATACTGTAGTACATTCAAGCAAACCATTTTCTACCAACCAGCAATGTCGCATGTGCAAAGATTCCTATAGGCATTCCTATCTCCAGAGTTCACTTTACTACACATCTCTCACCAAGAGGGTCCTTTAGTACAGTGGTCATTACAGTTGGTTTGCACAGGGCCAGAGACGAAAAGACAAGAAAATAGAGTCAATATAGGAAGAGGCCTAACCTGAAAATATACCAGCACTACAAGCAAACAGGAAACAATTGTACAACAGTGAGGGGAGAGAGAGGCGGAAAAGAACTTACTTCGAGAGAGATATAGCAAACAAATGTAAAACCAATCCAGGCCTTTTCTTTAAGTTCATTAAAACCAAGCTGCATGTAAAGGATAAAATTCAGAGATTGAGAACGGGGAACAGAACTATCGAGAATGTGAAATGTTAAATGAAGAGTTCCAAAGTGTTTGTATAAAATGAGGGTTTCAGAGAGCCAGACACAATACCACTTTCAGAGCATGCCATAGAATATATTGAGGTTTCTCAAGATGAAGTGGAAAATTTATTCAAGGGGCTAGGAAGAAATAAAGCAGGTGGACCTGGAGTTTCACCTTGGGTGCTGAGAGAACGTGCAACAGACCTGAGCATGCCACGCCAATTAATATTCCAGACATCCTTGTCCACAGGAATCTTAGCAGCTATATGGAAAAAGGCATACATAGTACCAATCTATAAAAATGTTAGCCGAGAGGAACCTCTAAATTATAAACCGGTATCACTGAGTAGCATGGTACTGTACTGTAGTTAAAACACTAGTAAACAATAGTTAAGGAGCCGGGAGCATAAAAATATTCATCCAATTATGAAGTATAGTATAAAATGTAAAACAAATCTAATGTTATTAGGCATCGGCGTCATGAAAATTTCATCCCACTACGTTGAGAAATGAATTTGACATGAATTAAAAAAGTGCATAAACGATACTGATGATAACAGTAACATTTCCTAGATAGTGGAACTACTCATGGATAATGCAGTGATAATGAGATGCAAGCAACTGTCCAACGCATAAAGAATAATACTGTACTCACCTAGTTGAGCTTGCGGGGGTTGAGCTCTGGCTCTTTGGTCCCGCCTCTCAACCGTCAATCAACTGTGTACTGTATACGTGTTTGTGTATTTATTTATTTATTTATATATATATATATATACTGTGTGTGTGTATATATATATATATATACACACACACACACACACACACACACACACATGGCCCCTACGAGGCCCCTATGGGCGCTCGTAGCCTGGTGGATAGCGCGCAGGACTCGTAATTCTGTGGCGCGGGTTCGATTCCCGCACGAGGCAGAAACAAATGGGCAAAGTTTCTTTCACCCTAAGTGCCCCTGTTACCTAGCAGTAAATAGGTACCTGGGAGTTAGTCAGCTGTCATGGGCTGCTTCCTGGGGTGTGTGTGTGTGGTGTAGAAAAAAAAAAAAATAAAAAAATAAAAGTAGTTAGTAAACAGTTGATTGACAGTTGAGAGGCGGGCCGAAAGAGCAAAGCTCAACCCCTGCAAAACACAACTAGTAAACACACACACACACACACCCACCCACAGACCAAAGAGCCAGAGCTCAACCCCCGCAAACACAACTAGGTGAGTACATACACCCACCACACACACACACACACACATACACACACACACACACACACACACACACACACACACACACACACACACACACACACACACAGGCCTCGGAGCCTGGTGGATAGCGCGCAGGACTCGTAATTCTGTGGCGCGGGTTCGATTCCCGCACGAGGCAGAAACAAATGGGCAATGTTTCTTTCACCCTAAGTGCCCCTGTTACCTAGCAGTAAATAGGTACCTGGGAGTTGGTCAGCTGTCACGGGCTGCTTCCTGGGGTGTGTGTGTGTGTGGTGTGGTGTGGGGAAAAAAAAAAAAAAAAAAAAAAAGTAGTTAGTAAACAGTTGATTGACAGTTGAGAGGCGGGCCGAAAGAGCAAAGCTCAACCCTCGCAAAACACAACAACTAGTAAACACACACACACACTGTGTGTGTGTGTGTGTGTGTGGTATCTCTTATCTGTGTGAGAGATACCAGAGAACCAGGAATGAGTACGTCAGGGTGAGAAGAGAAGCAGAGAAAAATTTTGAAAATGATATAGCAAACAAAGCCAAGACCGAACCAAAGCTATTCCACAGTCACATCAGAAGGAAAACAACAGTGAAAGAACAGGTATTGAAACTTCGAACAGGCGAGGACAGGTATAGAGAATGACAGAGAGGTGTGTGAGGAACTCAACAAGAGGTTCCAGGAGGTCTTCACAATAGAACAGGGTGAGGTCACTGTGCTAGGAGAAAGGGAGGTAAACCAGGCGGCCTTGGAGGAGTTCGAAATTACGAGAGAGGAGGTCAAGAGACACCTGCTGGATCTGGATGTTAGAAAGGCTGTTGGTCCAGATGGGATCTCACCATGGGTACTAAAAGAGTGTGCAGAGGCACTTTGCTTGCCACTCTCCATAGTGTATAGTAAGTCACTAGAGACGGGAGACCTACCAGAAATATGGAAGACGGCGAATGTGGTCCCAATATACAAAAAGGGCGACAGACAAGAGGCACTGAACTACAGGCCAGTGTCCTTGACTTGTATACCATGCAAGGTGATGGAGAAGATCGTGAGAAAAAACCTGGTAACACATCTGGAGAGAAGGGACTTCATGACAAATCGCCAACATGGGTTCAGGGAGGGTAAATCTTGCCTTACAGGCTTGATAGAATTCTACGATCAGGTGACACAGATTAAGCAAGAAAGAGAGGGCTGGGCGGACTGCATTTTCTTGGATTGTCGGAAAGCCTTTGACACAGTACCGCATAAGAGGCTGGTACATAAGCTGGAGAGACAGGCAGGTGTAGCTGGTAAGGTGCTCCAGTGGATAAGGGAGTATCTAAGCAATAGGAAGCAGAGAGTTACGGTGAGGGGTGAGACCTCCGATTGGCGTGAAGTCACCAGTGGAGTCCCACAGGGCTCTGTACTCGGTCCTATCTTGTTTCTGATATATGTAAATGATCTCCCGGAGGGTATCGATTCATTTCTCTCGATGTTTGCAGACGATGCTAAAATTATGAGAAGGATTAAAACAGAAGAGGACTGTTTGAGGCTTCAAGAAGACCTAGACATGCTGAAGGAATGGTGGAACAAATGGTTGTTAGAGTTTAACCCAACCAAATGTAATGTAATGAAGATAGGTGTAGGAAGCAGGAGGCCAGATACAAGGTATCATCTGGGAGAGGAAATTCTTCAGGAGTCAGAGAAGGAAAAAGACTTGGGGGTTGATATCACGCCAGACCTGTCTCCTGCAGCACATATCAAGCGGATAACATCAGCGGCATATGCCAGGCTGGCCAGCATACGAACGGCATTCAGAAACTTGTGTAAAGAATCATTCAGAACTTTGTATACCACATATGTCAGGCCAATCCTGGAGTATGCAGCCCCAGCATGGAGTCCATATCTAGTCAAGGATAAGACTAAACTGGAAAAGGTTCAAAGGTTTGCTACCAGACTAGTACCCGAGCTGAGAGGTATGAGCTACGAGGAGAGACTACGGGAATTAAACCTCACTTCGCTGGAAGACAGAAGAGTTAGGGGGGACATGATCACCACATTCAAGATTCTGAAGGGAATTGATAGGGTAGATAAAGACAGTCTATTTAACACAAGGGGAACACGCACAAGGGAACACAGGTGGAAACTGAGTGCCCAAATGAGCCACAGAGATATTAGAAAGAACTTTTTTAGTGTCAGAGTGGTTGACAAATGGAATGCATTAGGGGGTGATGTGGTGGAGGCTGACTCCATACACAGTTTCAAATGTAGATATGACAGAGCCCGATAGGCTCAGGAATCTGTACACCTGTTGATTGACGGTTGAGAGGCGGGACCAAAGAGCCAGAGCTCAACCCCCGCAAACACAACTAGGTGAGTACAACTAGGTGAGTACACTAGGGGAGCTAGGGATTGAAGCGTTCAGTGATTGGTAACTGGGAAACCAGGGACTGGGGAAGCCAGGGACTGGAGAGCCAGGGAGGCAGGTCCACAGGGTTCAGTTCTTGCACCAGTGATGTTTATTGTCTACATAAATGATCCACCAGTTGGTATACAGAATTATATGAACATGTTTGCTGATGATGCTAAGATAATAGGAAGGATAAGAAACTTAGATGATTGTCATGCCCTTCAAGATGACCTGGACAAAATAAGTATATGGAGCACCACTTGGCAAATGGAATTTGATGTTAATAAATGCCATGTTATGGAATGTAGAATAGGAGAACACAGACCCCACACAACCTATATATTATGTGAGAAATCTTTAAAGAATTCTGATAAAGAAAGATCTAGGGGTGGTTCTAGATAGAAAACTATCACCTGAGGACCACATAAAGAATATTGTGCGAGGAGCCTATGCTACGCTTTCTAACTTCAGAACTGCTTTTAAATACATGGATGGCGATATACTAAAGAAATTGTTCACAACTTTTGTTAGGCCAAAGCTAGAATATGCAGCGGTTGTGTGGTGCCCATATCTTAAGAAGCACATCAACAAACTGGAAAAGGTGCAAAGACATGCTACTAAGTGGCTCCCACAACTAAAGGGCAAGAGCTACGAGGAGAGGTTAGAGGCATTAAATATGCCAAAACTAGAAGACAGAAGAAAAAGAGGTGATATGATCACTACATGCAAAATAGTAACAGGAATTGATAAAATCGATAGGGAAGATTTCCCGAGACCTGGAACTTTCAGAACAAGAGGTCATAGATATAAACTAGCTAAATACAGATGCCGAAGAAATATAAGAAAATTCACTTTCGCAAACAGAGTGGTAGACGGTTGGAACAAGTTAGGGGAGAAGGTGGTGGAGGCCAAGACAGTCAGTAGTTTCAAAGCGTTATATGACAAAGAGTGCTGGGAAGACGGGACACCACGAGCATAGCTCTCATCCTGTAACTACACTTAGGTAATTACCAGCGATACAAAGATGCGAGAAACAACTACACAGCAGTGAGGAGAGAGGCAGAAAGAAATTTTGAAAAAGAGGTGGCAGACAAATGTAAAACAGAACCAGGTCTATTCTATAAATTCATAAACAACAAATTGCAGGTAAAGGATAATATACATAGATTCACGGAAAATGAAAAGGAAATGTGTGAAACACTAAACGAAAAGTTTCAAAGTGTGTTTGTACAAAATGAAATCTTTAGGGAACCAGACACAATAAGAATTCCAGAGAACAACATAGAGGTGTCTAGAGACGAAGTGGAAAAAATGCTCAAGGAGCTAAGTAAGAACAAAGCAGTTGGTCCAGATGGAGTTTCACCATGGGTTCTGAGAGAATGTGCACCTGAGCTCAGCATTCCACTTAACTGATTTTTCAGGCATCCCTGTGTACAGGAATTGTAGCTGATGTGTGGAAAAAGGCTAACGTAGTTCCAATCTACAAAAGTGGAAGCAGGGAAGACCCCCTTAATTATAGACCTGTATCATTGACAAGTGTAAGTCAAAATATTGAAAAAAATAATTAAAACTAAATGGGTAGAACACCTGGAGGAAAACGATATAATATCAGACAGACAGTTTTCGATCTGGAAGATCCTGTGTAACGAACTTACTCAGTTTTTATGATCGAGCCACAGAGATATTACAGGAAAGAGATGGTTGGGTTGACTGCATCTATCTGGACCTAAAAAAGGCTTTCGACAGAGTTCCCCATAAGAGGTTGTTCTGGAAACTGGAACATATTGGAGGAGTGACAGGTAAGCTACTAACATGTATGAAAAATTTCCTAACTGACAGAAAAATGAGGGCCGTAATCAGAGGCAAGGTATCGGATTGGAGGAATGTCACGAGTGGAGTACCACAGGGTTCAGTTCTTGCACCGGTAATGTTCATTGTCTACATAAATGATCTACCAGTGGGAATACAGAATTACATGAACATGTTTGCTGATGATGCTAAGATAATAGGGAAGATAAGAAACCTAGATGATTGTCATGCCCTTCAAGAAGACCTGGACAAAATAAGTATATGGAGCAACACTTGGCAAATGGAATTTAATGTGAATAAATGCCATGTTATGGAATGTGGAATTGGAGAACATAGACCCCACACAACCTATAAATTATGTGAGAAATCTTTAAAGAATTCTGACAAAGAAAGGGATCTAGGGGTGGTTCTAGATAGAAAACTGTCACCTGAGGACCACATTAAGAACATTGTGCAAGGAGCCTATGCTACACTTTCTAACCTCAGAATTGCTTTTAAATACATGGATGGAGAAATACTAAAGAAATTGTTCACGGCTTTTATTAGACCAAAGCTGGAATATGCAGCGGTTGTATGGTGCCCATATCTTAAGAAGCACATCAACAAACTGGAAAAGGTGCAACGACATGCCACTAAGTGGCTCCCAGAACCGAAGGACAAGAGCTACGAGGAGAGGTTAGAGGCATTAAATATGCCAAAACTAGAAGATAGAAGAAAAAGAGGCGATATGATCACCAAGTTCAAAATAGTAACAGGAATCGATAAAATTGATAGGGAAGAATTCCCGAGACTGGGAACTTCAAGAACAAGAGGTCATAGATTTAAACCAACGAAACAAAACTGCCGGAGAAATATACGAAAATTCACTTTTGTAAACAGTGGTAGACGGTTGGAACAAGTTAAGTGAGAGGGTAGTGGAGGCCAAAACCGTCAGTAATTTCAAAGCATTATATGACAAAGAGTGCTGGGGAGACGGGACACCATGAGCGTAGCTCTCATCCTGTAACTACACTTAGGTAATTACACAAACACACACACCTCAAATAAAAAATAAAGTTCCTTAAATAGACCCCCAAAAGCAGGCATTCTGTATTCTTAAATTCACTGTTCCAAAAAGAAGCTGTTCTACTGCAATTAGTTGGCATTGCATGGACAAACAAGTGCTGGTAACGTAATCAACCTTCAAGACTCGTAGCTTTAATCTTCCTTTTGGAGAACAAAAGAATGTATCTTCTTGGTGTAGAATTTCACCCTCACTATTAGAAAGCTGGGCTGCACATTGATGGAGTTTTGCCACATCATGTACCTTGGCTTTGATCTCAACATTACGTGGCATTCTCAATCTTGAAGTTTCTGCAAGATACAATAATATCTAGGTATTTTTTATCATAGAGTAATCAAAGGGAAAATTATATCCCATTTACAATCCCAGTACTGTACATTACATCAAGACAAAGATTATGAAATATAGTCATTTTAAGAAAAATTATTTTCCCTTCTTAGTCCAGTACTGCTAAGCTCTTCCACATGCACCATACACAGAACATTGCCAAGCTCTATCACATGTAACATAGAGAGAACAGTTCCTTAAAAAACTGGGTCCTCGCATCAACTCTGAACTCTACCACCACAAAGGACGCTTTCTGATCCAGTGTCTTGACTAGTTTTAAAAATTAGGCTACTTGTTAATCCCCATTTTTTGGAAATAAATAGTACAGTCGGGTTCATTCTCGACTCTCAATTGAGAATTCCGGGTTTGAATCTCAAGTGGGACAGAAATGGTTGAGTGCATTTCTTATCACCTAATGCCTCTGTTCACCTAGCAGTAACTAGGTATCCAGGAGTTAGTCAGTTTGTTGAAGGGGTTGCATCCTGGAGAGTCGGTAATTTGATCCTGCTGGGACCTCGATATAAGCCTAACATACGCTGTATGTATAAACATGCTGCCTGTCCCCCAACAATTCATTTTCAATTCTTACCACGTTTCAGTGGTCATCTGTCTGGTGATGTAAAATTAGACAAAGCTCATCTGGTTCCAAGAGGATTGTAAAGAAGCTACACATCTTAGATTAATTTTGTAAAAAAATATGAAAAAATTTAAAGTACTGTACAGTACTGTATTGTTAAATATAGAAAAAATTGGCATACCCAACGGGATCTGACTATTTCTCAGGTCCCGTTTCTTGATCAGAATGTCTTGTCAGATTATTTTTGTGTTGAAGTGCTGAGTTTAGGGTGTGAGCAATAGCAGAGAAATCTTCAATTCATACTCTGGACGATGATCAGGATTTTCTAAATGAGGAGAACTGCCTCTCCAAATTGAAGAATTTAAGGAAATCAGAACTAGTGTTGATAAGCGCTTACCTGGAATTAAAGGTGAAAGAAGGGGGATTCACATATTGAGATCCTATCCAAAGTGTACAGACTTTTAAAACCAGAAGGCAAACAGGAAAGTGAAGTCCATAGTAAAGTAGCAAGTGGCATGGCTTTCTCTAACAAGACCAGGAAAGTGATGGTACTAGCAACCCAGGTGAACTAGAATTGCTAAAATTGAACTAACATCCAGTTCCTAATAGGCATGAGAACTTTTTTTTTTATGCGCAGTTTACAAGTTCCCATAAAAGAGGTTTCAAGCAACTTTTCATGAATCAAACAGAAAAGATTAATTTTCTTTTTTATGTTCTAAAATACAAATGTCTGTGTACAAGTAGTTGTTGACGAGTTGAGGCCAACAATGAAATTACCATATGCACCCTGCTGAATTAATCCCTGGAATGGAAACCATAATGGAGTCAATATCCCTACACAGAACAAAGAAAATTTGCAAAATTATATTACCTTGCTGGGTGATCCCAGCTGGCTACTCCTGGTAGGGCAAGGAGGGGATTATCTGGGGAACGTGGCAAACCATTACGACTATATAGTAATAAGGTGTATATTTATTGATCAGTAAATGTTTATTCAGGTAAAAGTACACACACATACAAGATGAGTTAAAAACAATGGTGGATTTCTAGAGAGAGCTAGTACATACCATGCCTAAAGTCACTAATATGCACAGCATTTCAGGCATAAACACTGCCCGAAGCATTTACATTATACTAATGTAAACACATTACATTATGTGTGTTTACATATACACATTATAATATAAACAATTTGACAATATTTTAAAACCTACAAAACCTTACCCATCCTAACCAAACAAAGCCTAACACAGCTTAAGCTAATACACTGTAACTACTGTATATATGGATTCGACAATAAAAAAATAGGGTTGTCAAAATACCTGTATACTATTTGACCACACCCCGGGCAGACCATCCAAACTACCAAACAGGTTGTCTGGATCTTGATCTATCAAGGTAGCAACCCTGACAGAGCAGGTCAAACTATGGGATAGGTGTTCATGATAATGACACGAAGTGTAAACTATGTGGTATGTTAAGGTTTCACACCCTTGCCCATTATGTTCTTGATTGTCCCTTGATTAATGTATATAGAAACACTGAGATAAGGACTGTTCCTGAACAAATAGCCTGGATGTGTCACAATGGAAAGGTTGATGATATTCTTGAGAGATATAAGAATTTTGCACCAAAACTGTAATTTTTGTTGAATTATCTGCATGTCTCTTGCAAATTGTCTATACAGTATACCTAGGTCATAAAAGTATTTGTGTGTACATCTGATACCATACTACTTGTGAAGGAGGAAATGTATATGTTTATCTCTCAGAATGTTTGGTAATATGTTTATTGTTTGTGATGTGTGTATATGTATGTATTAACACGGTGTACTGAACAGGGTGAGAATAGCTTGAGCTACCTCATCCCTTTGTGTGTATTTTACATCAATAAACTTATTTCAATTTCAATTTCTGACAGAGCAAGAGATAGATTCTATGGATTCATGACCCCCCAAGCTGGCCCTGGACCCCCTAATCAATGCCTCAAAATCGGGCCAGAAATAGTAAAACAAAAATATGCCAATTTCCCTGTTACTAGGAAATACTTGTGCCAGGTGCTGAAAAATCTGAGCCGTTGAATACATTTTCCTTACAACAAAACTGTAACCCTACAGTTAAAGGCCACAGGACTAATATTGGAAACCAGACATGACAGGACTGATCTTATTGTCCTCTTCAAAATATTTAACAAGTTGAAGGATATTAAGTCAGACCACATCTTTAAAAGGTCAAATGTAAGCAAGGAGCAACAGCCTCAAGCTCACGCCACAATGTAGGACAAAACAAGAGATGCTTTTTCACCCATAGGTTATAAACCATTGGAACTGCCTACCAGTCAAAACCATAAATGCCAAGTCATTACTAGGAGGGTAGAAATAGCCTAAGCTACTCTATCCCTTTGAGATGTATTTTATTGTCTCAATAAACGTACGGTACTTAAACTTTAAGTCATTACTTTAGTTTAATATCCAGATAGAAAAAAGTAATCAACAACAATGGGGAGGGGGAATCGTCCGTGTCGAGGCCACTAGATATAATGTTTTTTTTTTTTTTTTGAGATATATACAAGAGTTGTTACATTCTTGTACAGCCACTAGTACGCGTAGCGTTTCGGGCAGGATCTTAGGTAATTCAGGTAAATGCAACAAATTTTCCAGCGACCACCAGGCGGAGCATAAGCCACATCACCACAAAGCGTCAAGGATGAACTGGAATCCAAATACCAAAGTTAAACTTAACACTGGGTCAAATAACAACACTAATGACAAATCCAGTGCGATACACAAGTTCGGGTATATGTGTTTTTACTACCAGAGCACACCTGGGGGACGGTGGAGACCCACCTACTGCAGGCAGGGCTGAGGCTCCTGTGCCAGTGAGGTCCTGTAGCACAGTCTGAGGGTCCTGTAACAGTCAATGAGTCCTGTCACTGACAAAGGGGAGCCATTCAAATGCTGCCTTTCCGTAGTCGTCGTGCCGATTACATTAGTGATCACTAATAAAGTTGTCAAGATATCCTGTTTTACATATTCAGATGTTGACTTGAAGGCAGTTTAAACAAATTTTATACTTTTATGTTATTTCTAGATATAATTATGCTTTCAATTATATGTTTATTACAAAAACTTCGGTAGAGGAAAGTAAACATTTATAAACGTGGTGCCTTGGAGTAGCTTGCGCCTCCTGAGAGTGGACCATATTAGAGACCACACCTGAAGATGGACCATCTAGAGACAACAGTTGGGAGATGGCACCCAGTAATAAAATATTTACCTGAACTTACCCGAGTGCCATTACTCTAGTGCCCTTGAAGAGTAATGGCACTCAAAGGTCCCTTCATTTGTCCTGATGATTATTTAAGGATAGATTTTAAAACATTTTTAAGGATAGATTTTAAAATTAAGGAGAGTTTTGGCATTTACATCTCCGTCGGGTAGGCGGTTCCATGGGTTTATAACACTGGGAGAAAAAGCACCTGTTTTCAGTCCTACATTGTAGCTTGTTGAACATGAAACCATTGCTCCTTGTTTGTGTTACATTTGACCTTGTGAAAAAGCTGTCTGGATCAGTATCCTCCAAGTTGTTCAGTATTTTATGTTTCGATGAGATCGCCCCAGTCATGTCTGACCCTGTGGCCCAAAAACGTTCCTTTTTTGTATGAAAGTCGTCCATGTTCTGAAGTTTTAAACAATTATATAACATTATTGGAAGAACTAAAATGGCGTGCTAAATTGAAGCGTGTACAGTAATGTAATGTAATAATAAAACGTTACCTACATTGGTAATCTAAACGGAGAACCAAATAATTAGAGTAAAGACTAAATGACAACAGTACTAGTTACCACTAACTGGGACAACAGCACCAGTTACCACTAACTGGGACAACACCAGCTACCACTAACTGGGACAACAACACCAGTTACCACTAACTGGGACAACAGCACCAGCTACCACTAACTGGGACAACAACACCAGCTACCACTAACTGGGACAACAGCACCAGCTACCACTAACTGGGACAACAACACCAGCTACAGCACCACTAACTGGGACAACAACACCAGTTACCACTAACTGGGACAACAACACCAGTTACCATTAACTGGGACAACAACATCAGTTACAGCACCACTAACTGGGACAACAACATCAGTTACAGCACCACTAACTGGGACAACAACATCAGTTACAGCACCACTAACTGGGACAACAACATCAGTTACAGCACCACTAACTGGGACAACAACACCAGTTACCACTAACTGGGACAACAACACCAGTTTCCATTAACTGGGACAACAACACCAGTTACCATTAACTGGGACAACAACACCAGCTACCATTAACTGGGACACGTTAACCGTTGTTGTTGTTTTAGATTCAGCAAGTGGAACCAAAAGTTCCAAGTAGCACGGGGTATGGTGAACTTACCTGGCACAGGAGGTGAACTTACCTGGCACAGGAGGTGAACTTACCTGGCACAGGTGAACTTACCTGGCACAGGAGGTGAACTTACCTGGCACAGGAGGTGAACTTACCTGGCACAGGAGGTGAACTTACCTGGCACAGGAGGTGAACTTACCTGGCACAGGAGGGGAACTTACCTGGCACAGGAGGTGAACCTACCTGGCACAGGAGGTGAACTTACCTGGCACAGGAGGTGAACTTACCTGGCACAGGAGGTGAACTTACCTGGCACAGGAGGTGAACTTACCTGGCACAGGAGGTGAACTTACCTGGCACAGGAGGTGAACTTACCTGGCACAGGAGGTGAACTTACCTGGCACAGGAGGTGAACTTACCTGGCACAGGAGGTGAACTTACCTGGCACAGGAGGGGAACTTACCTGGCACAGGAGGGGAACTTACCTGGCACAGGAGGTGAACTTACCTGGCACAGGAGGTGAACTTACCTGGCACAGGAGGTGAACTTACCTGGCACAGGAGGTGAACTTACCTGGCACAGGAGGGGAACTTACCTGGCACAGGTGAACTTACCTGGCACAGGAGGTGAACTTACCTGGCACAGGAGGTGAACTTACCTGGCACAGGAGGTGAACTTACCTGACACAGGAGGTGAACTTACCTGGCACAGGAGGTGAACTTACCTGGCACAGGTGAACTTACCTGGCACAGGAGGTGAACTTACCTGGCACAGGAGGTGAACTTACCTGGCACAGGAGGTGAACTTACCTGGCACAGGAGGTGAACTTACCTGGCACAGGAGGTGAACTTACCTGGCACAGGAGGTGAACTTACCTGGCACAGGAGGTGAGCTTACCTGACACAGGAGGTGAACTTACCTGGCACAGGAGGTGAACTTACCTGACACAGGAGGTGAACTTACCTGGCACAGGAGGTGAGCTTACCTGACACAGGAGGTGAACTTACCTGGCACAGGAGGTGAACTTACCTGGCACAGGAGGTGAACTTACCTGGCACAGGAGGTGAACTTACCTGGCACAGGAGGTGAACTTACCTGACACAGGAGGTGAACTTACCTGGCACAGGAGGTGAACTTACCTGGCACAGGTGAACTTACCTGACACAGGAGGTGAACTTACCTGGCACAGGAGGTGAACTTACCTGGCACAGGAGGTGAACTTACCTGGCACAGGAGGTGAACTTACCTGGCACAGGAGCGGAGCTGTAACTGCTCGTTAATTTTTATCAACAAATAAGTGACAAAAAACGCGGTGCACTCTTAGTGGCTTTGTAAGGAATGTAAAAATACCAGTGTTATGTAATCTCACAAACCCATTGTACCTTCTTGTAAATAAATTATTATTATTATTATTATTATTATTATTATTATTATTATTATTATTATTATTATTATTATTATTATTATTATTATACAAAACATATACTTATGCTTTTGACGTTGTTAGTATTGTTGCTGTTTTGAAATAAAATCTATAAATTCAACATTATGTTTGTAACTCATTTTCAATGTACAGTATGTACCTTTACCTGAATAAACATCTAATCTTATAAATGGATACTTTGCCCGAAACGCTGCGCGTACTAGTGGCTTTACAAGAATGTTATTACTATGCTATGTATATATATATAAATCCCAATGTACCTCCTTGTATATATATAAATAAATAAATAAATAAATAAATACTTTGTGAAGGTTAATTTAACTGTAAACAAACACTGAAGACTTTGCTAGAGTGGTGGTCGCCTAATAACTTAGACAACTCTTGTACAAGAATGTAAGAACTCTTGTATATATAAATAAATAAAATAGAAATACAAAAATAAACAAATAGACCGTTACAAGCTACACCTTAACAAGGATCACGTTCAAATTTCGCGCCACAGTCTTCCCGATTGAAGAAATCAAATTGTAACTATTAAGACATAAATTATATTGGCACTTTAACCCCCCCAGAATAATAAATTTTATTTAATACAAAAGTGAATATAATCATACAATATATTGTTAATTTGTAAATATAACAAAAAAATATGAAACAAATTACACTTGCAGACACCTTTTATGAAATATTTTATTACCGAGCATTTATACTGTCTTTATATGTTTTATTTATAAATAAATAATATTTTGTGTAAAACTGTGATGTATATAGATGTTAATGATTGTTGGTGAGTGTTGAGTATGTGAGGAGGTCGACGTGGTGAGGCTGGCGGCTGTCTTGGTCTCACTCCACGGCGGCAGCGGCAGAGTCATGGCTGATCTCCGCGTATCTCTGCCATCCTGCCTCCATCACCCTCCTCCTTCATCGCCTCCACCGGTAAGTTATCTCCCTCGACCCCGTCACCAGGGGCTGGGCGCTCCAGCCAGGGGGAAAGGCGCTTGGTGTTCAAACATTTTGGCCAGCGTGTTCAGTATTGGTTTGTAATGTAACGGGTTTGTCCACTACGGGCTCACCATAGCCCGTGCTACTTGGAACTTTTTGTTCCAGGTAGCGAATTACAACGGCAGCAGTACTGTAAACAGCCCACTGTTGGTGGGTTAGTAGTGGAGGCTTGCTGGGCGTCTAGTAGTAGCAACTTTGCAACTGTGATGTGTAAATTCTGCTAAAGTGTATGCCTGTAAATTATATTTAGGTGTGTACTGTATTTTGTCACTTCATACTGGTATGGGGTACTAGGAAGCTGGTGAGAATGAAGAGTTTGATCAATAAATTCTTCATGTTTACACCGATTTGGTGAGGTATGACTGACTCTGGGTAATGGTACAGTAGTTACAGGGGTTGATTTAAAAGATTAAATCTTTTAAAAATCTTAAAGGGTTCATTAAAAATTTGGTGGTCGTGATCCGCAAGAATAAAACTACAAAAATTATTGGAAAAATCCACTTTTAGTCTTTCCTAAATCTAAATAATGTACTAGATTGTAAAAGGTTAATCTGGGGAACAAATTATAGTACCAGTAACATGATAGATATGAGAACCCTAGAATGCTTTGAGCACATGTTAGACTTGTATGTGAAGGAGTGGGTGAGTAGTGTCTTGTCATGTTTGGGCCTATAGGCCTTCCTTGATTCTTAGTTGAAGATCATACCACTTCAGTATGCTTTACTTTAAAAAGCATAAAATATTTTTCCTTGAATTTTGGTGATAAATATTTTTTTTTGTATTGTAAGAGGCCTGGGACTCGTTTACATATAAATCCTCTTGCAAGGCTTAGTTTTAAATACATCCCAGCTTGTTCAGTTTGCAAGTTGGACTGTATTATTAAAGAGTTGGTAACAATTTATGGAATCTTAATTTCATGCATACATGACTTTTTTTTTTGCATCTTACCCTGTTTAGTTTTTATCAATTTTATTTACCAATCTTAATTAGCATTGGAAACTTGTATGCAGTCAAATTGTTTGAATAGTGGTTTATGTCTAAAGGTAAATGTTGCCATTTTACTTTAATAATTCAACCATTACAAAGACATCCTATTTTTTTTTTATTTTTAATCATTGAACAAATATTAGGGAAAGGATAGGACCATTAAACTGAGATGGGTTGGATAACTGATAATGATGAAGAGATGAGTAGTAATTTTAATAATATTTACTAAAGAGGAACCTAACACCGTTTTTCAGTTTTCAACTGAAAAAGTCTGTGTGGGTAAGAGGACAGGTTGACTAGTTCAGTTACCAGGGAGGTTCTCAAGTCTTCAAATAAGAGTGATCACTTGCATCAAACTATTGGCCAATTAGCTTCATTGTCTATCGAGGGAAAGTTACTTTGACACGATAATTGCAAATACCATTAGTCTTGAAAAACCCTAAATAAATAATTTAAGTTTTATAATGGCCATTCGTGTTTAACAAATTTGCTATCATTTTACCCAGCATAGTTAAGGCAGTTAATAGTGGTAAGGTTTGTGATGTGTACCTTGACTGTAGCAAATCTTTTGATACAGTGCCACATGAAAGATTGATTAAAAGATAAGAGGCTCACGGTATTGAAGATGCAATATTAAGTTTGATTAGGGCATGGCTATACCAAAGGAAACAAGAGTTAGTATAAATGTAAGTCAAGAGTGGGAAAGTGTTTGTAAGTAGAGTGCCATTCAAAATTATACCTTTATTGGATTATGTAAAGAAATAAGATTGAAATATTGTAGCTTGTAAAAACTGTTTCATACCTAACTTGTTAATTGGCTTTTAGTTCAGTACAGTACAATAAGTATACTGTATATGGGCTTGTTAATGAACTTTACGACATTTAAGAATAGACAATGATGATGCCTTTGATTTGAAGCTGGACTTTTGGATGACAGCTCAATTTACTTACCTTGGAGATCTGATTAATCTCTCCTTTAATTTAAGGCTTAATTGTGTCTAGTAAATTTTAATAAGCACTTTTTTACAGGTTCCATATTGGAAAATGAAGTGGTTTGGGTGTGATGAACTTCTGTCGTCTACAAGCATGTTGCCTATGGTACGTGGTAATATTTGTTGATATCACTGACTAGCACATAATACTGAACTAAATGATGACAATCTTGCGATACTGATCATAATGATATTTTAAAGGATTTATCTGAATAAATTTCTACTGAAATTTTTTTTTTTTTTTGCATTTGGTAGTTTGTTAACCTTTATAATTATTTTCAGGAATGAATTGGATAAGAAAATCTTGTACTGCTGTTAACTGTTAACCTCAAGGTTAGTAAAAGTTATACCGGTTATACCAGAGTATAAAAATGTGGATGTTTAAAGTTTCTCTTGCCACATAATTTCATCTTAATTATATGATGTGTACTTTATTTAATTAAAGTACATGGGATGTAAGGCTTGATGCAAAGTCCTGAAGTGAAGGATAACCATTGACGATCTGCTGTTGCATTCTGTTGTTCCAGCATTTGCACAATGGGAGATTAAACTGAGATAACCAGCTAATTCTGGAGTGAACTGCCAGAATTTTCCTAGATACTCTTGAACAATTATAATAAGTTGGCAGCAAGATAATTTTTTTTTTCTGAGAAAGTTTAATGATATATATATATATATTAGTGAATAATATGTGTTTTTTTTTTTTTTTTTTCTTTTCTCTTTTTCTCTTATTAACACTCGCGCCGCAGACTTTAATATTTTAATTTTGATCAAAAACCTATTCATAATCATATAAGTGTTCGGACATAAAGTTTCATGTTACATCTTTCATTTTGGTATCAAATTGTGCGCATTCTAAAGGCGCTTATTTTGATACTATCCCGAGGTTGATTGGATAAAGAATTTTATACAAATATTTTTGTAGTGGACGCAAGTCCGGACCAAAGTTAAGACTGGAGAAAAATAATGGACGAAAGTCCGGTCCAAAGTGACTGATAGTGTTAATGGCTCATTGTTGTATGTTGCATAAATAGTTCAATAGATTCCTGTACAGATGGAATAGGGATTGAATTTTGTCTAGATTGCAGAGGGACTATTATAACTGCTCTTGCCTATGATTATAAGATTGTTATTATAATCCTTATAGTTATTATGATAATTTGTGACTGGCAATTTCCTAAATGGTAATTTTTTTTTTTTTGTATACCTTTCAGGCCTGTTTTGAAAGCAACACTGCTGCAACTTTGATGCCTAGTAAGTTGGATAAAAGTTGTGTGGGGGGGGGGTGAAACAAAACTTGATAAATGATGATATTGGAGATGGGTTCGCAATTCTTTTTGCTGAAGCCTTATGCTGACAACTCTCCTGCCTGTCTGATATTAGGTTTAAGTTTTGCTTTAAGGAAAATACATATCAACCTGCATGTTGCTTTAGTTCTGCTGCCAAAGTTGTGTACATAAAGCTAATGCTAGTTCATTTTTTAGAATTTTTATTTTCTAAGTTCTTATAAGGAAAATTAAAATAGTCATAGCTCATAATATTTAGTTTTACCATTGCTTTCTTTGGAACTGGCGAGGAAAATAGTTTGGAAAGCATAGCTTGTCTAAAGGGGGGGAAAGTAGTGAAAGTATTCAAAATCCTTATACCTGTACCCCTTTCAAAGTTATAATGGGTTGCTGCACTCCTGATAATTGCCATTTTGAACTTTAATTAATAATTGGATTAATGGAAGTGGTAAACTATTGCATACTATTTTGGTATTTTGCTCTGAGATTGATAGTTTTGGTTGAACAGTCTTAGCAATTTTGTTGTGGACTGTACAGGATTAGTTTATTAAGGGGGTCTAGGCATTTGAATGCCTCTTTTTTCAATGTAGGTTATGAAAATTACTTGTTAAATACCGGATACCAAGCGTACCTTTTTTTTCTCCAGGTGGAAGAAATGGATGGATTATCTCTGAAGTTTGTACAAGAGCTCGCATAATTATGCAGGTATGTTAAGGGTGTTACTGTTATGTATTGGTAAGACATAGGTACTGAGGTACTTTAATTCAGTAAGTTGGTAAGAACTGCTAGTGTTCTTATCAACTTGTATTTCTCAAACAGCGCTAAACTGGTTAACGAGAATGGTAAGTTGTATTTGGTTTGACTATCAGGTAGTCTTATTTTTTTACTTGTAATATACTCTTATGATTATATTTTCTTGTCCCATTGTTTTATTTTTTGAAGGTTGCTCATAACTTTAAAACTTTTGGTATATTTAAAGTCAAAGTGCTTAACTTGCCAACACAAATAGGAATTTAGGTTATGATGTCTACCAAGAAACTGTTTTATAAAAAAAAAAATTCTTAAAAATATGAATTTGAACGAGTACCCCATATTTGATTTGGGATACTATGCATGAACGGTATTATCAAATGTCTGGACAACGCTACTAGTAAAGTTCTAGATTTAGGAATATTAAAGAGTTCCAAATTAATTGGTGGTTTCACTTTGATCTGAAGAATAGGCCTAGATAATTGCAAGGAAATAAGTTTTGGTAAGTATTAATGATGTGCAGCCAACATTTCCATGATGTGATCAACTATTTGATCATATTTTTCCAGATGTTGGGAGATTAAGTGTCACTTGCCCTGTTCCACCTATTTGCCTTTATGACAAAAATTAGGTAATGGCTCGTGATATATTGTCTTTCCGACATTCTCTAAATCTCAATTTGGTGATGGCAGCTACAGTTCCCACCACGACTAAATCTAATATGCCACCTTGTAGTGTTGGTGAAAGCCCCGCTTATGCCTTGCTAGTAAAGTTAAACCTAAATTATAAAGGTAATGAATTGATTACTTACCAGTACCTTGTGCAGTCTTTTAGAAGGTTCAAATGCAACATGTATATTTATGCCTTCACTCTTTTAAATGGCTTGGACCCAGCCTTGTCACTCACTGTGCGTTGTTCATATGGCTTTATCAGTTACCATGTCCACGGGCGTTTCTTGTGGCAAACTTTACTGCAAATGTTGTTTATACAGTATATGTAATTAAAACAGCTTTCCACACTTTTAATTTTACCACACCACCTATAAAACTTAACTGGGATATTTGGTACGGTTACTCCCATATTTTCTCTTTCCAAATTATTTGATTAACCTATTGCTTCATTAACTGTAATTTTATTTTTCAGATGTCTTGAAAGTTCCTACAATATCGTATTGGCACGACTTGAAAATGGTAAGATGTTTGAGTTTTCTTTTCTCTAAAAGTGTTTAGCAACTTGGTTTGTAATACGGAGTTTAGAACCATTGACGATCTGCTTTAACATCTTATTGTTTTAGCAATTTGCCCAATGGAAGATTAAAAAGAGATAACCAGCAAATTCTGGCAAATGCAGCCAGTTTTTTTCCTAGATAATCTCGAACACCTTTTGAAACCTACTTGGTTAAATATTCCTCATTGCTTTCCACTCCATATAATTTGCAGGTTCCACAGTTTGCATTAAATGAGGTTTACTTTTTATTTACCGCTTTACTTTAGGTTAATTCTTTGGTGGAATTTGGTAATGTCTGTAAACATCCAGGGTAAAATTAAGAATATTATTTTTTGTAAACTGTTTGTTGCTATGCAATAGTATATTTTTAATTATCGAGATGCCTGTAGCATTGTCAAATAAATGATCTTTATTGAAGTTTTTATTTGCTTCATAAATTCAAGTTAATGGTGATCATTTTGAGATTTAGTTTTGCCTTAATTACCACTAAAATTTACAGTAAACAAAAAAATTCATTCTGTATAATGGTCCAGGGAGGTCTTTGTCTAGCATATTATACTTTGTTTCACAATGCCCCAATAGTCTGATTTCTAATGTTTTAAATTTTCTTTCAAAACAGATTCTTGGCTTGATTGATGTAGTTAAACGTCTTTGATCTAAGGTAAGATTTTTAAATATGCTCAGCTGTATACCTGTTTTGCTTTAGAGCACCTAGATTGGATAATCACCCTGTTCTTGGTTCTTATATTATTTGGTCCTGATCAATCCTATTAAGCTATAGAATTAACACTTGCTAAAAGTTTTATAAACTTTAATTTCCCATTTTTCTTGTAAATTTTAATTGTCCTTGTATCGTCCCTCTTTGGTAGGCTAACGTTTTTGTTTGTATAAAATTTGGTTGGCTGTAGTTGTACCAACCTGTGAATTTTTTCCGGTGCATGCATTTTTAGTAATGCTAAATTTAGTAATTAAATTTTAATTTTCTACATTAGTGTTAAAATATAGCTATAAAAGCTCCAGCAAATGAAGCTACTAAATGTTTCGGTATCAAAGTAAGCATTAGGGGGCTGACTGCCTGAAGCAGCATTATGTAAAAGTTAAAGTAGAATGTGGTGTGCAAAGTGGAATCGTGTGCGACTAGCAATACTAGTTTAATTCAGTTGATCACAGGAAGCTTAACTTGCTGTAGAAAGTTATGGAAAAAATGAATCTGTAGCAAACTTGCCCATTAAGCAAATTCCTTCCCTGGTAGATGTCATTCGAGGAATGATACTATATTTTTGGTATGTTTCCACTTTCGATTTTTTATTAACATTGTTGTCTAAATGCCTGTTGAGTCTTTAAATACATGTAGCCTCGAGTGGTCTTTGTATATAAATTCCCCACACATTCATCCACCAAACTTATGCCAAAATACTTTTGGTCAGCTGGATGGGGAAGAAAAAGTCCACGAGTAAAAGGTTTTCTGATACTGTGGTACAGTATTTTACTAATAATACAGAGTGGTTTTATGCCTTGTGGATTATTATTATGCAAAACTAATCTAGATTAATTTTAGTCTAGAGGATATAATTTGGTTTTTACAGTTGCTGACAGTTTTTCTTACTGTGAATGGTATTTTGCAGAATCTGTGGCCTGTACATGGAGCTTGTTCAGCTTAGTTTTTGGTAAGCATATAGTACTGCAGTTATGAACTAACCTTGAATACTTTATGGGATGAAACTAGACTAGAGTCTCTGAAATTTATTTGAAGATTTTGTTTTGCTGAAAGTGATGTAAAATATTGCATATACCTGACTAGTTTCTGGCTACTAAGGGATTTTTCATTTTACAGATTGCACTGGAAACATTGCCTGCTGCAGGAGGCTATCTGACACATACTAATGGTAAGGCTTTAGTACAGTATTTTATTGGTTGAATAAATTTAGTTTTTCCAAGGATTTGAGATTGGCTCATTCAGTCCTGAAGTAAATAAATACATTTTGGTTTAGTACTGCACTTGCAGCCTCAAAAGCTAGCTAACTATCTAACAAGTATACTGACTCCTTGAAGGACTCTTGGGCATTCTACTAAATTGTCCTGTCTTACCTTTTGTTTATTTTTATCTTTGCCACTAAATACATATATTTTCTTTTAACTTTCATGATTTAATTTAACATTGCCCCCAAGTATCTGAAAATGTTTACTGGTTTTCTTGCAATTAAAGGTGTTAGATACTCCCCCTCCCTCTTGCACGAGCAGAGATTAAGTAATAACCGTTTTGTTATATTACGTGATAAGTAAACTTATCTAATGTAATGAAGATTAACTTTTCTGATACTTTTTCTACATTGTAATTTTTGTTAACTTTAAATCTGTGTTCAGACAAAAATAAATCTGCAGGTTCTTGGTGAATCCTGTGGGATGCTTGTTTGAAGGGTTGCAGAGTTTAAAGGATGAATTGTTTTACACACAGATATGGTAGGTTTATATTAACGTTGTGCTTTTATGGAATAGACTAAGTTTTGATTTTTTTTTAAATGTCAAAAATCCATTTTTAACTTGTGTAAGCACTAGCGCGCAAAACTCTTATTGGGTACTTGTCCCATGTAGAGTACATAATGGTGCTAAATTAATTTTTGTCTACCCTGCTTGAGAAGTTCTTCTTGGGCTCCTTTGATAAAATACAACACTGCAACGTTCCACTTTACCTACTTAAGAAAATAATAGTTTTATTGTGATCCTAACTTTTTTTTTTATTTTAAAGAAGTTGATACTCTAACAATTGAAATAACTTTACATTTATTTTGATTATTCTGAAGATTATTTAATTTTTTTTTTTTTTTTTACTGAGTGATGTAAAATATTGAATAAACCTAACTAGAATATGGCTACTAGTGTATTTTTCACTTACAGATTGTAAAAGATACATTGCCTGCTGTAGGAGGCTTCCTCTGAAATATTTTAATGGTAAGGTTTCACATGTGTTTATTGGTAGGATAAATTTAGTTTTTCAAAGTATTTGAGATTGCCTTATTCAGTCATAAACATTTAATAATTTTTGGTTTAGTACTGCACTTAAGGCAGTACTAAAGCTTTCTAACTACAGTATCTAGCAAGTATACTGGCTCCCTTAAGAACACTTGTTTGGGAAGTTTACTAGACTTTACCAAGTTACCATCTAGGCAACTAATTTTTTTTTTTTTTAAATTCCATGATTTAATTACCATTGCACCAAAGTATCCAAAAATTTTGACTGGTTTTCTTATAATTAAAATTGTCCCTCCCATTTCTCCTAACTTCACGGACAGAGATTGAGTAATAACATTTTTTGTCATTTCCTGATGAGTTTACTTACCTACTCTGAATGTAATGTAGATTAACTTTTCTGATCCTTTTTCTACACTTATCTTGCTTGATTTTTGTCTTGACACTTAAACGAGTTTTAATCTGCAGGTTGTTCTTGGTGAATCCTGTGGGATGCTTGTTTGAAGGGTTGCAGAGTTTCAAGGATGAGTCGTTTTACACACTGACATGGTAGGTTTAAAGTAAAATTGGCCTTTTATGGAATAGACTTTAGTTAAGTTTTGATTTTTTTTAAGATATCAAAATCCATTTTTAACTTGTGTAAGCACTAGCGCGCAAAACTCTTATTGGGTTCTTGTCCCATGTAGAGTACATAACGGTGCTAAATTAATTTTTGTCTACCCTGCTTGAGAAGTTTTTCTTGGGCTCCTTTGATAAAATACAACACTGCAAGGCTCCACTTAACCTATTTTAGACACTGATTATAAACTTTTATTGATATCCAAAGTAAGTACTTTTAAGGAAAGTGATATTGCAACATAGAATAATGCCTTCCTCCTCCCCTCCCCCCTGTTTTAACCCTTTAATGGCACGATCTGTACAAAAGGCATGCAAACTATTCTCAGCCTGTATCCCAAATAAGCTTTCTGTAACTACTTTCCCAAACATTAATATTTTTTTCCATTTATACGACATTTTATTTTGGGGTATGGGCCGTTAATAGTTTGCACATCTGTTCTACAAACAATGCTATTAGGGTAAAAAATAGTTATTCTCATGTTGCAATATCACTTTCCTTAAAAACAATTACTTTGGATCACTAGACTTTTCATATGTAATCTTTAACTGGTTATTTTTTTCAATTTCAGGTGTTATCACCAGATGTAGTATGGAGCACCACTATTTAATCAGGTAAGGCCCTATCCACCCCAAACAAAAATGTACAAATTTCCTGATGAGATTGTCACGACGGTCTTCTTACTACAACGCAACTTGTGGTGATACTTGTTGACACTGATAATGTTAAAAATTGTTCTTTTGTAAAGCATTAATGATCCTTTTTTAAAAAGATTTTCCTGTTTATTTTAGGATTGCAATGTGACAGCCTGAAATTTCAAGCGGAGCAGCGTGTCCGAAAGGCAGAGATTACCCGCACGCCGAAGAATTGGTACATATAACAGTAATTAGTGTAGTAAAACTTAAATAATTATTTACATGATGTTCATACCATCTTTCGGCTGAAACCGTTGATGTTAACTTTTAATTCGCTGACTATTTGTTGTATTGATTTGTATGAATTACTAAACTTGCTTTTCTAATAAAACTTCTTCAATTTTAGGCACAGTCGAATGGTGTGCTTGGATAAGAAGATACCTAGATACCTTCCGTCGACGGCTACTTTTAAGGCTTTGGGAAGGTCAAAATTACTGCCTTGTTTTAACTTTCAATAAACTGTAAAACGTCCTGTGTCTTTTAAACTCCACCATTCAGATGCTTTAATCTTAATATAAAAAGTTTTACTTCAACTTGAAGCATAACCATCACTAAAAAAAGACTTAAGTTTCAGAAAATTGATAAAGTTCTATAATTGCAATTGGTACTTAATAAAAGTATGCGACGCTTGTTAATCTAGTTGTGTCTACTGAGGGTTCTAAACTAAACCCTGCAATGTATATAACCTGATACTGATCAAAAACCTCAATACCCCGGTCGGAGTTTGGGTAGAATCATGAATTATCTGTTCTGTGCCCAGGGCGAGTGTTGCATGGTCACCAGATCTTTTTGGCAGAAGTAACTATACGAGCATGACCCAGGATACTATCTACATTGAATTATTCCTTCGTCAATAAGTACGTCTTCCCCCCCCCCCCCCCAATCCAATTTCTTGGCCTCTGGGTGCAGTAGTGAGGAATTCCACCATGGGTTTCCTTTCAAAGCTGTTTCCAGGGGGGGGGGGGGAGGTTTCCTGCCATGGACTGTAAGGTTCAGCACCGTCGGGAGCGCCCATCGCCGTCCTGATATTGCCTCTGTCCAGGATATCTGAATGGGCTAGGCTGGTGTCCTCCCTATCTTGTTCTATTAAACTACACAGATTTCTGTATTCCATCACTAATTCTTTGTACTCTTGACTTTTAATGAAAGCATAAGAAAGCGCTGTTGCAGGCTCTGGTTAATATCTTTCCAGCCTCGCCTCTTCCATTTGCCAGAGAAGTTTCTCCTCATCGGTCCATCTTGCATTGGGCCTACCCACTCTAATCATGGCCTCAAAGAGCTCCTGATGGTATTGGACTCTATGCATGCGGCTCAGATGGCCTCTCCTTGCTCTATAATCTTGAAAGGTCACAAATTGGACAGTACCAGTCATTCAAAGCCGGATCGTCATGTAGTTCACCCATCGCGCTGACAGGGGTCAGCACGTCTGGTTTTTAGGCACGGATGCTTTTTACGAACGTTTATTGGTGACAAGGCACCAAAACCTTTGACGGGCAGACGGCCTTTGGGAATGCTTCAATTGAATGAAGGCCCCTACTGCAGCTAGACGGATGGTCCCCTTAGAGCAACAGCATGGGGGCGATGCCTCTGCTAATTAGGGGAACCAGGAGTCACGACGAGGCCAGGTGAGGACTTCACACAATTATCGCGTGCACTGTGCACTATGCACTCTTGAGCATATACAATCGGAAGCGAGGAGCGTCTAAATGCAGATACCATGGGAGTCATAGTTTCTCCCGGTAAGGGAGTCCCTATGGTCCCTACAATGGGAATGAGCGGTCCATACAACACCCTCACTCTCGCTTATGCCGTACTTTGACCTGTGGTCCGTGTTCCCTTTCACCTACCTCTTTCTGTTCGGTTGTCTCGCTTGTAAGGCTCTTTCGGTTTGTGTTACCCTTATTTCTCCTCGTCATTCCATCCTTGCCCCCATGGATGGTCCACCGTAAGTTTTGTAAAACCTTCACCCACGCGACTAAAGCTTTTACACCTACAGTTCTGAAACACTTTTTTCCTTGCACACTTTTCTTCATATTTTCACTCATTATTCCTATGCTATACAGTCGTAATGACTTGGCGCTTTTTCCCCCTGATAGTTCCTTCCCTTCACTCATTATACCATCTTTTAAGATGGGTTAAGTTTGCAGACGGTGTAAGCTACTTTGTTGTTTTTCCTGACCACACCTATGTGTCTCCTGCCTCCGGAGACTAGCATCTTCACGGCAGAACTTTATGCTATTTTGTATGCTCTGTCAACTGCTTCCTCGCTGTTAATCTTCCTTTGGTGTAGTTGACTCTCAGTGCTGTCATGGCTCTGGAGTCCTTTAATCCAGCCCATCCTGTGGTAGTCGAAATTCCACATTGGCTGTTTCTTATCTCCAGCAGGTTTAAGACAGTGGAGTTTTTCTGGGTTCCCAGTCATATTGGTGTGTCCTTAAATAAGTGTGCAGACGCTGCCGCTAAGGAGGCTATCCGCACTTGTCCCAGCTCCCGTAAAGGTGTTCCTTATTCAACTTCTAACCAGTTATTCATTCCTCAATCCTTGCCCGTTGGCAGGGTCGTTGGTCTTCTGTTACTGGTAACAAACTGCGTGCTCTTAAGGGTAGCGTGTCCCCTTGGCCTTCCCCCTACCACCGTAATCGGCGGTGAGAAACGGCTCTGGCAAGGTTACGTATTGGCTATACACTCTTAACTCACGGGCACTTAATGAAGCACCTCAACTGTTTCTTATTGTCCAAAGTGAATCGTTGCTCTTATGGTCGTGCATATCCTTGTTGAATGTCCTGACTTCAAGGAAGAGCGTGTGTCTTGCTTCCCGATTGTCCCTCGCGGTCACTTGTCCCTCGATAGAATCCTTGGTGAATCAGATACCTTTGATATCGTTCGCCTTATGTGCTTTTGTTATCGTATTGGCATCCTTAGTGATGTTTATCTCCTTTTGAATATCCCGCACATTTGCTGGTGCTACATAGCGATAATTACTTACGTCTGCAAAGTTTTACATAGAAATGAGCCTTTGTATGTATGAGTATTGATGACCATACTGAACGTGAGTATTGTTGACTGAGCCTGAGGCATCACCAATACTTCTACGAAAGAGTCATCTCAGGTTATTGCAATAGAGGTAATAACTGTCGAAGATTGTCATCGTAAGACTGGTATCGCAAGATGCACAAGTGAAAGGATATAATTATATTTAAATGTCATGTGTAACATCTATAATTGATGGTCTAAGGTAATGAGTAAAATGTGAATTTGAGTAAAATAAAATGACCCTAAAATTTTTACGGTTCAACTACTGTATTAAAATAAATAAATGGGAGTTAAATTTATTCCTAATTCTAGATGTAGTAGAGAAGAATGCTGTGAAACGTGTTTGGACCTCTGATCTTTTACACAGGATGAGTGAAAAGGGCGTACGCTGTAGTGAATGATAAGACAGACGGAAGCAGTGTAAAGCGGTCTGAGTTTTCATGGCAGTATCCGACATGATGTCTTTGGGTAGACCACGCTGAAACTGTAGTACGATCCACTTAGGTTGTTTATCGTTACGCTCATCACTACCCGTAAATTGGTTGTAAGTGTACGGGGTGTGGAGGGAAAGGGGGCGGTGCTGCGTGTGAGGCGCCTATTATGGAAGACGAGTGGCTGGCCGTGGGTACCTTGTGACCTGGGTAGGGGGGGGGGACAAGGAGCACGCTTGGTGGGGGTGATGGGCAGGTGTGAGGGGTAGCGGCGTGTGGCAGCGTGGAGGTGTTATTGATTGTGCTCTGGTGTGTGTGGACTGCGGCAGGCGGCGGCCAGTGTGGTGGGTGGAGGCTGGCGCGACGCTCACAGGCATGGCCTGCCCGTACACCTCCACACCCTCTCTCTCCCCCTCCTCCTACCTCTCCTCCAACACTCTCGCCACCAAACACACCACCTTCACCGCCTCCCACTGGACACGCCACCACGGTAGGCCACGCCAAGTTCCGGTGCCTTTCCCACCAAGAAAACGTGTCGCTATAGCAGAGTTATAGTATTGATGCAGCCCGGGTCATGTGGGATCTGCCATGCACTCTCACGCCTTACACTCACTTTTTCGGCAAGTACATCAACGGAAAAAAGTATAATCCTACATGTATACAAAAATTAGAGCTTAAAGAGATAAAAATCGTGACGTGATTCAAAAAATGTCTATCGAGCAGAATGGAAGCAAAACAGAAATATAAAACACGCTCGCTAGACGAAATAAACGTGACAGAAATATAACCTGATAACAAAAAAAGAAAGTAAAAAGTCGAAACATCCGTAAAACGGATGGATAATGAGTTACTAAAAGTGATCGCTAGTTTAAGTGTTCTCTGGTGTGGCGTGTGACAAGACGTGCTATGTGGAGTGCTTTATCCTTCATGAAGAGTCAAAGGTGAATATATATTCCAGAAATTATCTTAGTGATAGTGTTTGATTTTCTTGTGGGAATGTGTTGGCTGATCTGTGACATTATCTCTCTTCCTCCTGGTGACATTTACTGATGTTCTTAGTGACATTTAGTGGTGTTCTCGGTGACATTTAGTGGTGTTCTTAGTGACATTTAGTGGTGTTCTTAGTGACATTTAGTGATGTTCTTAGTGACATTTAGTGATGTTCTTAGTGACATTTAGTGGTGTTCTTAGTGACATTTAGTGGTGTTCTTAGTGACATTTAGTGATGTTCTCGGTGACATTTAGTGATGTTCTTAGTGACATTTAGTGGTGTTCTTAGTGACATTTAGTGATGTTCTTAGTGACATTTAGTGGTGTTCTCGGTGACATTTAGTGGTGTTCTTAGAGACATTTAGTGATGTTCTTAGTGACATTTACTGATGTTCTTAGTGACATTTAGTGGTGTTCTCGGTGACATTTAGTGGTGTTCTTAGTGACATTTAGTGGTGTTCTTAGTGACATTTAGTGGTGTTCTCGGTGACATTTAGTGGTGTTCTTAGTGACATTTAGTGATGTTCTTAGTGACATTTACTTATGTTCTTAGTGACATTTACTGATGTTCTTAGTGACATTTACTGATGTTCTTAGTGACATTTAGTGATGTTCTTAGTGACATTTACTTATGTTCTTAGTGACATTTACTGATGTTCTTAGTGACATTTACTGATGTTCTTAGTGACATTTAGTGATGTTCTTAGTGACATTTAGTGATGTTCTTAGTGACATTTAGTGATGTTCTTAGTGACATTTACTGATGTTCTTAGTGACATTTACTGATGTTCTTAGTGACATTTACTGATGTTCTTAGTGACATTTACTGATGTTCTTAGTGACATTTAGTGGTGTTCTTAGTGACATTTACTGATGTTCTTAGTGACATTTAGTGGTGTTCTTAGTGACATTTACTGATATCTTATGTGAAAATTCGTGACTTTTTTACATTACAAAAATAGTTTCGGTACATTTTTGTAAATGTTCGTCTGCATTTTTTATCATGAAAATATATAT